GGTGCCGATGTGATGGCTGCACAGCAAGCAAACGGGTGCAGGGCCAGCGAGGATCGGTGACGCACGCCTGGTGACTCGATTGGAGGCGGAAAGAGGTCAAGTGGGCGACAGCAAAACAACTCAAGGGATGGCAGACGGAGGATAGATTGGGAGGAAGCGAGACGCGATGCAAGAGAGCAGTGGCTAAGAGGTAAGTAAGAGGCACCAAAGATCCAGACAGCGCCAGGAGGGAGCTCCGAGGGTGAGCGAGAGATAACATGAAGGCAGCAAGCAGTCGTTGCCAGGCGGTAAAGGACTGGGCGATGCAGGAGGCGAGGCGAGGCTGATGTAACGCTGTACAGGACAGGACGGTATTATTCAGATAACCAGTACCAGCCTACCAGGGAGACCTACAGGCTACGGAGAGGTAAATACCTAGGTACCTACCTACCTACCTACCTAGTTACCGCATGGTGGTAAATTCCCAAACTTACCCGTCAAGACAGTAACAGTGACAATACCGTACACCGCTCAGGGAAGCGCTGGTTAGACGCTGATCAGCCGTTTAGCTTGAAGGGCAACTGCACGCTGCAGAGCTCCGAGGACGTGTGAGTGGCTGCCTCACGGGAAGGGGGGAGGTCGAGGATGTGATCTATAGCATTAATATATCAAGAGATGGAGCTTCTGCACTGATAACAGGGGAGGAAGACTTGGAGCTCGCTGTTTGGCGCCAGCTGGTTGTGCGTCGATCCACGCTGGAATCCGGGGTGGCCTGGAGATAAAGTACTGTACTTAGTAGACCTTCGGAGGATAACTAACTAGGTAAAGTACTGTACTTGGTAACTAGAGACCTGTCGATTCAAGTATCTAGAGGTATATGTAGTTATGCCAGGTTTGGCTTATTGTAATACTCCGTACTCTGTACACTCTACTAGAAAGGTACTAACTAACTATCAGGGATCCTGGTTAGTGAACTACTACGTATCCAATTAACTTACTTAGTATACTCCATACTGATAGTCATGTTATCAACGCATAATCGTGTATGGTATGGCAGCTGACCAACCTCAGGCACTAATTATATGGTCGTTATGGAGAGAACTGCCTGGTTGGTTAGAGGCGATTGCTCCAATTACTCCATCCTATAAGATATCCATCTGGATAGACTCATGACCACTCGACTACCCTTGATCGCGTGCTAGATACCTATCTGTCAGCTCTTTTCCAGTTTAACCGACAGCTCTAGCAGGATCCTTGCAGTAGATGCAAAAGTACCTTAGGTACCGTACCTAAGTACCTGTCTAGCGCTGTATCGTCGTCACTTTATTATAACCATGCAGTATCTTTGATGTCTTTCATCCATGTTGTCCTCTGATCTATGTCATTTGAGCTTGCCTATATAAGCCGAAAACGATAGGCCTGCTATGTCAGGGTTAGCTGTCTCTGCTCCCTAGATGTGTGTCTGAGAGATAGAATTAGATGCTGTCGTCTGGCCGGATTATTCTCGCGTAGATTTGTATTGGATTAGAACCAGAATCATGGTGGAAGCTTCGATAGGACGGTTGATAGGCATGCTTCTATGCTAAACAGATCAATTTTAAGCTCCAAACTCTCTATATTGACCCCTTTCAAGCAGGCAGGAGAAGAGTTTCTCATAGATCGAGTATCTGTGGATGTGGGGAGTCCTTGTTTGTAGAGAAGAACTGGCTTGTTGGAGAGTATAGTATTCTTACCAGCCACGCAGGCAAGAAACAAGGGGCACGTATTCGTAGAAGACAGTCGTACAGAGAGTGTATGGAGTAGTATGCCATGCACATAACCCCGATCCAAAGACTGGTTTCAACGTCATGTCGGCGGTCGCCTGAATTTCCGTATGAATTACCACAAAGCTGCGACTCAGTCCCTTGCGAATCTGCGGGGGGCACATTCTTGTTGAGTTCATGCAGTTAGGACGCCTGGAGGTAGCTGGACGATAACAGCTAGCTGATCAATCCTGATCAGTCGATTCTGGAGTGTCTGATATTCACCATCGTACTCGAAGCAAGTTGCAAGTTGGTGGTAGGTACTTACTCTGCACAATCATTGTATCTGTAGAAGAATTATTGCCTGATCGTGGCCTGATTTGCTAAGCCGATGAGGTCATAATCCTATATCAACCAATCAGACCCCGTAATTTGTGCAACAGACACTTGCTTGATGATTGGTTGGTTTGTCACCGCCTATATATACAAACAGTGCAAACAGTGCAAACAGTGCAAACAGTGCAAACATACCTATCTATTCTACTGGATATACGAGGATATGAGGACTTCAGGGATCTCCAAGGCAATTAATTATCCTGGTCGCTATAGAGGAATAATGGACAGATAGTCTATTGGCGAGTCTGTCTTCAACCACAGACTGCCGGTCTGCTGACAATTGAAACCCCTTCTATAATATTCCATCTAGAGAGTACCTAGACCTCAACTCTGTGCTATTGAACCAGCTTTCCCCCCCCCATCAAGTCCGTCTGCACCAATTGATCGCTCACGAGCAAACAGCTGTCATAATAGCTACTGCGTCTTCCCCTCCTCCAACCTTCCATTCCGTCGAGACTTCCATCTCCCCCCCCTGTCAAATGGATGGCTTCAGGTTATCCTCTCATCGGGGCGGATGAGGGGCGTGTCGTCCGTGATTGGCTCTACGCGTCGGAACCACCACTTTGGCTCATCCACGGTCCTGGAAGCCTTGGAAACCCTCAATATCCCAACGGGAGTCTGAAAGGAAACCAAGCACATCCTGCCCTTCTGTCTCATCGCTGTTCGTCTTGCGGGATAGATTGCTTTGTCGCCAGACACAGTTACAGCTTACACGGCTACACGCATTTTCTTGACGCAGACCATCGCCATAAAGTGACACGCTTCCGTACCAGACGCGACCCCTCCGTTCTTCATCCGCGCCAGCATCGAGTCCACGGTTACCATAGAAGAGATCGAAGTATCAAAGTGACTCGTTCTTTCTTCGAGCAGAAAGAAATAAACAAAAAGGAAAAAAAAAAAAAAAAAAAAAAAACCATCCGATCGCCCGCAGAGCTCTCGCCTTCCCTTGGTTGTAGTGCGCTCTGGCCGTGGGCTGATAGGAGGTTTTCTGGGCATCACAACCACCGGGGCACATGAGTGGCAGGCTCTGGGAATCTTTCATCTACGATGACGTCGAGGGCTTCCAGCGGCTCTTGGTGGCCGCCAGCTCTGCAGCGACGGGTGGTGGCAATCAGCGAGGCATAGGAGGAGGAGGAGGAGGAGGAGGAGGGGTAGACAGCAGCCCTGGGGCGGGCCTGCTAGGATCCTCACCCAGTTCGCCGTTGAAGATCAATATCCGGAAACTCAGTGCTTCCTCGCCGGGTCATCATTCTATCGCAGATCACCGCAGCGGTTCCTATCGGTCAGGATCAGGGTTGTCCCGTGCAGAGCTGAACGCCCGCGATCAGTACGGCAGAACTCTCCTGCACCATATCGCATCGTCACGGAAACCAACCGCCATCGACTTTGCGCTCGCCTTGCTAGAAATCCCGTTGGTGGACATATACGTGCAGGACTGGGAGAGCGGGTGGACCGCGCTGCACCGGGCGCTGTACGCGGGCAATGCAACCATCGCTCAGGCCTTGATGGCCAGGGATATTCGCGATGCGACCGATTTCAGTAAAGCCGGGGCGCCGAGTCACCAGGTCGGGTCTTTGATCAAGATCAAAGACCGCGAGGGCTACAGTCCCTTTGATGTGTATGGATCAACCATTACGTCGCGCGAAATCAAACAGATCGTCTTGTCGCCCGCAACGATAGACCCGACCTTCCTGGATTCTGTGGACAGTGAGACGGCGTCGAATGATCCTCCGGCCCTCGGGGGTCACAATGATGAAGATAACGGGTACGTGCTTCGAGGCGCCATTAAACCGCGAATCAATGTCTTGGGCAGCGAGGTGTTCACCTTCGGGAGCAACAAAAACCTGAATCTTGGCCTTGGGGACCAGGATGATCGCCAGTTCCCGGAACGAGTCACCCTGAAGCGTCCAGAGCATCTCCTGCGCCGGTTCTATCGCGAATACCAGGAACGCGAGTCATCCAGGGATGGTTATCCGGAAGTCAGCAGCCGTTCTGTTGCCGACTTGCCGACCCTGATCAGAAACAAGCCGATTAGCTTCCAAAACATCGTCATGTCCAAACTGCATACCGCCATCTTGACTAATGATCCGGAGTCGAACCTGTTCATGTGCGGGTTCGGCCCAGGTGGACGCCTGGGCGCCGGGGACGAGTCGACCCGGTTCAGTTTCGTGTGCATTGAAACCGGCGGTCTGGCCGGCAAGAGAGTCATCTCGGTCGCCTTGGGCCAGGACCATTCGCTCGCCATCACGGAACACGGAGAGATCTTCAGCTGGGGCTCCAACAAGTACGGCCAGCTGGGCTACAGCCTTCCCCGGACGAACAACAAGAACGACATCCCCACCCAGACTACCCCAAGGCAGATCTTTAACCCGTTCAAAAAGGAGGCCATCCTTGGAGCCGCCGCGTCTGCCATCCATTCGGTCGTGTACAGCAGTTCTGGTCTGTATACCTTTGGCAAGAACGAGGGTCAGCTCGGTCTCGTGGATTCGGATGCTCGCTCCTTGGAGCTCCAAACCACGCCGCGGCGTGTGGGAGCAAGCCTGTTCAACTGTCCCATTCAGATGGTCTCGGCCATTGATCGTGCCACTGCCGTCCTGCTGCAAAACCACGAAGTCTGGGTTTTCTCCCAATTCGGGTATTCCAAGATTGCATTCCCGCTCGACGTCAGCTCCTCTTTCATCAAAAACAGCTTCATGGCCACCCGTTACGGCGCGGCCGTCAACTGTATCGTGAAGATCACCTCTGGCGGCAGCACGATCTGCGCCCTCTCCAGTTTCGGCGAGGTCTTCACTGTCCACGCCAACAAATCCGACAACGCCGCCGCCGCCTACACGTCGACGACCAACCCGCACAAGGCTCGGAACTCCCTCTCGCCGCCCGTCCGAGCATGGTCCGTCAAGAAATCGCACATGGCCGCCCGAGACGTGGACGTCGGTCAGGACGGATCCATAATCATCTGCACGCATTCCGGATCGGCATGGCGGAAGGAGAGACGGACAAAGACTAAGGAGGGGCCATCGGAAGAGTACAAGTTTGCTCGCATCCCAGGTCTGTCTCGCGTGGTAGCAGTCCGAAGCAATGCCTTTGGGGCGTATGCGGTGGCTCAGCGCGACTGCGACGTCACCAAGGAGCAGATTGTTGTGAGCCCCAGCACATTCTTGAATGACATGCTACCTCTATCCCCATTCAAGATGGGGACAGTTGTTGACTTGCAACACGCCCTGGATTCTTCCTCATCGGACTCTGCCCCCGGTCACGAGCCTCTCCCGGCCATCAAACGATCTCTTCTCTCGGCCTCCGACCTTGAATCTCTCTTTCTGTCCACTGGGTTTCCAACCTCAGATGAGATGTCTAACGGCGTCGCCTGGCTGAAATCCACGGTTTCCGACGCGCGGATTCCCGTCCACGAGTTTCTTTTGAGCGCCCGCAGTCCCGTTTTGAGGAAAGCATTTGGCGTTTTCCGTCAGGACTATTACTCTTCTCTACCCGACGTGTTTGCAATCGAGTATGACCAACACGGGCACAGCCAGCTGCTGTTCCCAGGCGTTGACTTTTTGACCGTTCTCAACCTCGCCTTCTACCTATATACGGACAGTGTGCTTGATGTCTGGCATCAAGTCAAGTACTCATCGGCGAACGCGTCTCGGTACCGCCAAGTTCGCGCCGAAGTCATGCGCCTCGCAACGCATCTGGGCCTGTCCAGTCTGGAACGGGCCGCAAGGCTGATGATCGAACCTCCTCCGTCCCTCACGATCGATATGGCTAGCGCGATTCTCGACCCATCTTTCTTCAACAATGGAGATGTCATCGTGGATCTAAACGGCGGAAGCGTCCGTGTCCACAGCCAGATCGTGTGCCAGAGGTGTCCCTTCTTCGATGCCCTTTTTCATGGCCGCTCGGGCGGGCGATGGCTTGCCCATCGTCGAACCCACCCGACGGATATCGTCCGCGTGGACCTGAAGCACATCGACACGGCCCTCTTTGACTTTGTGCTGCGGTACATGTACGCAGACACGGACGACCAGCTGTTCAATGAAGTCCGATCGAAGAACTTGGACGAGTTCATCGACCTTGTTCTCGACGTCATGTTTGTCGCGAATGAACTGATGATCGATCGACTGGCTCAGATATGCCAGAAAATGCTTGGCCGTTTTGGTAATGTCTAACGCCTGTCCGCTTCTCCTTATCTTCATTCTTCTAATTTAATTCTCTTGTAGTGGATGCACGAAACGTTTGTCATCTGCTGAATTCAGTTTTGCCTTGTTCCACCAAAGACTTCAAAGATGCTGCATTGGAGTATATCTGTCTCAATCTGGGAGACTTGCTGGCCAATAGGTATTTACTGGTTTACCCATACCATTGTGGAAATGGCCGCTGATCCCTTTAGATATCTGGAAGAACTTGATGATGATCTGCTCGGCGAACTTGATACCGTCTGCTACGAGAATCAAATGGCATACCACCCCGTCTCCCGAGGCCGTAATTCGGACGACTACGTCTTGGAGAAGTACCCGGAGCTTGTTTCCCTGGTGGAGAGAGATCGGCGTCGCAGGATCGACTCGATGAAGCTCAAGACACGTCTGAACCAGTTTGACGCGGGTGACGACAACAAGGTGCGGCCGATCGCTGTCTCTCCGTCACCAGCGAAAACGCGAACACCGACCAAGGAAACATGGAACAGTCCGGTGCTCCGGTCCCGCCAGTCGATGGGAGAAGTGCTAGGCCCCTTGGATGAAGAAATGGCTCTCTCCGGCCCAGCCGAGGCGTCCTCGATAAAAGGGAAAATGGCCATCCGGGGGCCCAAACCAAAGGACAGTCGACCGTCCCCTCCTGAGTCGCTGACCCCGGCGGCGAGCTCGAGTTTTGTAGAAGGCGGCGATTCGTTCAGCGATGGGAGCCATCTGGACAGCTTCTTGCTTGCAGGGTCGCCCTCGGAGTTGAAGGCCAGTGCAATGTATGAAAAGAAGATGAAGAGTCCAGACCCATGGAGCTCTTCTGCAATGTCGGTCTCCAAGAAGGATCTGAAGGACATCATGGCTGAAACGTCTCACTCTCGCCAGTCCAACCTCACCCTAGGCCTGTCGTCGTCCGCTCCCCGAGACAACACCAACAGCACAGCAGGGTTCGCCCCCAAGCTCTCGCAGAAGGAACGCAAAAAGCTCCAGCAGCAACAGGTGCAAGAGCAGCTCGCGGCCCAGCAGAAAGCCAAAGCATCGCCTTCAAACCCGTGGCAGATCCCGGCTCCTTCTCCTCGGCTATTGCCTACGCCTACCCCTCCACCCACCCAGAAGCCCTCTATGACGCTGCGTCAGACTGTATCTGGAACACCGCCGCCGCCGCCGCAGCAGCAGCAACAGCAGCAGTCAACGTCTATCCTGAAAGCCTTGCAAACTCCAAGTCGCAGCGTTTCCGCCACGCTGACACCTGCATCCGCGAGCCCTTCAAACGGTACAACGTCTGCTCAGCCGGCCATCCAGTCCATCCGGCACATCCCACGCGCAGAACCCTACCGGACGAGCTTTTCGTCGCCCTCGTCCAGCTCGCTTTCCCTCGCCACGATCCTGATGCAGCAGCAGATGGAAAAGGACGAGATCCGCGAAGCCGCAACGGCCAAGCACAATCTACAGGATATCCAGATGGAGCAGGAGTTCCAGGAATGGTGGGACCAGGAGAGTAAGCGCGTCATGGAGGCCGCGCAGGCTGAAGCCGCAGGCTCCTCGCGCGGAGGCAAGAGTATACCTCATACTATGCCGATAATCTCCCGGGGGAATAATAATGGTACTGGGCGCGGGAAACCTTCCGGCCCGCGCAGGCGCGGCGACAGAACAGCCTCGTCGAACGGAGCAGCACCCAAGTCCTCTTCTTCCTCCTTTGACTCGGTTCCGAAACCGCATAATCCCCGCCGCGAGCCAGACAGGACAAGAACGCATACCACTGAGACGCAGGGAGGGCGGCGGGGCGGACGCGGTGGTGCGCGGGGAAGACCTCGCGAGGTTCCTCAAGGTTCTTAGTACTTGTATAGAATAGACTTGTGTATTAATAAGGGAATCTACAACTACATACTTTCCAGTAAGCATATTATCTATCTCTGAGATGACGGTACTAGTATACCCGTATGAATAATGTCATGTATCACTAACTCTACAGTCGCGCCAGAAGGGTCCCCTTGAATCTACCCAGCCATGGAATAACAGACTAAACAAAGAAAGAAGAAAAAAAAAAAGTAAAAAAAGGTAATAATGCATGCTCAGGGATTAAGAATATGGCCCTTAATTTAGGTGCGTGGATGTCTTCCTGGCGCTGGGACTGGCACGGTACTGGCACGGTACTGGCAAGGTACTGGCAAGGTACTGGCAAGGTACTGGCAAGGTACTGGATAATGTACAAAGAGAGAATCGACCTTTAATGAGAGCTTGCGAGTTCCCGGCTCTCCCACATCCGACGGATCATCATCTCCGCCTCATTCGAGTAATACGCCGACTCGGTCATCTCGTCGTCGTTGTCGCTGCTGCCTGCGGCATGGGTCCCCTCGTCAGAGGTAGACAGGAGTCGCTGCGACGGATGCTGCGAGGGAGGGCGTTCCGGGATGTCAACCTGTACGGCGGCAGGCGCTGAATCAACTGCTTCAGAGATGGTTGTGGTTCGACCGATGATTTGCTTTGGGGGTGGGGAGGTGGTCGTTGGATTCCGCGCCTTGGCTTGCTGCTGCTGCTGCTGCTGCTGCTGCTGCTGCTGCTGCTTCCGTTCGGCGGAAGTCTTGAGCAGAGTCAGGGCCGGCGCAGACTTGATGGGTTTTGTCAGGGCGGATTTGCGGTCCACGGCCTGCACAGCGTTGCTGGTACCCACGAGGAAGCCCAGGCGGGCGAAGCTGTTGCCCGTGGGGGACTGGAAGCGGCGAACGACGGTCAATTCGGACGTGATCTTCTCGTAGGTTTTGCGGATGTGTTTCGTTTCACTGTCCTGAGGGGAAGCACCGCCATTGGCGGTGCCACGGACGGACTCGTAGGTTCCAAGCCCGTTGCGTCCATTCGTCGCTATGAAGGCCGGGTCCATCACGGCCGGCGCGACCGTTGCCGGCGCGCCATGGGCATCCGGGGGGGAGGTGTTCAGGGTCGCGGTCCGCTGCAGCCACAGTTTCTGCTGGGTGCGAGAGGGTGGCTCGGCTCCACGGGAACGAGGAGGGGACGAGACCTTGGATTTCTTCGACGCAGAGTCCGCCCGGCGCGGGGAGGGAGGAGTCTGAGGGTGGTAGTGCGGCAAGAATGAAGAGGGCGTGTTCGGATCGGAATCCGTCCGGAAAGACGCCTGGTTGCTCGCCTTGTTGTTGACAATAAATCGTGAGACGCCCCCTTCGATGGAGGATGAGGTCGCCTGGGTCTGGGTGCTCGGTGGAGTCGCTAGAGAAGTCGCCGACATGGTAGCCGCCAGCCGGCGAGAGGGGTCCTGTACGACGGCCGCTAGATTCGTCAGCGACACATTCCGAGACACCGTGTCGACCGCGGTGGGCTTGACCATGGCGGAAATCGACGACATGGCGGGCGGAGCTTTGGCGGAAAGCGAGGGGCTAAGCAGGCGGGAGGCGATGTCGAGATGTTCCGACACCTTTACAGTTTCGTGCTCTCTTGCTGCCTCTGCTGTGTGCGCCACGTCGGTCTTTTTATGCGCCTCGCGGTGATCGTCGCCGTCGCCGTCGTTCTCAGTGTCGTTGCTGTCGTTATTGTCGTCCTGGTGATTCTCGTCGTCGTCGTCGTCGTCGTCGGCGGCGGCGGCGGCGGCGGCGGCGTCAGGGTTGTGGCCACTCTCGGGGGTAAAAGGTTTGACAAACGCTTCCGGAAGACTGGTTGCTCGAGGAAACTGGGTGTACGAGCGTTTCACAAACGTCAGTGGATCAACAAGGACGGAGCCGTTGTCGGCACTGTCCTTGGACAGCGCGGCGACGGAATTACGTCGTGTGCTCTCCGGTGACTGGGTAGTGTCCTCCCACTCGTTGTCGTCGTCCGAGTCCGAGTCGACGAGTTCAAAGCCGACCGTCTTCTTCTTACCGCTGCTTGTGTGCGGGCGGTCGGTGACCAGCGCCTTCTTAGGCAGGACCGCCGAATGGTTCCGCCGCAGCGCAGGACTGGAGTAATTCTTCTTGATTGGCGGTGCCGTCGTCGTTGTCGTTGTCGCCGCCGTCGTCTTTTGATGATCCTCGACACCGCCGTCCCAACGCACGTGCTGCTGCTGCTGCTGCGTCCCGGGACTGACGGCGGGAGTCGTGGGAGCCGACCTCTTGCGGTAGTGATGGCGCGTCCCCGATGTCCCCGACGTCCCCGATGTCGTCGTCGTCGTCGTCGTCGTCGTTGTTGTTGCCGTTATCGCCGGCACTCCCTCCGAAGCCAGGTGTTGCGCAGAGGTCAACCGCTGGAGCTTGTTGAGCTGCTTGCCAAACGACGGGTTGCGGCCGTGGGAGCGATGGGCCCCACCGACAACATGCGGACGATGATGCGTTTTATGATGGCCCCCGACGGTCGCTCGCTGCTGCAGCTGCTGTGACGATTGCGACTGGCCATGCGAGTGGGACAGTTCCCCGGGCGTCGAGGGCGATGTGCGTGCGGAATGGAGTGCGTAAGAGGAGACGGCCCGGCGACCCAGCGCAGGTCTCTTGACAGGCGAGGTGGTAGTGGTGGTATTGTTGCTGTTGTTGTTGCTGCTGCTGCTGCTGCCGCCGTGAGTTGACGCTGGCATGATATGCGGTGGAATTATTATTAATATTATTATGATTTATTATTAGGCAGGCAGGCAGGGAACAGCGGCCGGGGGGGTTGGTTGGGCGAGGATCAGCACGACATCAACCGGGCGTCCAAGGGTGCCACGACAGGTCTCCTCTTGCCTATGATTCTTGTTTTCGGGGGGGCCAGACGCCCGGGAGAATTCGGGCTGAGGCGTTCAGACTTCACACAAAAGAGGTCGCAGCAGGAATGATGAAACCAGAACTGAACGGCCTCGCAGGGCGGCCTGCGTTTGCAAGACAGCTCGCGGGGCCTGGCAATTGGTGGGCAAGACAGACGAGTGGCCACACAGGGGACAGACAGGACAGCAGACGGCAGACGGCAGAGCAGCGGCCACAGGCGTGTCAACGGGGAGTCAGGCAGGAGTTGAGACAAATTGCAAGCACAGGCGAAGTGTTGCACAGCATCGAGGGAGGGAAGTGAAGGAGGGGAGATTCTCTCTGGTGAAGCTGGAGACTGAGAGCAGTTTGTGAAGTCACCGACCGGGTTTGGCGAGGCAGTTCCAGACCGGCGTTACAATACGATACAGTCCGATCCGGTATTATTGATTCCTGTCTCCGCATCTGCACATGCTGCCGCTCCCCGCTGTTACGTTACTGAAAGTTACGGTAATATAGGAGGTAGATACAGTAGTTCTTAGAACTGCCTATAGTGAGAGATTAGATGCAAATATCAATGAATTCCTATGTAAAGAATCGACAGAGTGAACGGCAAGTCTTGCCCCCAGAAGCCAGGTAGGCTGGTATCATAGCTTAAAAGACATCGTCATAACCAAGGAGGACTACTACAACGTAGGTAATCACAACTCGATCAGGCTCTCTTCCACCACCGGCCGCGCGGCTGGGGGTTGCTGCTGTGGCGGGGGTTGCGCTTGATACTGTGGAGGAGGAGGATGTATGCCGTGCCCCGGGGCGCCGTAGCCCATTGGCATCGGACTCTCGGTGGGATACTGCGTGGCCGGCTGCGTGTAGTAGTAGGACTGCGTGGCTTGGCCCATCGGTGGTGGTTCCTGGGTCGGTGGGGCGGTAGAGATGCTAGACGGCAGGGCATAGGGGTCTGTGGGATGCTGCCCCGGGGGTTGGACAGCTTCCGCAGCGGCTGCCGGGGGCTCGCTGCCGGCCTGGTATAGCGAGCTCCGCTGCAGCTCCGGAGACGATGTTGTTTGATATGGTGTCTCGGGCTCGACTGAGCGGGGTCCTGGCGGGGGTTGGTATTGGTGGTACCCGTCCGTTTCGCCGGGTGTCTGGGAAGGATAAAAACTAGCCGGACCGGGCGGTGCACTAGCCGCAGCAGCGTTGTTCGCAAAGGGCAAGACATTGGCGTGATGTAAGGATGATGAGGAAACAGGAGGGTACGGCCCACCGGCAGCATTCCAGGGTTGAACTGGAGGTTGTTGATATTGATGCTGGGGCTGGAGTTCAGCCTGGGGGTAGATATTGGGGTTCATGATGGTGCCGGCTGCTGGTCCCCTGCTCTCGTAGCCGGTGTGCTCCACGGGAGGGTTGCTCAGGTTTCCATAATAAAAGTTCTCGGCACCTGGCTGCCCCTCCGGTGGTGCCTGACCGGGCATGGTAGGGTAAATGTTCGGGTACGGGGAAGAAGTAGGTAGACCGAGTGATTGCTGTGAATATGCACTCGAGAGACGATCCTCCAACATCCGGTCATAATATCGCACCACAGTCGATAGCTTGGAGTGCAGGTCAAGGAGGGTGTCTGGATGAAAAATCACAGTCAGCGATGGGAGATTCAATGACTATATATCATGATGATCAGGGCTTTGGTAGGATACGCACCGTGCTTGCTCATCGTTTCCCCGTAACTTCGCGCTAGCTTAGGCCGGAGAGTCCCAATGCTCTCGTACAGCTCCTGTATTTGAGGCTCTCGCAGAATGGTTCCCGGTGGCTGGTGTTGTAAACGATCGACAAGAGTTGAGAAAAGGTGGATGTTCTCCATTTCGACAGCGCTCAGCTCGTAAGGGTTCTTGGGTAATGGGATATTATTGGTCGTGCTTGGCCGTCCTCCGACAGAGGGGTTGACCGGCGCGGTATTTTTCAGCTCTGCAGCGTACTTCTGTTTGTGTTCTTCCATATCGCGCAAGGATGCCTCGATGGCGGCCTTGAGGTCTGCGTCCTCCTCTTCCTCCTCCACGACCTGGGTGGTTTTTGTCGACGTCGTTGCTTCCACGGGCTTTGAGTGCGGAACGTAGCCCGACGAACCCTTGCCTTGGGCTTCCTCCAAGCTCATTTGCAATGCACGACGCAAGTCTTCGTCGAAGCCTCCCTCCGCTCGACCACTGCGCGGTTCCATCACGCTGGACTTGGTGATGGAGTTGTTTTTGAAGGCTGATCTATCTGAGAGCCCCGCCGGGGCGAACGACTTGGAGGTCAACTTTGCATAGCATCCATCATCGACACGGACTGGTTGTAGAATTCCCAGATGGGGGAGAGGGATGGTCTTGCTCGAGCACTGAGCATCGAACACATTGCCGCAGTTTCGACAGTGGTGTTTCCGGTTCATGAAGCTGAATGCGGTCCGACAGCGCATACACACGTCCGAGTCAATCCATTCAGGAGGCTGTCAGGCGACATGTATCAGCTACAAGCTGTTCTCCTACAGCCACACTTGGAAGTTGATGGAGTGGCAAAACTCACCGCGCTGCTTTCCAGCATGCTCCCGCTGATCTGGGTCTTGGGGGGGAACCGTAACCCTTCGCTTTGCAATCTCCGATACGTATCACCCAGGTACATCAGATCCATACGTCCCTGTGCAGCCATTGCCCAATCCTGGATCAGCTCCAGCATCTTATCTTTGACATCTGCGTTGAGCGGAGCGCCTTCGGCCTTCATGAGAGACACCAAGTTATCCATGAACTCGCGGGACGCAATCTCAGCTAAGAAGTGAGTGCCACCGTTCTTGACACATGTATCTGTAAGCTGTTCGACGTGTTACAAGTTGATCAGCCAACCGGTCCCAACAATCAACTCTCCTCTTTCCCCCGGGACACTCCCAAACTCACCTTCAACGTCGCGAGCTGCACGTTGGGATTGCGGTTCTCCAGTCTCCGCTTCAACGACCGCATTGCCTCCTTTGGCTGAACGCTTTTCGACCGGATGAGATCCGAAATCTCTAGATTCAAGGCAATGTCTTCCCTATTGCAAATCGGTCAGCTCTCCCGCACCCACGGCCCCCGAAGGCAACCATCCATCCAGTCGGCACTTTATCACACTTACAATGACGACGACGTCGCCCGCTCGATCTGCTCATCGAGCGGCGACGCCGAAGAAAACCAGCCTGCCATGATAAACAGAGAGAGAGAGAGAGCTCGCGGGGTGACTTCACAGGTAGCTTGTTTTGATGATCCGGAACCTATGACGTTGGGGGAAAGGGAGGGGAAAGAACCGAAAGTCCACCTTGAAAGGCGGTCTGCGAGAATCCCAAGAAGCCACTTGGAGAGAGCGGTGAATGCCGCAATACTTCACGATGCGAAAGACCTCGGACTGCCTCGCTGAGCAAAGGGCTGTCTTGCTCCCAGACGCTGCTGACGCTGAGCTCAAGGCAGAGAGATACTTTGATCCATACCAGGCACCCTTAGGTAAGGCCCGGAGCCACTGTTGGTGGCACAGCCAGTGAGCGTGTGGGATGGAGTGGCTGACTCAGCATGGGTGGCGTCATAGGGCGAAGGCGGTGAACTGGCCATGTGTCCTGTTATTGTGTATGGTACGGTATGGTATTTACAATACTGAATACATCCCCAGACAATATTAATCTGTTATTGTGGAGGTTACAAGCTGAAGTGCACCGCATGAGTAGTCCAAGGATAAGCTGAGATTTACATCCTGATCTAGACCTTTGATGATAAGTGGCTTGAATATTTATAGATATAAAAGCTCAAGGATCTAAGGATATATTGATTTGGTCAATGGAAGATATATTCCTCGGGCAAATGACGAATTCGCCGTCATGTTGCAGGAATTACATTTTATGGAGCAGTCATTACCTAGTACCTAGGTAGTAATAAATGTTGTTTTGCCTAGATATGCCCATGATATAAACATTAATAGGAGAGAGTATAATTATTATAGGCACCTACTAGGTACCTAGATACCTAGTTAATAATATGACTTAACTACAGTAGTTAGCTACCTAAGTATGAAGGCGGATCTGTATTGTAATCCTTCGTATCGTAATAACATAACACAGGATTCCTTACCCCAGAAACCATCCCACCTGCCAGCAGCCTCTTTGTGCTTCATCATCCGACGTCCGTCTCGACTTCCCTCGCCACGAGTCCTGGCACGGCTGGTTCTCGTGTGTTTGCAGTGCTTGCGTCCTCGGGTTTACTGTGGATGCCTGCGAAAAGAAAGCTCGTGTTTGCAGATCCGTTTTGTTGTTGCCTGCGAGTCGCCGCTTTCGCTTCTTCCTTGGTGCACCGTGACAAACAAACACCTTTGCCCCTCTCCCCGCTCCATCGGAACACTCCCCTGATCAGTTTGTGCCATGAGGTTTGCCATCTGAGACGATCATGACCTCCGATGCAGCGGCCCTGCCGTCTCCGCCGAGTTTCTCGCCATGGAATGGCGGAGCATCTGGTATACACTCCGGCGGAGAGCAGGCCAGCAGACCCGTGTCATATGCCAATGGCAATAGGCCGAGTGCCCGGTTTCCCAATATCAAAGATCTCCAGGATCAAGCTGCAGCCCTGGATGTGAATGAAAACACATCGGTAGGTCGCTTTTGATACCCCATAGGATTGGTTTGACAGCGCTAATGACGACGGGGGTGCCAGCTTAGTATTTTGTTAGAACGGGCAAAGAAAGCTATCGAGCAAGCGAGGGCCTTTTCGGACAATGACCAACCGGATAAAGCCTATGTCTACTACCTTCGGGCGTCGGAAATCACAATCAACATCATTCCCCATCATCCCGATTACCGATCGACCGTCACCCAGCGTCCAGGATGGTACAAGCAGTTTGCGGAGTTGATGATGGTATACACCTACAAACTGGATATGTGGATAGATCGCCCGTCAGCTGACAGGGAGAACAGGCGGTCCGGACGAAGCAGGGTACCATGGACGATATCAAACAGCAAATAATCGAAGACAATCTCAGGAGCAACGTTCAACCCGCCGGCAGCAGTGTGTATGTCTCTGAAAATGTGAACCAACGGGTGAATTCTCCCTCAGCCGGCGACTACAGTCCGAGAGGCCGCACAGACGAGATTGATGGTCACCGACTGCGAATGCCCAGCCCGTCAGATTATCGAAACTCCTCGGATCTCGCTCCACGACCCAACCGGTTCTCCACGCAGGCCGACGATGTCCTTGCGCAGCGCTTTGCACGGTTAAAGGCCACATCCCCTCCATCAGTGGGTGTGATCAGCAATGGGCAGAACGGCACGGTATCCATGCCTTCGCCGCCAAGGCATCTGGACGATTACCCTCCTCGACCACCGTCGAATCTGTCCCAGGGGAGTCTTACTGCTTTCCCGGCCCGACCTCTCGGACCGCGTAAGATGGGATCATCTCCGGGGGTTCCAACACTCCCCCCCAAGATTCCCTTGACTCACTCCCTCCCTCGGGCTCCAGACCCAGCCTACAGTCCCGTGTGGACGGTTCCCACGCAGCCTCCTCCGAACCCGCCGCGGACTTCAATGGAGAGCTCCCGTGCATCGACCTCTAGGTATTCGCAGTTCGTTGAGTCGCCTCATGGAAGCCCTCACCGTGCCGGCTTGTTGGATGACAACCCATACCGTTCGCGCACCCCCAATGGTGGTGTTCAGACCAGGGCAACCAAGAGCGCCTCTGCAGAGCTGCCGTACAACACAAGTGTGACAGCTCAGAAACTGATGGACTACCTCCGCAAATACAACATCCTACTCATCGATGTCCGCTCGCGAGAACAATATGATAATGGACATGTCTATGCCAAGTCGATCCTCTGTATTGAGCCCGTGGCCTTGAAGGAGAATGTTTCTGCGGAAGAACTGGAGGAACGGCTTGTTGTGTCCCCGGAGCACGAGCAGGCCCTGTTTGAGAGACGTAACGAGTTTGATATGGTGGTCTACTACGATCAGAATGCGGCCTCGGTCAGCTACCTTGCTGGCTCTCCCGTGGGGACCTCTGCCCCGCATCTTCGAGCTCTGTACGATACTCTTTACGAGTTTAATGCCTACAAGCCACTGAAGGATGGGCGCCCGCCCGCCCTTCTGCTGGGCGGACTTGATGCCTGGGTCGACCTGGTCGGACCCCAATCGTTGGCCACCTCGACGACAGCTGCTGTGATGGGATCCATCCAAACGAAGAAACCTGTCCGAAACCCCGGGCGACCGTTAGGACGGGTCCCCACGATGGCGAGCGCCAATTCTAGCTTGGAAGTTCGCAAGAGGCGGTTGCGCGAACAAAAGCCGTTGAACCCGGACGAGTTGACGGCCTGGATGGAACGATCGAAGAAGGAGGAGATCGACACCAGCAGCTACATTGGGGCGGAAGAGCTGGCCGAAGAGCCGGAGGAGGACGCCGACGCGGTGGTTCCTCCAACACCCTCGTTTGTGCATACCTATGAAGACTTCCTGCGGCGGTTCCCGGAGCCGCAATCTATTCAACAGTCGATGGTTATTGCTCCGGAAACCGGGGTGGCTGTTACGAACTCTGCCGCTCCCGGGTCGTCGTCCCCGGCATACCATGCGACGTCTGTCCCCATTGCGCCTTCTCGGCCTCCCCCAGCCGTTCCGCGACCAAGCTACAGCGGGGTGTCGGATGGCTCACAGATCCAACCGCCGCTGGAGCGGCAGAACTCGGCGGCGCGGACCGCGCTGTATACGTCGTACTCGGCGCTGAGCCGGCTGAAGCTGCCGCGGACGGGGCTGACGAACTTTGGGGTGACGTGCTACATGAACTCGACGCTGCAGTGTCTGAGCGCGACCGTGATGCTGAGCAAGTTCTTCATTGACAACCGATTCCGGTACTATGTGCAGAAGAACTGGAAGGGATCGCATGGGATCATGCCCGGGTTGTTTGCGAACCTGATCCGATCGCTGTGGAAGAACGATGTGGAGGTCATCATGCCGACCTCGTTCCGCAACTTCTGCGGGCGGTTGAACGTGGAGTGGGCGATCGATCGGCAGCAGGATGCGAAGGAGTTCTTCGACTTTGTGGTGGACTGCCTCCACGAGGACCTGAACATCAACTGGCAGCGCACGCCGCTGCGGCCGCTGACGTTCGAGGAGGAGGTGCAACGGGAACGGATGCCGATGGGCAAGGTGTCGCGGATCGAATGGGACCGGTACTGCCACCGCGAGGAGTCGTACATCTCGTCGCTGTTCGCGGGCCAGCACGCCAGCCGGCTGCGGTGCATCACGTGCGGGCGGACGTCGACGACGTACGAGGCATTCTACAGCATCAGCGTGGAGATACCCGCGACGGGGGCGGGCGACATCTACCAATGTCTGCAGAGCTACTGCAAGGAGGAGATGCTGAGCGGCGACGAGGTGTGGAAGTGCCCGTACTGCAAATGCGAGCGGGTGGCGACCAAGCAGATCATCCTGACGCGGGCGCCGCAGATCCTCGTCGTGCACTTTAAGCGCTTCTCGGCCTCCAAAACGCAGAGCGCACGCAAGATCCACACCCCGATCGAGTTCCCGCTGCATGGCCTCCGGATGGACGAGTTTGTGATCCCCTCGATGAATGCCAATGCCAATGCCAATGCCCATGCCCATGCCCATGCCCAGCTGCCGTCTGGCGGGGAGTACTCGACCGGTCCTCCCTCGCCGACGGCGGGGCCCTTTACGTACGACGCCTACGGCGTGCTCCGGCACCTGGGCAGCTCGATGGGCAGCGGACACTATATCTCGCTGGTGCGAGATGCGCAGCGCCACTGCTGGCGCAAGTTTGACGACGAGCGGGCGACGGACTTCCAGCCGCAGGACCTACGGCCCAAGGACCGGCTGCAGAACGAACAGGCGTACATTGTATTCTACGAGCGTGTTCCAGCGAAGTGATTTTCTTTTCCATTGTGCACCATAGACGCATTGACGATGTATATCATTGGATACGAATGATGATTACGAAGTACATAAGACTTGGTTATAGTAGATACCTCCTAGTTATATGATTAGCATACTATTACTACAGACTAGCGTTGCAGACCGACTTGAATAACCACTCCAAATGGTTACTCTGTGAGTCTGTCCTCTCTATTATCTAATCCAAGGCCGATTTCTTTGACTCAAATGATAATCGGCCTCTTCTCATTCGCAGATTCGTATCAGGCCACCGCCACGATAAGAAGAAGGTGAGAGAGAGGAGAGCGTCTGGACTCTGCAGCCCGGAGTCAGCGGGATAGGCTTCAAGTGCATAGAAGTACATGGAAGGACGGAACATGGGGAATCTAGAATAGAATGAGTCAATAGAAGGAGGAGAGATGCCCGTCCCTGGGCTTTGCGTAAAGAAACGCCTATCTGGATCTCCCGCGGTGCTTGCCGGAAATTATCCTCCTGCACAGGCACCAACACCTCCTCACCTCCTCCTCCTCCTCTTTCTTCTCGGGTAGACTCTTTTTCTCTCCGCTCTCGTTCTTCAACCTTTTTGCTCTCTTCTCCGTTGCGCTCTCCAGTCTCGATTCTTGCGGTTTCTTTCCTTTGGTTATTTATTTATTTATCTATTTAATTTTTCGTTTCAGTAAGTCTGCACTGTCTGCTCCTTATCTGTCAACAATCTCAACAAGACTCAACAATCTCAACACCACTCAACACCTCTCTCTCTACCTTTATTCCTTAGATACTACCTAGTCTAACAGTCTAGTCATGTCGAAGGAATTCACCCTCTCGGAAATCGCCGAGCACAACACCAAGAATGACCTGTACATGATCGTCCACGACAAGGTGTACGACTGCGGTTCTTTCGTCGACGAGCACCCGTAAGCACCACCACATGGGAATCCCCTTCTGAAATCATAACTCACAAATCACTGAATTGCCTAGTGGTGGCGAGGAGGTTCTCCTCGATGTCGCCGGCCAAGACGGCACGGAAGCCTTCGAGGACGTCGGCCACAGCGACGAGGCGCGTGAGATTCTCGAAGGCCTCCTTGTTGGAACCGTGAAGCGCATGGTACGTCTCATTTCCTCTATCCTTTTATCTATACCCCTACTCCTACTCATACTCATACTTATATTAGCCCGGCGATCCCGCCCCCCGCGCCCAGGCGCCTTCACAGTCCTCCTCGTCCTCTTCGTCGTCCTCTGGTGGATTCGGAATCGGTATCTACGCTTTTCTCGTCATCGGCGGTGCCCTCGCCTATTTTGCTTTCCAGTATACGCAGGCTGCTAGCCAGGAGCAGTAGCGAGTAGAGGTAGATTGTCTAGATGACGGGGATCAGAGACGACTATCGTTTCGAAGAAAAAAAGAGATAGGGGAATATAGGGGAAGTGATAGATGATAATAACCAGTGAATTCATTACATTACGTTTCATCTTGTACAGGAGTCCTTGTCACTAGGAATCTATTCAATCTACTGTAATGCTTTGAAAGATGGGAGATGTAGATGTGTATACAGCTTTGAATGTAAATAAAATAACAAGAAATGAGAATATGGTCAATCTTTTTCTCTCCCCGCTATCCTCCTCAATATTCCTCGATAGAATGAATCCATTACTTACTGCCCCCCCGCACGGCTTCGAGAATCAAGTCCCGCGCCGCCTCGACCCCCTCCTTGCTCCCCTTGACCTCGATGGCCTCGCCCTGGGCCTGACCCTTGGGCACGTTGATACGACACCCGGTCTTCTTGCGGATGGTGTTGATCTGGCTGCCTCCCTGGCCGACCACGAAGCGGTACGTGCGCGGGTCCGGCAGGATCAGGTACCCCGTCGCCGACTGCTGGCCGGCCGCGGCGATGGCCTTGTCGAGCGCGGCTCGGGCTTTGGCCACGTTCTCCGTCGGGCCGGATAGAACCCAGGGGATGGTGGTGGTGGTGGTGGTGGCGTCGCTGGCTTGCGGCGGGGGAGCGTGCTCGACGACCTTCCACGAGTGCGTGTCGGCCGGGAGGGCGCCGGGCTCGTCCGTGATCAGCGGGAGGGCGGCAGTGGTCTCGCGCGAGTCAATCATGGCGCTCGCAACAGGGCTGGGCTTGGGGGGCACGGGCTGGCCCGCGTGGTCGACCGTCACCTGGTAATCGTTGCGCAGGCGGCGGAAGAACGAGCCGTTGTCCGAGATGGCGTGGTGCAGGTGCCGGGGCACGGCGACCGTCTCGCCCTGCTGGCCCTGTAGTAGGGTGAGGATGTGGGCTTGGGCGTCGGCCACCGCCGTGCTGGGACCCTTGATCTTCACGTCTGCCCGTCCGGACCCTTGCTTGGGGATGTCCAGGCTCACGTTGAACTGCGACTCGATGCCCCGGCGCGTGTCGCCGCCGCGCCCGATCAGCAGCCGGTGCTGCGGCTGCGGCACCTCCAGCGTCACCACTGTCTGGTCCTCGCGCTCCCGCACAAACGCCTCGATCGCCGCTTCAATGTTCGCTACCACCTGGCTGCTACCTTCGAGCCGGATCGTCGACTCGCTGCTCTCGGGTCGGGGGAACTTGACCGTCCGCGCAGCCGCTCCATCGCTAGGACCGCCGGCGTCAGCCACGATCTTCCGGATATTAGATCCTAAAAGAATCGTTAGCAAGTTTTTTTTTTTTTTTTTCCTTTTCTCACGTCACGTCAACTGTCTCGTCAACTGATGAAAATTTCTTACCCCCCGCTCCAATCAGAGCCTTGTGGTACTTCTTGTCGATATCAATTGTCTTGGTGACGGTGGCGTCAAACTCGGACGACCGCTGCTGGAGGATCTTCTTGGCTTCCTCGACCTGCTTCTTGGTACCCTTGATCTTGATCTGCACGCGGCCCGAGGCGTCGGACGGGTCATTGGCGCCCGGCACGTCGATCTGGGCGCCTGTGTCGGCGCGCAGCTTATCCATCTCACGGCCGCGCTGACCGATCAGGGACGGGATCTGGCTCTGCGCCACGGACACGGTGGCCGCGTGCGAGTGATCGACGACCCACTGGAGCAGGCTGAGGATCTCGTCGCGCGCCTGGTCCGCACCCTTGCTCGGTCCCTTGACGTACACCTCATCGGCGGCCGGTTGGGGGCGACTGGGCCGTGAACCACCGGTTTCACTGGCGGTATCGGCCACGGACTGGTCATCCGCCATGACGGCTGTGGCCGCGGCGGCGGCGCGCGGGAACTGGACGCGCACGTTGTACCGGTCCTGGAGGCGGTTGACCTGGCTGCCTTTCTGGCCGATGAGTTCGCGGTGGTACTGGGCAGGGATCTTGAGGATATGGGTGGTCTCGTCCTCCAGCTTCTTGCCTAGGTTGATGATGCGAAGTTTGGCGGCGTCGGCCTTGGCCTTGGGTCCCTTGACCTCCACCTTGCCGTTCTCGACCTTGATGTCCACATCAAACTCCTCCCGGAGCTTGTTGATGTTCTCGCCGCGCTTGCCGATCAGGAAGTTGGCGAACTTTTGCGGGAAGTCAAAGGTAGTCGTGTATCCTCGTTCCAGGTCATCCTTCTCTTGCTCAACGACAAACGCCTCCAGCTGGGCGACGAGATCGTCAATGGCTTGGGTGCGGCCACGCAGCGAAACCTCGCACTTGGCAGCGGCATCCCGGCCACGAACATCCCCGACGATGGCACGCACCGGAATCTGCCCTTCTTCCTGTGCCTGCTGCTCGCGAGCAATGAACCGGCGAACCTTGTCTTGATACCTAGAGAGGAGATTAGTGTAAAGGAAGAAGGAAGAAAAGAAGAAAGGGATAAACGTACTTGCCCGGAATGTCGACGGCCTTGGAGACGACGTTCGACTGATCACCCAGAGTGGCCAAGAGGTACTCCTGGGCCTCCTGCAGGGACTTTTCAAAGGCGGCAACATCGGCAGGCGAAGGTCGTTGCCTGGGAATCTCAAAGGGAGCCCCGGACGCCGAGGGTCCTTCGTAGACAAGGAAGACGTCGGAGGAATCAGACTCGTCGGGGACCAGGAGATGCACGCCAAAGTCATCCTGGAGTTTGCTTGCGCTGCGGGACTGCAGGTACGGATGGAAATAAGGGTCGACGGAGACGTTACGGATCCTGGTGGGCGGGTGGGCCTGGACGACATTCATGATGTCCGAACGCGCGCGGATGGTGTTCTTGCCGTCGCGGGAATAGACTTCCCAGGTGACGGGCCCGTCCAGGGAGGGCGGGAGCGCGATGCGGGCGTCGTACATGGCCTCAAGCTCCTTGATGATTTGGCGTTCCTGGAGGTAGCGGGTCAGGGCGCGCGCGTGGGCGTGGGGGCCCGCGGGGGCACTCGGGTGCTGGCGAGAGAGGTCGATGCTGGCCATCTGCATGCTGGTGGCAAGATCCATGGCGCGGTTGATGCCCGCTTCGATGCAGCTGGGGGGACCGGTGATGGTGAGGAACTCGCTGTCGTCGGACTGCGGGGGGAGGATGATGGCGCAGCCGGTGTCGGCCAAGAACTCGTGCAGGGCGTCGGCCTCGTCGCCCAGGATAAACTGGTGCTGACCGCGGTTAATCGCCAGCTGGCGGAGGGTGAGCTGGTGCTGCAGCTGGGCGGCGAGACTCTCAATCTCGGCGCGTGCCTGTTGAGTGGCGGCGCGCTCACCAGCGATGCGGATGTGCCTCTCCGGCACGGGGGCAAACTGGATCTGACCGAGGCCGGCCTCCTGCGGTGGAGGCTGGCTGGTCCAGGTGTCGTAGCGGGGCACATGCACCTGGGCCTTGGTCCGCTCCTCGATATCTCTCAGGTTCGCGTTATGGGCACCAGCGATGAAGGGGAAAAACTCGGGCGGAATGGACTTGAGTTTGAGGTTCATGTTCGAGGCGCGTTCCTTGACGATGGCCTCGATCTCCCGGCGAGCCATTTCCGCGGCCACAGCGTCACCTTCGATCAGGACATCGATCGTGTCGCCATCATCATCGTCCTCCGCGGCGGGGGATTCGTCCGCACGAGGAACTTGGACGCGGGCACCGGTACGTTGCTGGATTTCCTGAACCACAGCACCCTGGCGGCCGATAATATGAGGGCGAGCAGAGGTGGGGATTGGCACGCGGACCGATTGCTACACCATGTTAGACTTGTACACAAAAAAAAAAAATCAAATGAGCAGGAAAGCAAGTACCTTGGATCCAACCTGCTGAGCAACCTCCTTGAGGGCCTGGCGAACGGCATCTACAGAACCCTTGCCTTCGAAGATGATGGAACCTCCGGGGCCACCGCGCATGTCGACATTGGCCTTGGATCGCTTGGAAATGTCACGTAGAATGTCACGCAACGGCTTCTTGAGCTGGCCGCGGGGGAGCATTTGGGAGGGGACGAGTCGAAGCTGTTCCATGTGCTTTCCAGGCAGAGACATGATGCGAGGCGCGCCAGAAATATCCAAACCGGGTGCTATAGCATGAAAGAAAAAAAGAATTAGTTGTGATTGTCACTCCCGGGGCCATTCAGATGAGGGGAAGACGAACCGGCTGGCTGAGCGCCATTGGCGCCATTGGCGACCGCGGAGGCGAGAGAAGGCTTCGCACCCCAGGTAGCCGGAGCGGCGGCCTTGGGCTTGGGGCCGCTGCCAAGGGCAGGGAACAATTCCTCCGATCGGACGTCAAAGGCCGGGCCGGCCTTCTTCTTCGGCGGGGGGGCGGCGGCGGCTTCGACGGGGGCGGCGGTGGATGATTCGGGCTCGATGAGGGGGCCAGGCGTTGTGGGCACGGCAGACGACAACGACGACGACGGCGGAGGGTGGATCACGTCCTCTTCATCCTTGACTTCTTCGACCGTGACTTTGTGGGCTTCGTCACGAGCATGCTGTTCCTCGAGCATCGCGGCCAGGGACTTGGTGCCGTTGGCACTGGAGACATCCGTGGCCATGGTGAACAAACAGACAAGGGAGAGAGCGAGAGAGAGAGAGAGAGAGAGAGAGAGAGAGAGAGAGCTATTGATTTAAATTCTGGTGTATAAATTGATAATTAGTCTCTGTGCCAAGTGAGCTGGATCCAAGGGAAGCATCTTGCGTACAACCAATTGCCAAATCCAACGTTGAGAGAGGTTGAGTTCCACGACGCGAATTGGATCCAAGAGATGATGAGAGAAGATAGCAAATCGAGAGAAGAATAGATTAATGAATAGAATCCAGGAAATGCACCCGGTCAGAAAGCACGATCTTTCTATCTGGCGCTGGATACGCAGCACGAACGCCTATCACACGAGGAGGTTCGTGTGACGCCAAGAGCCGACGAGGGCGCAGTAAGAGGAGAGAAGAAGAGAAGAAGAGAAGAGGGGAAGAGGGGAAGGGAGAGAAGAGAGAGAAGGGTGAGGTTGAGAGAGGAGGGGAGTGGGAGAGGAAAAGGGAGTTGGCAGGCAATAATGGACGAGGGAGAGAGAAGGTCAGGGAAGAGGAAGAGGCCAGCATCGAAGGTCGGCGTGGGAAAAAAGCCGGGGCTGCTGAGCCGCACTCCGCCACTAAGAATTGGCATGAGATAGCGACGTTTAGCAGGGAGAATTCAAGGGGAAGAATGGATAGAAAGAGTCAATTAGTATATTAGAGGGAGCGGTTTATTAATTGATCTTCAATGGCTGTGTAGACCCGAGTGAGGCTGGTGAATACTGATTCTTGAGTCTATTGACAATATTAATATTTCCAATATTGATATCTATCCACAATAGTATCATATTATAGATACTAGGTAGTTAAATAATAGTATTGATTGAATAACTCGATAATCTCAATGGCTTTAATTGATTGAGTAGACTGTAGTTACTGTCCTGTAGGCTGTCACTATATGGAGTAGGTACTAGATCATATGTACTCCATCATAAGAGAATTGAGAGAAGATTGGTTGAAGAGTATTGAAGAGTATAGCAGAGAGTTCATAATAAATAGCTATTAGGTAACTACCTGATTACGTAGAGTTGAAGACTCCTTCTAATATATTATTGTCAGTCAATATGAGACGTTGATAATAATAAATAAGCCAAGATGTCAAGGAGGCTTTAATTATCCACTGTTATTATTACTATTACAGTACCTTATGACAGTATGACACAGTACTCATAGTAAAACAGGTAACTAGTATATTCTGTATATACTCTAATATACTAGCTAATTCAATCTCCTCTGTGCTCTATCTTATTCTATTTATCTCTGTAATATTAATATTACTACATACTAACTACCTCATAGGTAATGGACTAATATCACTGCCTAAGGTACACTTAGCGAGGGACCTGCATTGTGTGACGGGCAAGGGTAAGGCGCGTCGGTAATTACAATACGAATACCACCCACTTAAGAACCCCGCTGTCATCTAGAATAGAGGTAGAATATCCTTAATATCAGTGTATATACAGTGACACACACACATATATCTAGTATCTATGAGGTCTTCTATTTGAGATAGGATGATTCATTGACTATTATCTAGGTAGATACCTATCAGTGATTCTATTCTTATAGTACTCAGTGAGCTGGTTCGATTGGCAAGAATACATCACATTAACCAGTCAATAATTTATATAGTAAATAACCAATAAATACTACAAAATAATACTCAAAAAGAATATTAAAAAAAAAAATAAACACTACATACTAAAACACTGTAAATTATTATGCCTGCTCTGTGGCTGGGCTGGTCCGTCTCCCCATTTCATTTCATTTCAAGTTCTCCCGCCTGCTGCCCGCCAATTTCCCTCCTCGCCTCACCTCCACCATGGCCAGCAGCAGCACCCGTCCTTCGCCAGACGTCTTCTCATCCTCTCCGTGGTGATTCCATCGCTTGCTCGGCTTGCCTACCATCTGGCTCCCTTCTCTCCATCTCCCTTGCCTTGTGTGAGCTCTCCCAGCTCCCCCGGTTCCAACAAGTCGGACTGTACCGACGTACGTACTCGGTCCATACTCCTCCTCTCCCTCAGTGCTCACCTTGTCCCCCCAGCAGATCTCCCACGTGCAATCTATACCAGACAGTGGAAAAAAAAAATAAAAGAAAGACACGAAACCAAAAAGGACCTACGCCTTTTTTTATTTTTATTTTTTTTCCCTTTTTCTGCATCCCCCTTGCGTCGTACTGCGGGTTTGTTTCTCGAGCAACTGGCCGGCCAGTGGGCAGTCCGTATCACACACACACACACACACACACACACACACACACACAACGAACGATAAGCCCCGAACACTCCTTTTGAGGAGGGAGGAACTCGAACGCCCGCACCGCCGCATCGTCAGTGGCTTCTCCGTTCCGTCCGTCTTTATCGTTGTGTCATTGGCGTTGCTGTCCGAGTCTCCCTGTGACGGGACGGACGACGATCCGGTCAGTCAACGCTCACTCACCATGAACCAAGACACCTTCTCCTCGCTCAAGCTGCGTCGCCCGTCCAGCAAGCTGCACAAGGACCCGCCGCCGAACGTCAATTCGCGCAGCCTCAAGAGCCAGCAGAGCAACACTTCATTGAAAAGACACCCCTCCGCCCCCGTCTACCCGCGTTCCTCGGGCAGTGGCAGCCGAGAGCATCTGCGCACCCGCTCCAACGCCTACGGTTCTTCCTCCTCCTCGCTGGACCAGAGCAGCGCCGGGGCCTCTCCCGTTCTCGTCAATAGCAATCACGACTCCAGCTATTTCACCTCCTCCTCCTCCTCCAAGCCTCGCCACCCAGGCCGTTTCTCCTTCAACAACGAGCTCAGCTCCGATGATCTGATCGGCGCCCCCTTCGACACCCGCGGGATGCTCGGCGCCCTCGACGAGAACACGGTCGCCGAATCCGACCGTACCCCTCCAAGCTTTCTACAACACCAGCAACACCAACACCAGCAACAACAACAACAACCCCCGCCCTTACTATCCTCCCACACAAGTCCCGATCGCATTCAGACCCTCCGGCAGTCGGCCAGTTTCTCCGCCCTGCACAAACGCATGGATGGTTTCCGCGGGGGTGGTGGTGGCGGCGGCGGCGACCCCGACCGCGGCCTGACTGCCAAACGCTACTCAGACGAGGGTAACGTCAAACCCCCCGGTCGCAGCAAAAAGAGCAGCTTCTCGAGCTTCGTCACCAGCATGCTCGGCTCCCCCCGTAACATCAAAATCTCCGCTCCGGAGAACCCCGTCCACGTCACCCATGTCGGCTATGACAATCAGACCGGTCAATTCACCGGCCTCCCCAAGGAGTGGCAGCGTCTGCTTCAGGAGAATGGCATCTCCAAAAAGGAGCAAGAGGCTCACCCTCAGACCATGGTCGATATCATGCGGTTCTACGAGAAGAATACCCGCGGCGATAGTGACGAGGAGGTCTGGCACAAGTTCGACCACGCTCAGCCTCTGAAATCCCCCACGGTCACGCCCATCCACGTCAGTACCACCATGACCACTATCACCACCACCACCTCCTCCTCCTCCTCCCCCTCCCCCTCCCTCAATAACTCCGGCGCCTCCGCCCCGCGGGCTGCCTCTCCGACAAGCCCGCGCTTCCCGCAGAATCATGAGGGTAGCTTCGAGAACCCACGCGCTCCTCCGCCCATTCCCCGTGCACCACCCGCCACGGCCGCCATGTCTCCCCCGCTTGGGGGCCTGGTCCCGAACCGCTCGGCACCTAAACCCCCCGCAGTCCCTGCTATCGTACCCGCTCGCCCCCCCCCGGTACCCCCCGTGTCCAGCCCTCCTCCTCCTCCTCCTCCTCCTCCTCCTCCTCTTTCTTCTTCTTCTTCTCCTTCGTCTTATACCGCCACTCCCAATAACCTAATGCGGTCGACAGCCGATCCGGCCTACGGCACCGCCTTTTCCACGCCGCCCATTATCCCGGAGACGGAATCGCTGCCGCCACAGCAGTCACAGTCGCTCAGCAGGTCAAACTCCCGCACCAATGGGACCACCCCCGCCGCCGGCGTCCGCATGCCGCCGGCATCATCGGGACCCATCGCAACGCCCACCCAGTGGCAGCAGCAACAGCAGCAAGCGATGGCCTTGGCCCAGCAAAAGCTGAAACAGTCCAAGGAGCTGGAGCGAAGCCGCAGCCAGAGTCAACGCCAGCCCGAGTACCAACCACCGCAGCAACAGGCAATGCACGCCGTAGATCCCCGGATCCCCGTTGCGCAGCCAGCACCGCCGGTGGCAGTGGCGCCGCCCATGTCCCCGCAGGCGAGCGATGCCTCGGGGATGCCCGGGTCCACGTCCGCCGCGGCGCGTGCACCACCTGCGGCGCGGCCACGGCAACGGGCGCGCCAGAGCAACATCATGGATGTGCGTGCCCGCCTGGCCTCAATCTGTACCCCCGGCGATCCGACCAAAAAGTACTATAACCTGAACAAGATCGGCCAAGGAGCCTCCGGCGGCGTCTACACCGCCTATGAGGCGGGCACGAACAACTGCGTGGCGATCAAACAGATGAACCTCGACCTGCAGCCAAAGAAGGATCTGATCATCAACGAGATCCTGGTCATGAAGGACAGCAGGCACAAGAACATTGTCAACTTCCTGGACAGCTACCTGCACGGCCTGGACCTGTGGGTCGTCATGGAATACATGGAGGGTGGCAGTCTGACCGACGTGGTCACCTTCAACATCATGAGCGAGGGCCAGATTGCCGCAGTCTGCCGCGAGGTGAGCTTTTTTTTTTTTTTTTTTCTTTTCTTTTTCTTTCTATTTCTATTCTACACTTGCGTATTTATCTAACTTTTTTTAAGACTTTGAATGGCCTGCAGCATCTTCACTCCAAGGGTGTTATCCACCGTGATATCAAGTCGGACAACATTCTTTTATCACTAGACGGCAACATCAAGCTGAGTGCGTTCTCTTCTCTTCTTCTTCATGTTCTTTCTAATTATTGTAGCCGATTTCGGCTTTTGCGCCCAGATCAACGACTCGCACCACAAACGAAACACGATGGTCGGCACCCCGTACTGGATGGCCCCCGAGGTGGTGACGCGCAAGGAGTACGGGCGCAAGGTGGACATTTGGAGTCTGGGCATCATGGCCATCGAGATGATTGAAGGCGAGCCGCCGTACCTGACCGAGTCACCGCTGCGGGCGCTTTACCTGATCGCCACCAACGGCACCCCGGCCATCAAGGATGAGCAGAACCTCTCGCCTGTCTTCCGGGACTTTTTGCATCTCGCCCTCAAGGTCGACCCGGAGAAGCGAGCCTCGGCGCACGACTTGCTCAAGGTATGTTTCTTGCCTTCCTTCTCTTGTCTCCCCTCTTCTAACCTTCTCTCAGCACCCCTTCATGTCTCTCTGCGAACCGTTAACGCACTTGGCCCCCTTGGTCAAGGCGGCGCGCATCAGCCGCGCCCAAGAAAAGGCGCAAAAAATGGCTTAGGCTTCGGCTTGAGCGATGACCCTTCTGTTTCTCTCCTTGATACCCATTGATTGACTTGACCATGATATGACTGGATTTTTTTTTTTTTTTTTTTCTCTCTCCCTATCTTTTTTCACACTTCCTGTTTCCTGTTCAGCTTACGACCACACATAGACTGCATTATTTCTGCCACGCTTGATGGATCTAGATGTAGAAGTACTAGTTTTAAGATTTGTTGAAAAGTTGGCTGCAGTAACCAAAGTATTGGTAGTATAACAGTAGTATAATGAGGAGATCCTGTACCATTGAAGGATCTGAAAATAGACTGCTTGTGGATATTGAATAGAATAGAGATGCCTAGCGATACTTCGCCATCAGTTCCAAGACCCCCCTCATCTTTCTGAATAGAACTCTTATTTATCTCATACCTATCAAGTCAGTACTATAGTATAAGTCTACATTTTACTCTATTTATCTGGGAGAAACTTCTAATCCTCACTGTCATCCAGACTCCACATACGTCGTGCCAAGGCAACCACCTCACAGCCGCACTGCATCATCAGCGTCTACACCACGACCACTACTACACCACGACCACTATCGTACTCTACGACCTAACCGCTCTGCAGCAAATCTAATCGGATCGAACTATTCGTCGAACCATTCCCGTACGACTCCAATACCCTCTCTCGGTTGCCCGGCCATCGTTATTCCCCTCGATCCCCGCATTCTCACCTTTCCCTCGTGGCGTGGGCTTGGATACGGAGCTCCCCCCTGGACCATAACGGAAGATACTGGTGTGAATTTGACGGTGGGATGTTTCGCGCCCAGCAGAACGTCTTCGACGACGCAGTCGGTAAGTCTCTCTTTTTTTTTTTTTTCTCGGACCTTATATCCCAGCACTGCAGCTAAAGCACCCCAGCCAAGGCGACCGATGAGAACCTCACCTCTGAAAACTGGGAATATATTCTTGTACGCCCTTGATCTATATCTCAAGCAGTCCCTGGCGCGCGTTGATGCTGAGTTTCTCTAGGATGTTTGCGATAAAGTCTCTGCGGAAGAGTCAGGGTATGTCTATTTCTACATGGGGAGTTTGAGAGTGTCGTATGATTGATATGCTGTTTGCAGGGCGAAAGATGTCGTCGCGGCGATGATTAAACGGTTGGCGCATCGGAATGCGAATGTACAGTTGTATACTTTCGAGGTATCCTCCCGACCATTCATATCTCCTCTATCTAGAATCATGGTTGATGGTGGAAATAGCTTGCCAATGCGTTGGCTCAGAATTGCGGACCGAAAATCCACAGGGAGCTGGCGTCGAGGAGTTTCACGGATGCACTTCTCCGTCTGGCGAACGACAGGGTAAACCTCTCTCTCTCTCTATCTCTCTCTATGGTGTTGTCGGGTCCCTTGACTAAGAAGTAGCAGAACACACACCAGCAGGTCAAGGCGAAGATTCTGGAACGGATGCAGGAGTGGACGGAGATGTTCGCTAATAACCCCGACTTTGGGATTATGGAGCAGGCGTACATGAAGTTGAAGACGCAGAGTAAGCCGTCTTGAAATTACACAGTGAACTGCGAATCTAACAGGTTAGATCCCAATTTACAGCCGCCTTCCAAACCGGTCAAGAGCGAGATCACCGACCTCGATCGCCAGAAGGAAGAGGAGGAACTGCAGATGGCTCTGGCGCTGTCTATTCGTGAGAAACCGGCCGGTGAATCTGCTGCTGCGCAACCGCAGGCCGAGGCCAGTACGGCAGCAGCAGCAGCAGCAGCAACAGCGACGACGGCGGGGGCGGCAACAAACGGACAAGGACAGCAGCAGGCGTCTCAGCCCGTACCGTCGGGCACTTCGGCGGCAACGGTGTCTCGCGTGCGTGCTCTGTTCGACTTCCAGCCCTCGGAACCGGGCGAGCTGCAGTTCCGCAAGGGCGATATCATTGCCGTGCTCGAGTCGGTGTACAAGGACTGGTGGAAAGGTTCGTTGCGTGGGCAGACGGGCATCTTCCCACTCAACTATGTCGAGAAGCTGCCGGACCCGACGGTCGAGGAGCTGCAGCGCGAGGCCCAGATGGAAGCCGATGTCTTCGGCCAGATCAAGAATGTCGAGAAGTTGCTCACCCTGCTCAGCACGCGCAGCTCGGACCTCAACGCCCAGGATAACGAGGAGATCACCGCTCTGTACCATTCCACCCTGGCCATCCGTCCTAAACTGATCGAACTGATTGGCAAATATTCTCAAAAGAAGGGTACACTCTAATGCCTTTCTTCCTCTCTTCTTCTGCTAATAGAATAGATGAATTCACAAAACTCAACGAAAAGTTCATCAAGGCAAGACGCGACTACGAGGCCCTCCTGGAAGCATCCATGGCACACCCGACGTTGCCTCAGCCTGCCTACGGACGACCAGCCCAGCCGGCATATGTTTATCCAGGCCCAGGTCCCGCGGCGTTGGGGTATCCGTCGGATCCTCAACGGTACTTTAGTCCGCGACCAGGTGAGTTGTGGAAAAGGGGCGAAAGAAATCAGATGATTACCGTTCTAATATAGGAAAAACCTCCATAGAAAACCAACAACCTCCTGCCCAGTCGGTCTCGCCCGGCTACTACGAACAGTCCCACGCTCCCTATCCTACCTCTGGCCCGTCGCCCGACCCTCGCAGTCGACCCGTACAGCAACAACCGCCTGCTGCTGACGCTTACCAACCGGTGAGCCACCGGCCCCAATCCACCTACGACCACCCGCAAGAGCTCGGAACGTCCGTCTACGACTCCCCCGTTGACCATCATCGCCCCTCCTATCCCATCGGCGGCGGCCAGGTCTCCCCGCCCGCTCATGTACAACAACAAGATTATCAGCCACCTGCCTACCCGCCAGACGAGGGTGTTCCATCGAATGCCCCTTACCCTCAACAACCCCAGCCCCAGCCCCAGCAGCAGCAGCAGCAGCCTCCGTACCCGACTCCCTCGGTCCCTGCTACCCACCAACCGCCTCCGGCTCACCAACCACCCCCGGTGCCTGGCGCCGCAGCACAACCGACCCCGTATCCTTCCATGACTCCTGGTGCGTCCGCTGGCGGCGAGTATCAGGCATACCAGCGTCCGGGGGCGACCAATTCGAACCCTTCATCGTACTACAGATAGTTTTTTTTTTTTTTTTTTAGTTCTACCATCCCCGCATGTTTCATGTTGTATCTGACATATGGATTGTTGAGTTAGCGAAGCAATCCACATTCTCGAATAATACATAAATAGACAGTGCCTATGTAGTAGTAATCCTCTTTGTATAAATCCTATAAATCCTATAGATCCTCTTAGATCCTCTCTGTTAGCCTTAGGCTCCCCACCAATCACGTGACCGTGCCTCATCACCAGCTATTGCCCTCCCAGAGTCGAGACACGCAAACACATCATCGCTGCTCACACACCACGATTGAACCCCCTGTGAATCCGAATCCGAATCCCCCTGCTTTACCACGCCGGGTTCTCGATTCCACGCGTCATCCTGTCGATTTGTCTGCTCGTGCCTTGGCCTCGACGGATTCCCATCGAAGAGCTTCCCCGCACTTCGCGCCCTCGATCGAAGAAACGATGCCTAGCCTCGCGGTGTTACCGTCCGGGTAGACTATAAAAAAAAAAGAAAGAAAACAACAAAAGGATACGCGGGAGACGTTCGGTGGTCTTTTCTGCTGGAGCCATGGAGGCCGACTGGGATGAGTTGTCGCGTATCCCTGTGCCGCCGCCGAATCCGCACGGGTTGCCTACCATCGCGACGACTTTGGCGTTTGATGATGTGCAGGAGTTGCTGTGGGTGGGGAATGAATATGTAAATTGACGGACGAATGTTCTAGGGGGGGCTTGGGTTCATTGCATGCTAACTCTGTCAGGGCCGGATCGTTTCGTTCTACGGACCGGAGCTGCAGCGGTACACGTCTGTCAGGGCCCATCCTGCGGCCGAGGGCCCCGTACGGCAGATTCTATTTCATGAGAGGGGGGTGATCTCGTTGTCGTCGCGGAGTGTGCATATGATTACGCGGCGGGGGCTGACGCAATGGCATATCGCTCACGAGGAGATGGTGGACCTGCGCTGCATGAGTTTCACGGCGCAGACGAACCGGATCCTCGCCGCGGGCTGCCAGAAAGTCATGTTTACCATCGACATTGATAAAGGGGTGATTGTGGACAAGCTGCCGACGGAGCATCACTACACGATCATGAAGCGGAGCCGGTATCTGTGCGCCGCGACGGACACGGGCTCCGTCAACGCGCTGAGCATGGCGGATTTCAGCGTCGTCAAGTCGTGGAAGGCCCATGGCACCGCCGTCAACGATATGGATGCCCGGAATGACTTCCTCGTCACCTGTGGCTTTTCGGTCCGGCATCTGGGCTCGCCCATCGTCGACCCCTTGGCCAACGTCTACGACCTCAAGACCCTGTCTCCATTGCCGCCCATTCCGTTCCATGCCGGAGCGGCGTACGTCCGCATGCATCCGAAGCTCCATACGACGAGCTTTGTAGCCTCTCAGACGGGCCAGCTCCAGGTCGTCGATCTGATGAACCCCAACGCCATCAACCTGCGCCAGGCGAACGTGGGCTTCATGCTTGGTATCGACATCTCCCCCTCCGGCGAAGCCCTGGCGATCAATGACGCCGAGTGTGCCGTTCACCTGTGGGGGTCGCCTGCAAAGATTCATTTCAATGAGATGAGCAAGGAGACGGAATTCGCCGACGTGGCTCCCCGCCCGCCCCCGCTGGACTGGACCCCTGAGACGCCGTTGAACATGATCGGCATGCCCTATTATCACGAGCGTCTGTTTTCGGCATGGCCCAGCCACCTGCTCTTCGATATCGGCAGCCCGCCCCCGCTGATCGATCAGTCTCTGCTGCCGTATCTGCGTCCCGCGGAAGTCGGCCATTACGCGCCCAACCCGAAGAAAGTCCGCCGCTATCAGGTCGAGAACACCCGGGCCCTGGCTTCGGCAGAATCAGCGCTCGTCGCCCCCAAGTTTCTCAGCGAGAAGGCTCGCGAACAGAGCAAATCCAAGTCGGACGGATCCATCGGTGACACGATCGATGCGCTGGCAAGTACCAAAATCAATGGGGAGGCAGACGACGATCCTCTCCTCAAATATAGCAATGTCGAAATCAAGTATAGCAGGTTTGGCGTCGATGATTTTGACTTTCGGTCAGTTCTTCCTCCTCTTGCTATCAGCCTCTTTTAAGCATTCTAATCCATGCAGATTCTACAACCAGACGGCCTTTTCTGGCCTCGAAACCCACATTGCGAATTCCTTCACCAACTCCCTTCTACAACTGTTCAAGTTCATTCCACTCATGAGCAATCTCGCGCTTCATCACACCGCAGGCACATGTATCTTTGAGAATTGTCTGCTTTGCGAACTGGGCTATCTGTTCGATATGCTAGATAAGGCCAATGGCCAGAACTGTCAGGCAACCAACCTGCTCAAGACGTTCAGCAACTTCCGCGAAGCGTCCAGCTTGGAGCTGCTCGAGGAGAACCTCACCAACAAATCTCTTGCCACCGCCATCCAAGCAGTGAACCGATTCTTCCTCACCCAGATATCGCACGACTACCGAATGATCCAACCGAGCGCGGACGACCTGGACCAGACCCTCTCGACAGTGGCCTTGGAATCCATCCGCTGTATGTTCTGCCAGAACAAGACCGTGCGGCCGTTCAACTCGTTGGTCAATGATATGATCTACCCAAACCTGGACATCAAACAGGCGCGCCGGAACCCGGCCTTCCGTTTCTCCAATATCCTCCGCGCAAGCATCGAGCACGAGAGGCAAAACCGAGGCTGGTGCAATCAATGTCGCCGGTACCAGCAGGTTACAATCCGGAGGTCCATCCATCACATGCCGCATGTTCTGATCCTAAACACCCTCCTGAACAGTCCCGTCTACCGCCGGCTGTGGGCTGTCCCAGGATGGTTACCCGAGGAGGTCGGGATTCTCATTGAGAACGGACAAGTGGTTTGCTTCGAGGGCGATGATCTCAAGATGCGTGTCCAGAGTAACAACACCCCGGGCCTCCTGGTGTATGAGCTGGTCGGGTTTGTCTGCGAGATCGATATCCCGGAGCACCAGAAACCGCATCTCGTCTCCTTCATCAACGTGTCTGTGTCGGCACGTCAGCCCGACCCGACCAACAGATGGCATCTATTCAACGACTTCCTCGTCACCGAGGTCGACAAGGAGGAAGCCCTCAAATTCAGTCAGCCGTGGAAGCTCCCTTGCGTATTAGCTTTTCAGGCCAAGGAAGCTCGTCATGCGGTGGATGACTCCTGGAAAGACGCTCTTGACACTACCCTGCTGTTTCGAGAGTGGTCGATGAAGTAGGTTTTTTTTTTCTTTTTTCTCCTCTTTATCAAAATAATCTAGCTAACATCAAAAGTGGTGGTCCTACCAATCCATCATGTCAGACTCTCGACAGCAAAGAACGGCCTGAACCCGGCACACCCGTCGCTCTAGATACCGAGTTTGTTGATCTTGAAAAGGCCGAGATCGACGTCAAAGCCGATGGCTCCCAGGAGATTGTACGCCCGAGCAAAAGCGGCCTCGCGCGGGTGTCTGTCCTCCGCGGCTCCGGCCTCAGCGAGGGCGTCCCCTTCATCGACGACTATATCACCATCAAGGAGGCGATTGTCGATTACGTTACGCAGTATTCCGGCATCAAGCCCGGGGATCTGGACCCCCGAACCAGCCACCATAACCTCGTCCCCCTCAAGGTGGCCTACAAGAAGCTCTGGCTGCTTCTGAATCTAGGCTGCGTGTTTGTCGGACACGGGCTGGCGTCTGATTTCCGCAAGATCAACATCCAAGTCCCCAAGTCCCAGACTGTGGACACGCAATACCTCTTCTTCCACCCGAGCAAGAACCGCCGGCTCAGCCTGCGGTATCTGGCGTGGGCGGTGTTCAAGGAATACATCCAGGAGGAACCGACGGACGACGTCCAGGGCCACGACTCCATCGAGGACGCCCGCATGGCCCTGCGCCTGTGGAAGAAGTTCCAGGAGTACGAGGACGCGGGCATCGTCACGCAGATGCTCGAGGAGATCTTCCGCGAAGGATCCAGGCTGGCTTTCCGGCCCCCCCCGCGGAATGGCACCGCCACCGTCCTGTCGCGCCCGGGCACCGCCGTCACGATGCAGAACAGCGGCACCAACAACACCACCACCAACCCCAGTGGTCGCAATACCCCCAGCACCCCGGACGTCGGGGGTGGCACCGCCAGCACTGCCAGCGCGCCCACCACCCCGCGCCAGGGCTTCCGACGCTCGATCGCCTTGACGCCCAGCAACGGCAGCTTTGCCGGGCCTGGCACGGGGGATTTCTTCGGCGGGAGTCCCTTGAGATAAGACTTGCTCAGCAAGCCTCTCTGGCTGCTCTATTTGTCGGTTTATATAGTTGACTTTTTGGCGCTTGACGAGTCATGCTAGAGTATTATGAATAGATTCTTCATTTCAGATAATAATACTGTATAGTAGTAATAGCAGTAATCGTATGGCAGTCAGTATAATAACAACTACTTTATTGGTGGGGGGCATGACGTGGAGAGACTCGGTTTGTTGACCCCGCCAGTTCTGCTGCTCCCATTTTTTGTCTCCTCGTTCTTCTTCTCTTCGTGTCCCTCGCTCATTTCTCCTTTTCTTCTTCTTTCCAGATCATCTTTCACTAGTAATATTAATATTATTCAGGGCAGGTCTTGGAAGAAAAAAAAAAGCAACTGGAGTTTCCAGAGAATCCAAGGATGTCCCGCCATCGCATGAAAACAGTCAGCTACGACGACGACGACGACTACGACGACTACGAGGAAGACGACGGTTATGCCTCTCCAGACCCAGAGGAACAAGCGCGTCTCGAGCAGTGTATTCAGGATGTGCTCTCCCAGCTGCGTGGGGGGGAACCCTCGGTCAGTGCCTCGAGGGAGGAGGTCACGGAGGCCCTGTGGCATTATTACAATGATGTGACCAAGTCGGTGAATTATATTCGAGGTATGCCTTATTCTTCTTCTTCTTCTTCTTCTTCTTCTTCTTCTTCTTCTAGGGTGATATTTATCTAACGGTAATTGCCTGAAGGGAAAAAAGCAAAGGAGGTGCAGAAGCAGCCTCCGAAGAAGGGGACAGGTGAGCTTGAATTTCTGTTTTTGTTTCTTTTTTTTTTTGGCTGGCTGGGCTGGGTTGGGCTTGAAAATAGCATTAAGGTATGTCTTCTTCTGGTTTTATGGTTCTCAAACTGACGTGAGTCCAAGTCTTTTATCTATATGATTCTAACGGATGCCCCTCAGTCTCGTCGTATCCTCTTCCTCCGTCTTGGTCGTCTGCATGTGCCGTCCCATTTTCTGCTGCGGAATTCTTCCGTGACTCGCCCTGGCTGAACGTCCCCGAGCACCGGAAAGCGGATATCATCGTGGAACCGCTTCATCCCCGGCTAGGCCTGCTGGGCGGCGCCCCGGAAGCCGGCGGGAAGGTCTCCAAATTGGCTGCATTGGCTGCCGCACGGAAGAAGAAAGAGAGCGAGAAAGTCGCGGCATCACCATCCCCTGTGCCGACACCCAAGGCGGAGGAGCAGAAGCCCGAGGAAGTTGGGGATAACAATAATCCTGCTTCGGCTCCGTCTCGGTCTCTGCTGGAGAGGCTGTCGAGTAGTCATAATGGGAGGCAATTGAAACCGGCTGAGGGGGGGCTTGGTGGTCTTCGTGCGTTGGGGAAGGGATCTCGGATGGGAGGAGCTACTGCACCGACCAAGAAATCCAGTCTGGAGAAGGAGGCCGAGATCAGAGCGCAGACAAAGCCAGGGTCCGTAACTCAGCCGGCGAAGGGGGAAGAAAAGGAGACCGCTGTTCCGCAGCAACAAGACGAACAGCAAGCCCCAGTCGTCAACATGATGGCTTCGCCATCGACGTTTGCGACTATCATCGTCGGGGACGCGACGAGACCCGTCGCAGCTGCCCAGTCCAGCCACCTGAAAGTTCAGAGTGTGGATGTCATGGACATCTACGGACAAGATCTTACTGAAGCGTTTGACTTTGCAGGCCCAAGCCCGGACGACCTGGTCCTGAATGCGCAGAGTTCGGCTAAAGGTTTGGCAATTCGCAGAAAGATCTAAATAAAAAAAAGAAAACAAATACTAAAAGGCCCTTTGCTCTAATGGAACTGCAGGCTTCAAATCCAAACAGCCCGCTTCGAAGAGTAAAAAGGTGGATCTGACGGGGGGGATGAACAACTTGAGCGTGGAGGAGAAGGTCAGCATCAAAAGCAAGAACCTCGATGTTTTGTCCGAGTACAAGAAGGTGGAACGCAAGAAGGCTGCTAGCTTCGTGGTGATCGGTATGTGTCTACCTCTGCTACTTGAATGAATCACGAAGCTTATACTACTATCAAACCAACAGGACATGTTGATGCTGGCAAGAGTACATTGATGGGCCGCCTGCTGGCTGATCTCCAGGCGGTCGATGCCCGGACGTTGGAAAAATATCGTCGGGAGGCAGAAAAGATAGGCAAGGGGTCTTTTGCCCTGGCATGGGTTTTGGATCAGGGTTCCGAGGAGCGGGCTCGCGGCGTCACGATCGACATTGCAACGAACAAGTTCGAGACAGACAAGACAGCGTTTACCATTGTGGATGCCCCCGGTCACCGAGACTTCGTGCCCAACATGATTGCCGGCGCTAGCCAGGCCGACTTTGCCGTGCTGGTGATCGACGCGAGTACGGGGAACTTCGAGTCTGGGCTGAAGGGACAGACCAAAGAGCACGCTCTACTGGTGCGGAGCATGGGGGTCCAGAAGATCGTGGTGGCTGTGAACAAGATGGATACAGTGGAGTGGGATCGGGAGCGGTTCGAAGAGATCGAGCAGCAGATCTCATCCTTCCTGACGGCCGCGGGATTCCAGCCGAAGAACATCTCCTTCATCCCCCTGTCGGGCTTCCACGGCGACAACGTCACGCGCCGCAGCGAGGCTCCGCAAGCCGCGTGGTACCAGGGTCGCACGCTGATTGAGGAGCTGGACACGTCGGAACCGTTCTCCCACGCGCTGGAGAAACCGCTGCGGATGACGATCGCCGACGTGTTCCGGGGCGGGGTGCAGAGCCCGCTTTCGATCTCCGGGCGGATCGACGCCGGCAGCTTGCAGGTCGGCGACCAGATCCTCATCATGCCGAGCGGAGAGAAGGCGAGCATCCGCAGCCTGGAGGTGGACAGCGCCCCGGCCGACTGGGCTGTGGCGGGTCAGAACATCGTCTTGAACCTGGCGAATATCGACCCGATCCACCTCCGCTCCGGGGACGTGGTGTGCTCCCCCGCGAGTCCGATCCAGAACCTCACCTCGTTCACCACCAAGGTGCTGGCCTTTGAACACCTGATGCCCATGCTGGTCGACATCCACCGTGGCCGACTCCACGTCCCGGGGCGGATCAGTCGCGTCGTGGCCACCCTGGACAAGGGTTCCGGGGCGCCCGTCAAGAAGAGGCCCAAGATCGTGGCACCGGGCGCGGTGGCCCGGATCGTCGTCGAGATGGACCAGGCTGTGCCCTTGGAGGCTCCCGCTCGGATCGTCCTGCGGGCGGGTGGCAACACGGTGGCCGCCGGCTTACTCGAGTCATAATAACGTTCATTCATCCTTGTCCCGTCGCCGTACTCCGTAGGTCTACTATGTACCTGGTGAATTGCAGCGCAAGTGGCAGCAGTGCCGTACCGTAGACGCACGTGACTGTCCCGAGACTGAATCTGGGGAACACCACATGTGGTAGTTACCATACGCAGTCCTAGTACTTGAAGCTGTAATTAGCACTGAGAACCGGCTATCACTAGTTACCATACGGAGTCCTACTAACTACAGCCTCCAAGTCTTCCAGTTATCTCTCCGTCTCCGTCCAGAGGCCACCTCTTCTACGCAGTATGAATATTGAATATGGCGCCGGGCTAAATTAGCGGATCTTCTTCTAGCAGTTTCCGCAGGGCACCGACAGCCGTGATTGGCCCAGATGAGCCCCACGTCCTGCCCAAAGAGGAAGGAACGCCTCGGGGTTCGGCCGGCAGAACCCTGGGCGGTGAGGACCCGTGCTGAGTCAGCGGGCTGCCCTGGCCGGCGTGCCAGCCAATCACAGCACGAGGAGTCACCTTATTCGAGCGTGCAGCCGAAAAGGCCAGCATGGCCGCTGCGCTTCCTTTGCCGCTCGAAGCCATACAAGAAGCTGGGCCAACTTTCTCGCCTCTCCCTCTTCCTTCTTCCCCCTCGTTGTCGCCGGTCCTCCTTGTCCCCCTTCCTCCCTGGAGCACTCTTTCGTCGGCTGGAGAGGACTTTCTTTTCCTTTCTTCTTTCACTGTGTGTGTTCTCTACTATTTTCTTTGGGGGTCTGAGCTGGTACCGAACTCCAACGTCGATTGAACTCTTGTTGTCGGTGCGTCGTGAAAAGGACTGGATTAGAGAGAGAAGACAAAAGAAGAGAAGGACGAACAAAATGGCTCGTCTGTCACGACAGGATGGAGCGTCCAAGCCCTTTGCTTGGACGACCATCCTCTACCTGCTTTTTGTCTTCATTGCGCCCATGGCGCTGCTGGGCACTGCCAACGCGCAGGATGACCAGGCGCCGCTGCAAGACAGCTACGGTACTGTCATTGGTATCGATCTGGGAACCACCTACTCGTATGTGATTGAATGCTGAGAATGTCTTGTTGGTGCTGTGATTGTCGTGCTAATAGTCAAACCAGTTGTGTCGGTGTGATGCAGAATGGCAAGGTCGAGATTCTCGCCAACGACCAAGGAAACCGTATTACCCCCTCGTACGTCGCCTTCACCGATGACGAGCGTCTGGTCGGTGACGCCGCGAAGAACCAATATGCCGCCAACCCCGAGCGTACTATCTTTGACATCAAGTGAGTTTTTTTTTTTTTTTTTTTTTTTTTTTTCCCCTTGTTTTCTATCTTCTATTGAAGGAGAAAAAGCCCATACTGACTGTCTAGGCGTCTGATTGGTCGCAAGTACGAAGATAAGGATGTTCAGAAGGATATCAAGGGTTTCCCCTTCAAGGTCCAAAGCAAGGATGGCAAGCCCGTGGTCAAGGTTGAGGTCAACAAGAGCCCCAAGACCCTGACTCCCGAGGAAGTCTCCGCCATGGTTCTCGGCAAGATGAAGGAGGTGGCCGAGGGCTACCTTGGAAAGCAGGTCACCCACGCCGTCGTGACGGTCCCGGCCTACTTCAACGACGCCCAGAGACAGGCTACCAAGGACGCCGGTACGATTGCCGGCCTGAACATCCTCCGTGTCGTCAACGAGCCCACTGCCGCCGCTATCGCCTATGGTCTGGACAAGACCGGTGACGAGCGCCAGGTCATTGTGTACGATCTGGGTGGTGGTACCTTCGATGTGTCCCTTCTGTCGATCGATAACGGTGTCTTTGAGGTCCTGGCTACTGCCGGTGACACCCACCTGGGTGGTGAGGACTTTGACCACCGCGTCATGGACTACTTCGTCAAGCAGTACAACAAGAAGCACGACACCGATGTCAGGAAGGATCTCAAGGCCATGGGTAAGCTCAAGCGCGAGGTTGAGAAGGCCAAGCGCACTCTGTCTTCCCAGATGTCGACCCGCATTGAGATCGAGTCCTTCCACAACGGCGAAGACTTCTCCGAGACCCTCACCCGCGCCAAGTTCGAGGAGCTGAACATGGATCTCTTCAAGAAGACCCTCAAGCCCGTCGAGCAGGTGCTCAAGGACGCCAAGGTCAAGAAGTCCGAGGTCAACGACATCGTTCTGGTCGGTGGCTCCACCCGTATCCCCAAGGTGCAGGCTCTCCTCGAGGAGTTCTTCAACGGCAAGAAGGCTAGCAAGGGTATCAACCCTGATGAGGCCGTCGCCTTCGGTGCCGCCGTCCAGGGTGCCATCCTCTCCGGCGACGATGAGGTCAACGATGTCGTTCTCATGGACGTCAACCCCTTGACTCTCGGTATCGAAACCACTGGCGGCGTCATGACCAAGCTCATCCCTCGCAACACCGTCATCCCCACCCGCAAGTCGCAGATCTTCTCGACGGCGGCCGACAACCAGCCCACCGTCCTGATCCAGGTTTATGAGGGTGAACGTTCCCTGACCAAGGACAACAACCTCCTCGGCAAGTTCGAACTCACCGGCATTCCCCCGGCCCCCCGCGGCGTGCCTCAGATTGAGGTCTCGTTCGACCTGGATGCCAACGGTATCCTCAAGGTTAGCGCCAGTGACAAGGGCACGGGCAAGGCCGAGTCGATCACCATCACCAATGACAAGGGCCGTCTCAGCCAGGAGGAGATCGACCGCATGGTTGCCGAGGCCGAGGAATTCGCCGAGGAGGACAAGGCCATCAAGGCCAAGATCGAGGCTCGCAACGGACTGGAGAACTATGCCTTCAGCCTGAAGAACCAGGTCAATGACGATAACGGCCTGGGTGGACAGATCGATGAGGACGACAAGCAGACTGTAAGCTTTTCTTCCCCCCCTATATTGGCATATGATGTACTGACGGAGATAGATCCTGGATGCCGTCAAGGAAGTGTCCGAGTGGCTCGAGGAGAACGCAGCCACGGCGTCGACCGAGGACTTTGAGGAGCAAAAGGAACAGCTCTCCAGCGTCGCGTACCCGATCACCAGCAAGCTGTATGGCTCTGCTCCGGACGATTACGACGATGAGGAGCCCAGCGGCCATGATGAACTGTAAGAATAATACCTAGAGGGAATACATGGAGTTCTTTTTTTTTTCCTTTTCTTTTCTACTCCTTTTTGCATCGGTCCGTGCATCGGTTTGGATAATTGCTCTCGTGTCATGATCGCACGACAATTGGCTGGTCCTGTACTATAGGACGTTTTGAATTCAAGATACCTGTTGATACGACAGACAGTAAAAGAAGTCTATAATTTGTATATATATATATATATTATATATATATACGCGTGTGTGTATATGTATGTCCGTAGTGCAGAAAAAAAAGAAAAGCGAAGGGACAGAACGTAGGATTTCTATATACACTTTCCAACGTCCCGCCTCCGTCTTGTCTTTCTTTTTCCTTTTAATTCGCATGCCTGATCCATTCCTCGATTGTCTCGACAACAACCTGGTGATCATCCTCTTGTTTGAGGCCGCTGACGACGATGGCGCCGAGCACGCCGTCGACCCCCCGCACGCGGATAGGCACACCGCCACCATGGATAGCGTAATCTCTGCGGTCGACGGCGAATTTTGCGGTGAAGGAATCTTCGAGTGAGGTAGCGGAGAGCAAGCCGTTGGTGGCGGAGACCATCTTCTGGCGCATCAGCCAGCTGGAGACGCCGAAGCGAAGCACCGTGTTGCGCTTGCGGCGCACCCAGACCTCGTTATCTGGTACTGTGCCCGACTCGGTGACGCACTGGAAGACGATCTGCGGGATGCCTTCGCATCCTGTCAGGGCGATGGAGATGACGGCCGGTTTGCGGGAGGAAGAAGGTAAGGCCAGGATGCGAGACCGCAGGGCGAGGCCTAAATCCAGGGCTGTCGCGGCCGTAAACGTTGGGAAGGTCAACGAGGGGGAGGTCTCGATCGCGGCGAGGACGGTGGCCTTTTCTTCAATTAGTCGCTTCCTCTTTTTCTTTCCCCCTTTCTTTTTCTTTTCTTTTCTTTTTTTTCCCTTAAAGAATGCTCGAGGAGGGGCATACGTCTGTGCTGGGAGTACCGAGCGGTCTGGCTGCCATTTTTCACTGCAGTCTAGCAGGATCACTGAGGCTTTTCAATCGAGAATTCTCCAGTAATATTCCCAGCCGAATCTAATCCTGGCTGCAAGTCAGGAGTTGCGTGGTGAGAGAACCTGTTGGGAAGGTCTTTTTGTCAAGTTCCAACGACAGAAATTCGGCCCTTCTGACCCCCGCGTGATCTTCCCCGCAGCAACAACCGTCAATCCTATTAAGAGGGTCAAGAAGACAAGTCTCTTTCTCTTTCCCTCTCCCTTCTTCTGTCATCGTCAGGAATGGAACAAGACTTTTTATGATTTCTTCCTCCCTCCCCCACGGTGTCTGCCACTGCTGTTCATGCCGCTCACGAGACGGGCCTGCGATGGATGCATCTCCCGCAAGGTGAAGTGTGACGGGGCGTCGCCTTGTCGGACTTGCCAGAGCTCGCTGCGTCGGGTCGAGTGCACGTATTTGAAGCCTGCACGGAAGCGAGGGCCCAAGGTGCGGCGGGTGGTGAGGGAGTCGCTGGATGGAGAGGATAAAGAGGATAAAGAGGATGGAGAGGATGGAGAGACGGTGTTGTCGATGACTGCGTCCTCGCCGACCTCAACAGGAGGACCAGGACCGAGTGTCTCGCTGGAGGTGCTACGCTATTTGATCGGTGAATACCAGCGGCATTCATACGACGTGTGGCCGATCCTGAAGAGCAAGCTGCTCCTGCATAAGCTGGAGAGCATTGTCGACGATGCCGACACGTACTGCCTGGCGACCGCGCTGTGTGCGGCGACCATGGCACAGCTGGAGCTGCCGTCCGTCGGGGAGGGCGACGCAGCGGTTGACAGCTCGGTCCTGGCAAAGGAGTGTGTCCGGATGCGTGAACAGCGGGATTACAGGGAGCAGCTGGATGTACGGGGGGTTCTGGTCTCGTTCTTCCTGCATGTATTTCACGCAAAGCTCAATCAACGAAGTTCTGCCTTGCTCTTCATCCGGGAGGCCGTGGCCGGGGCCAGACGGTTGGGTCTCGACGTGGATTCTACTTTGAGCTCTTCTTCTTCTTCTTCTTCTTCTTCTTCTTCTTCGACAGACCTCTTGGATAACCCAGACCTTCTGTTCCCCCTGCTGTGGGTGTCTGAACGAGGATACTCGATGCACCTCGGGCTGCTACCTTCGTCTATGGAAAGCATTGTGCTCCCCGAGCCCTGCGAGCTCCAAGGCAACGCCCATGCCCTCGGCTTGATCGAGCTCGTCCGGTTGTTTGTTGCCTTTGACCAAGTGCCGCTGCACAAACGGTCTGCCGGTCGAGATCAGGGCCCCCTATCGCCCGATGAGCTGGCTCATATCGAGTCTGCCTTGTCCAGTCTCTCCCTGCGCCAAGCAAATAGCGTCGGCACCCGCATGGCAGACTACTACATCACTCGCGAGTGGATGCGGACCATCCTCTGGCAGGAGGCTCTCGCCCTGGGCTTTCTCTCCTCCTCTTCCTACACCGAGCTCATGACCTTTCACTACCCGGCGCGTGTCGGCTATGATCTTCTCTGGGCCCTGCAGGGGTTTTCGGAATCTGACCTCCTACCTCTAGGCCGTGATCAGGTAGGTTACTCCAAGAGTACCGAATATATCTATCTATCTATCTTACTATTTGTTTAGCTACTGACTAAACCACTAACTACTACTACTTCTACTCTAGCTCCTCAAATGTTTCGAAGTCGCCAACTCATTAGCTGACACGGTCCTGCTCGCTTCGCCCTCGGCTCCCTCCCGCTCGGCCTTGCAGCTAGGCCCGCATGACTTCCTGCACGCGCTGTACCAGAAACTTGTCCCGTTTCTCGAACAGGACGCAATGCTGAACCACATCCTGCGTTCCAAGACCGCCGAGGCCCTGGTGCGTGCCTCGCCGCGGCTGTTGACCGTCCCGCCCTTCACGGAGGACGAGTCGTGTAGTGATGCTTCGTATGGATTCACATGGCTCCAGACCGATCAGACTGATCAGACTGATTAAGAGGTTATTTGACTTGTGTAGTTGCTTCTATGTAGTAATGAATTATTCTCTATTCTCTATTCTTTTTTTTTTCTATTCCTGCGCAATCTTCAGGACAATTCTACCCGAGATATCTCCCTTCTCCATCTCCTCGTACACGGCCGGCAGCTCCTGGAAGTTGCGCACCTTGATCTCCGGCTTGACGATCCCGCGTCGCACCAGCTCCACGGCCTCCATGCACTCCTTCAGCGAGCCGACCAGGTTCCCCGTGATACGAAGGCCCTTGATGACAATGGTGCAAATGGGGGTCTGGAGCGCGGGTCGCCCGGCCGGGATCCCCACGCAGCTCAGGGTCCCCCCCACGCGAAGCATCTCGCAGGCGTGCGCAAAGGCTCCCGCGCTGCCTGCGGTCACCACCACGGCGTGTGCGCCCAGGCCTGTGATCTCGTGGACGCGCGCCACTGGATCCGTGGTGGTGAAGTCGATGAATTCCGTCGCCCCCATGCGCAGCACAAACTCGCGCTTGCTCGCCCCAGCGTCCACTCCGATGACCTGTGCGCCGTGTGCCTTGGCGTATTGAACTAGACTGTCAGTTTCCATGTGGTATGTAGTGCACTACCTTTATCCAATTCGAGGTAGACTTACCTGCCAAGTGACCCAGGCCACCGCCGGCACCCACAACCACCAGCCAGTTTCCGGGCTTGATCTGGGTGTTCAAAACGGCCTGGAAATTAGTAAGTCCATGGAGAAAGAGGGAGATTATGCTCACCTTGTACGCCGTCAGTCCAGCGCAGAGAACAGGTCCAATCTCCGCCGGGTTGACATCGTCGGGAAGCTGGGTGAGATAGTCCGCGTCCAGGGCAATGTATTCCTGGAAGCTGCCATCCTCGTGGTGCAGATGGTTCGTGCTATTCAGGCAGTACTGTTCCGTACCAGCAAGACAGAACTCGCAGCGGCGGCACACACGGCTGCCGAAACGGATGCCCACCAGCTGGCCGACTTTGATGCCCAGGCCGCAGTCAGGACCCAGAGCGACGATGCGTCCTACGCCTTCGTGGCCACCGACATGGGGGAGCTTGATCTGTGTGATAGGGGTGCCGTTTGCACTGGCAGCAGTTCCAGACTTGGTGTGGAGATCTAGAGAAACACAACTTATTAGAACAGCTAGTAGAAGGAGAAAATCCTCAACGCTTACCACTCTGGCACACGCCAGTATACAGAATCTTAGCCAGGACCTCCCGTTTGCCTGGAACAGGCACAGGGTAGTCGGTCTTGAACTCGACTTTCCCTCCAAGCTCGCGAACGAGCGCAACAGTCTGAGTCGTGGGGATCTGCATGGTGGTAGGAGATGGGATCGATTGTAATTGAACCGTAATAGGGAAGATGAAAGATAGAGGCAATGGGCAATGGGCAATGGGCAATGGGAAGACCGAGCTGAGGAGAAGGTCGCAGTCCCTTTAAGTACCTGCAACCGAGTGAGGCCTCATCTCGTGACTGCCCTCGGAGTTTTGGAACGGCAAAGTCGCGATCAAACACAGTTCGACCACCGCTGACATTTCTCCGAGGGATGTGGCTGTGGCTCGATTCGAAGCCTCAGAGTGATAGCAATCACTTCTATTTCGAGAGTCTCCCGCGTGACTTCGATGAAAGTGTGCTATTTGCAGACGGCAGACGATAGCCCAAACAGCGGCCCTACTGCAGCCCCTGCTGAAGCATTCTCCAACACCTCAATCGAGCTGGTCTAGATGCCGACTTCCGCCTGCCAGAGACAAACAGTCGATGTGTGGTTCTGGGGATCCTCTACCGCTAGCTATTTCTCCGAGGCAATTCTCCGCCAGAATGCGGGGGGTAGAGAACTGACCAGTACCTGACCTAGACCCGTGGTGAAGAGACACTGAGGCTGACCGGTTCACCAGGCTCAAACCGAGATACAAAAGAACCTATATGGAGACGTGGACAAGCTATCCCTGGGATATGAATCCGAAACCCTCCTCGCTCCTTGTCAGCAAACCGTCGAGAGCTCCAACACACGATGGAAAGGGTCGATTTTGGTTTCGGATTGAGCTCGTACCATCCCAAAAAGTGGCGTTGAGAATGTGACCGGATCCTTTCTTTTCTTTTTTTTCAGGACAGGTCATTTATTCAGGACAATGACGTTCATACCGGTATTGTCTATCCTTATCTGGAGAGGGAGACCGACAGCGGAGGAAAAAGAGAGACAACCACATCGAAGAAACTTGCAGCACATCGGAGTTGTAAGATGGCAGAGAGGAGATTTTGAGGCAAAAGACCTCGGCTTATTACCTGCTGTTCTATCCATGTCGACATCGAGACGTGACTCTGTCTTGTTTCTCCCGATGTGCGGAGAACCCCGGAGCTCCGCATAGCGACAATGGAGGAGCTTCGGCTCTTCATGACGACTACGGAGTGAAAGTAGCCAGGATGCAGGCTGCAAAGTGATTGATGGAAGTTTATGATCTTATACATATACAGCTGTGGACTGTTTGGCAGATCTCGCACCTTTTCTGGCGCAACTCCGGCGGGATGGCCTCGATGGCACGACTCCAACTGCGGGGACCCCGGACAAACATTATGAAGATGCGGATAATCTGGAGTTTCCGTGACTATAAAGGAGGCAGAGATGAGCAGGCTATCCGGTGTCTGGCAAGACAGTTATTTTGGCCTATGGCTGGCTAGTACTACTATTGTCTCCTGCTGATTCCTGACGGCCGCGAAGATGATGTACAACTTCTCTTGCTTTCTGGCCCTGGCATTGCTTGCCCTCGCAGCGAGTGTACCCCGGGCAGCATCATTGGCCACCCCGACCGACCTGACTGAGGTCCTCGTCTTCGACCCGCCCTCCGATTACACCAGCTCTGGAGTCCTGTACGCTCGCAACGTGCAGCTGCCCAATGGAGATCTGCTCATGACCTGGGAGAACTACTCGCCCGAGCCTCCCCTGGTGTATTTCCCAATCTACCGCTCTCAAGACAATGGAGCGACGTGGGCCGAGATCTCTCGCGTTCAGGATACGGTCAACGGGTACGGTCTGCGCTACCAGCCGTTCCTGTACTATCTCGAAGAAACGATTGGCGACTACGAGGCCGGTACCCTGCTGCTGGCAGGCAACAGCATCCCCGAGGATCTGTCCTCGACGCACATCGACCTCTATGCGTCAAAAGACCTTGGCCTCACCTGGACTTTTGTCAGTCACATCGCTTCTGGTGGAGAAGCAGTGCCGGACAATGGATTGACGCCAATCTGGGAGCCGTTCCTGCTTGCCTAGTACGTCCTTCTGAGGGCTATACTTGAATTCGTACCTTTTGCTAATGTCATTTAGCAACGGCAAGCTCATCTGCTACTATTCCGACCAGAGAGACAACGCAACCTACGGTCAGAAGTTGGTGCATCAAGTATCCAGTGACCTATTGACCTGGGGCCCTGTAGTCAACGATGCGTAAGTTTATTTGTATCTTAGTATATACCACCGCTTGGATTCATACTAATAGTACTCAGTGCGTACCCGGTTTACACTGACCGTCCCGGGATGACCACTGTCGCCGAGGTATGTATCCAATCATCTTACAACCCCCAATCTTGACTCTTTCTGATACTTTACGTAGCTCCCCAACGGCAAATACATCATGACGTATGAATTCGGCTCCTTCTTCGATACCTCCACCTACTCGTTCCCCGTCTACTACCGGATTACCTCCGACCCAGAGGACTTTGGCTCGGCCGAGGGCCAGCCCATCGTCGTGACAGACGGCACAGAGCCGACCAGCTCGCCGTACGTGGTCTGGTCGTCCTACGGCGGTGAGAACGGGACCATCATCGTCAGCTGTGCCACGTACAGCTCCGTCTTCATCAACCAGGCGCTAGGCGAAGGTGAGTGGACGGAGATCGATACCCCGGAGAGTGCAAGCTACTCGCGTTCCCTGCACATCTTCCCGCAGGCTGAAGAGTTCCTTTTCCTCAGCGGGGCAGGGCCGCTCGATGGAACCGACAACGAGGTTACGATCAGTATTATGAATCTGGAAGATGCATTATAATGATTCATTGCATGTCTACTTCTACTTTCTCCCTCCTTCCCCCCCTTTCTCTCTGTCAAAGAATCATGTGAAAGTCTGGGTCCCGGTCATCGTTGTACCCTGTAAACTCGGCATATTTGCCCTCCCGCTTATCGCGGTTGATTTTGGCGCAGTAGAGGACATTCAGCAGGATCCTATAGGAGAATCATCAGCAGTCGTAGAGAAAATGTGTATCCACCACAGTTTATATATATACGTACATGAACCATGAGAATACTAGTAATCCCAGGATCACCGTGTGACCGCTGTGATACTCCGGTGCATCGCTAGAGGGATATATGAAAGCTATAGAGTAAGCCTCTCTTCAATTCCCTCCTCGTATTGTTTCTTTTTTTTTCGGCTTACTAGCAACAAATCCCCCACAGTTAGCGATGGCCAACTGCATAGCAGAGGTCGTGGCCCGCTTGTAATGCCCCGCGGAATTGTTCGAGTTCCAGACCAGGATGCACGGGACAGTCGCGTACATGCCCGTCGCCATGAGGAAGGTCATCCCGTACCGAACCTTGGCGGAGTGGACGTTGGCGATCACGGCGTACCCGGTTATGGCGACAGGAAGGGTGAATAGCATGACTACGCCGCGGAGGCGGAGGCGGTCCGAGACGATAGCCACGATGACTGAGAATCAGAACGAAAGAAGCTTTCATAAGAGGGAGGCAGAGCCTGGATATTCACCTGTCACGACGGCAGCGACGGCATACGGAATCACAGTCCATAGTTGGACATCGTTGGCGTTATTGGCGAAGCCGAGAGAGTCGATGATGGATGGTAACTTTATATATATAATCAGCTTCCTCCTCTCTTCCACGCACAGAATTAATGTCATACGAAAAGACCAAATGAATACAGCCCAGCTAGGATCCCAAAGTAGGCTGTCGCTGAGAGCCACATTTTGGGATCCAAAATCCCGCGGATGACTTCGGACCAGTCGAATTTTTCTGTTTCATGTGTACTGTTTCAATGTCAGACTGAATCCACATGCATACATCGGAGTTCTCACTTTCTGGACGGCTGATCTAGAGCCAGCCTTTCAATTGCAAACACACGTTCTTCGTCTTTGAGGAATGAGGCAGTCTCGAGGTTGTTTGGTAGAATGAACCCGGCAATTAAGCCGCAAACCAACGTCTGAACTGTCAGACGGGTGGAAACATACAGCAAGGGTGATCAAGAATAATACCAGCAGTCCCTCGATGATGAAGATCCAACGCCACCCTACAAGCCCTCCTCGTGGCGCAATTTGAGCCAGGCCCGAAGCCAGAAGCCCTGCGATTTGAGTGAGTATAGTTGTCAACTGGTAGTGGGAGTAGGGTCATACCACCAAAGGCACCAGATAATGATGCAGCTGTGTAGAAGAGGCCAATCCGTAAAGCAAGATCCGATCGTCTGTAGAAGGAAGACAAGTATAGAACCTAGGGATGGTTAATATGAATCATTATTGTTGTTCCTCTCTCAGACAGACCATTCCAGGGAGCAGACCTCCCTCTGCGACACCCAGAATCGCACGGACAGCAACAAAACCGCCGTAGTTCTTGACGAACCCGAGACACATGGTGATAATGCCCCATATGCAAGTAAGGAAGGAGAGCCAGAGTCTCGGAGAGGCTTTCTTGAGGATCAGATTACTCGGAAGCTCGCTGTAGGTATCGATGGTTAGAGTACTGTAAGCTCCAGAATGACAAGACGAACCCACCTGAGGACGTATGTAAGGTAGAAGACCATCAAGCCAATATCGTACTGGTGATCTGTGATATGGATGGTTGACTCGAGTCCGATGATCTTTGCATTGCCCACATTTGTTCGATCCAGAAACGAGCAGAGGAAAAGAAGGGCAAGAATGGGAAGGACCCTAAAACAAAGTCAGCGTTTTCAAAACAAAGACTGCTGTCTAACTGTAGGCATACCTGATATCAAGCTTCAACAGAACCCTCTTGTTCATCGCCTGACTGTGCGGGCTGTTTACATCATCCCAGGACTGTAGAGTGACATCCTCGATATTATCGTCGGCGGGTTTGAGAGTATCCATCTCGACTTGCACTGGCAGCAGTCCTCACCAGCGAGTCTCTGGATTCAGAATTAGTATTTCAACAGCGTTACACAATATATAAAAGGGATTCACCGAATAAAAGGCAGTGACCACCAGCCATTGTTTACCCCCAAGCGATGCAGATCCCCCGCAACACACCCTGTGTCGAAGCCCAAATCCGTCATCTCTGCCAATCTGGAGCAAGCTATCTGTCCCCAAACCTCGCATCAGCATCTTCGAACCCCGCATCAACGCTCTGCATTCCGTGGTGAAGCGCGGCTTGAAGCTCGAAGCTCGAGGCTCTCGGGATAATTCCGATCTTGAGGCTGCCGAATGCCGATCGGCTCGGTCCTTTTTCTAGCGCCGAGAGACTACGACCACCACAACTTCAACTACTCCGTACGATCTCACCACCTCCAACTGTTCTGTCACCATCATCTATTCAGCGGCAGTGAAATAAGGAAGAAAGAAAAAATGACAAAGCTATCTCCTAGCCTCAAGGCATTGATCAATGCTCCCTTCGCGCGGCCTAACACCGTGGCTGCCCCTCGCAACATCCAGAGCGTCTACCAGAAGATCAAGCAGGGAGCCGAGGCAAAGAATGTGTCGCAGTCCTCATGGCTGGTTTTATCTGTATGAAATGACCTTCTAGAACACAATGAATCAAAAGCAAAAGAAAAAAAAAGGGGGAAAAAAAAGAGTCTAACGATCAGATCAGTCTGCTGCAACCATGACGATGAACTCTCCCGAGTCCCTGGCCACGCTGTTCCAAGATGTGACGAGCACGCAGACGCCCGACGAGAGCGTGGCGACCGCCGAGCTGATGCGTGAGGTCGGCATCAAGTGCATCTCGTTCAACGGGATCCCGCGCAGCATCAACTGCCTGAACGCCTTCCGCGCGAGCCTGCCCGAGGCCGTTGCGAACCGGCTCTCCCGCACGCCTACGCGCAGCCCGACGGTCGAGAACCTAGGGGACCGCCTGGCTGGCGGCCGCGCCCTGTGGGATTCCGTCTACCGGCCCTTCGAGAACAAGCTGTACGACAAGCTGGCCGAGTCGCACCCGGACCTGCCCGTCGTCATCCTCAGCGGCCACTACGGCATCACCCTGTCCGACCCGCCGAAGCGCACCACGGGCGCGAATATCGGCCGTGTCCAGAGCTCGCTCGTCGCCATTGCCTGTCTGCGCGCCCAGTCCGGCGTGGGCCCCCAGGTGCTTTCCCATGTCTTTGGCCTGCGCAAGGCGCTGGATGATGGCTCCTGGGCCAAGGATGTCGAGAGCGAGGCCGCTGTTCGCTGGCTGGCCAGCGATGAGGGGAGCACCTGGATCCTTGAAAGTGTGGACTCCATTGTCAAGTCTATCGGGGAAGAGCAGGGCTCGAACTTTGCTCCGGCGTCTAAACTGTAACTGTATACTTGAACTAGATTTATAAAGCTCACTGGACCATGTATACATACTACATACATATAACTATGTATGTATATATATATCTATGAAATATTTATGTACATCTTAATACTCTACACTACTCCATCGTCTCCAATTGCTTCGCCACGTCGAACTTGGCCGCCGTCTTGCTGCGTACTTCGTCGACATCCACACCAGGCGCCAGCTCCGTCAGGGTAAGGGTACCCTTTTCGCGGTCCACCTGGAAGACACACTAGGAAGATTAGGTTATGGTTTTTCTGGTTGAATTCAAATCGAGGGACTCACCAGGTCAGTGATGATGGTGCTGACACATCTAGCCCCCGTCAGAGGCAAGTTGCAGTCCTGCACAATCTTCGGGGATCCATCCTTGGCGACGTGGCTGGTGGCCACGACGATCTTGGTCTGCTCCGGGTTGGAGATGAGGTCCATCGCGCCACCCATGCCCTTGAAGACCTTGCCCGGGATCATGTAGTTGGCTAGATCACCGTTGGCGCTAACTTCCAGAGCCTAAACTCCAGTCAGTAGATGTTGACGTCAACGTGCACCATGCAAAAGAAATGATAGCATACTCCTAGGATCGACACGTCGACGTGTCCGCCGCGGATCATGCCGAAAGATTCGGAACTGTCAAAGGTGGATGCACCGGGTACCAAAGTAACGGTTTCCTTGCCGGCGTTGATGATATCCCTGTAGATGTGAGCACAACAGGTGTATAGAGTACGGATACCAGGCGACTTACGGATCGACCTCGTCTTCGGTAGGATAGGGTCCCTATTCTGTTAACAGGAATTGTATAAAATGTCTGACAGATGGGGGAAAAAAAACTTACCATTCCCAAGATTCCGTTCTCCGACTGAATCCACACCTTGACGCCTTCAGGCAAGAAAGACGGTGCGAGAGTGGGAATTCCTAAGAAGAAGAAATGAGCGAATGACTTACAAAAAAAAAAGGTCAAAATATGTATACTGACCAACTCCCAGGTTCACATAGTAACCCTGCTTGAGCTCCTTCGCAGCCCGCTTGGCAATGCGGTTCCTTTGCACAATCGCCGGGCTGGCACTGTTCTCTGCACTCCCGTCCGCAGCTGGCCGCAGCTTCTTGATCTCAATTTGTTTCTCCGCCGTGGCCGGGACGATCCTGTCCACGAAGATACCGGGGAGATCGACGTCGTTGGGGTCGATGGAACCGACGGGGACAATGTTCTCTGCCTCCACGATCGTGAGAGTGGCGGCTTTGGCCATGATAGGTCCGAAAGCTTTCGTAGTATACCTAAACCGTTAATATGGACTTGGAAGAACAAAAACGGATAATAAAAGGAAGACTCACCGGAAAACACAGTTCCCGGCTTCGTCGGCCTTCCATGCCCTCAGAATAGCCACATCACCGGTCAACGCCTCCTCCATGAGATACGTCTTGCCCTTGAAAACTCTCGTCTCACGCTGACGGCCCCGTTCCAGCACCTTGCCCGATGCATCGAGACGGACGGGGATCTCGCCCTCCTGCAACAGTGTATCTATAACTCAGCATTAATAATCTTCCTCTTCCCAGCCAATTTTGATTAATAGAAAAAAAAAAAAGGCTTACGCGCTCCCGTCGGCGTATAGAACGCCGGAATGCCCGCGCCGCCAGCTCGCAAACGCTCAGCAAGCGTGCCCTGCGGACAGAGCTCCACGGCAATCTTGCCCGTGAGGTACCCCTTCTCCAGATCCTTGTTGTTCCCCAGGTATGACAGAATGAGCCGGTTCACTTGTCCTGCCTGTGTGAGAAGGGCCAGCCCGCCCTTGCCTGCTATCCCGGCATTGTTCGACACGGCAGTCAGCGAGTGTAGATTATCTGCTCCCCGTTTCTGAATGGCAGTAATAAGGGTTTCTATAAAGATCACTTAGCAAATATAGTTCCAGGTACAATTTTAATACTTGAAAAAAGCTTGCCTACCTGCCACCCCGCAAAGTCCAAACCCCGAGCTGAGAACAATCGATCCACTCTGCAGATCGGCGACGGCGGCGTCCGCGCTCTCGAACAGCTTCGACGCTCCACGCTCGATCTTGGGAGCCAGCGTCCCCGGTTCGGTTGACGGAGCGGTCGAGTACGAGCATCGCTTGATGAGGCGCTGTCTATCACTGTGTTGAAGGGCGGGTCGGAGGGTGGTCGTTGCGCATCGCACCCCTAGGTAGACTCGCGGGCTGGAGGCGGCAAGTCTCCGCGGGAGCAGCGCCGAAACGCGAAGGGAGGCCATTTTGTGAGAAGATAGAATGGTGGAATGATAAGTGCTGCGTAGAATAGAAGGGCAGCTACAGCTTGAAATTCAGACGTAAAGAAGAGAATGGACGTTTATTTCATATAATCCAACAGGGGAGCTACGTAACGGCACGGTCGGCCGGTCGGGGTTATTTCTGGAGACCGAGTCCCACATGCCATTCTCCATACATAGTTATAGAGTACTATTGAGACATGTACAACAGGATGTTTTGTTCAATGCTCTGTAATAGATGTACTGTATAGAAGAAAGGTATGTATTTACATGGAGAAACTGAAATCAGGATTAAAGTCAAACCACTCCCAACTCATCATGTCATCGAGCGGCACGCCTGGAAAAGACACCCCCGCTCCGAGCGAGGAGTCCGCGCGGTTGACGGCATCGACGATCTGATCGTCCGACATGGTCGAGAAATTCAACGGCTCCGGCCAGAAGACCGGTGGTGAATACTGTGGATGGGTGACAGGGAGGACAGGGCCGTATGTTGTCGTGTCGAGAGCTAGGGAGGTCGGTGGGAGAACGGGTTCCGATTGCATCTCATTCGGCAAAGGAGGAGGCAGGGGGGGAAGAGGGGGAGGAAAGGCGGACGTGCGGCGAACAAGCTCCCTTAGAAACCGACCGTACAGCACAGATGCGCCATTGCGATGGATCGGGGTCGCGCCAATTCGTTCCAGCACGTCGGCCGTTTCTTCGATCAGATTGCGCACGCTGGGTGCGAGGTTAGATTTGCTATCGGCGGGGGCAGCACTCAGGCTGAGCGCCGAGCATGCCGCAAAGGAGATCATGATGACGGTGTTGTTGGGCATGGATTTCAGGCGCGACTCGCCTTGGATGGCGGCTCGCAAGACGTTCAACGCAGATGACAGGCCGGCGGCACGGAAAAAGCGCTTCACTTCGAGCGGCGCAGTGGGGTGGTTGATGACACCGCTGTACGTAGATAATCGAGTATGTGTGACCAGAATCTCCACGTAAGGCGGCAAGGTACGAGCTATAAGCGTGCGTGCCCTGTTAGCATTCAACAAGGCTTTTTCTAAGGGTGTATAAATTAAATACATACATTCACCCTCGCCAATCTCCAAGGCCCAAGTTGTATACCACTGGTCGTAGAAGTTCTCAATAATTGATTTGATCCTGCACAATCAGAACCTGAGGGGGGAGGGGAGGGGGTTAACACTTGATCCAATATGTGCCTTACATCTGAGCAGCGTCTGTTCCGTTATAAACCATCTGGAAGCTATCGCAGTGCGACCTCACTTTCTTGAACAATGCATCCTATTCATGAGAGTTAGCTCATGGCAGAGTCATGGCGTCGTCGAAACCCGTTCTAGACCTACTAGATCTCGCCGTAGGACTGCCATGGAGTTCATCGAACCATCGCGTAAATCAGCTATATCAGCTATGTGCCATTTGTCGCAGTTTTCAACCAGAGCCGTTGGAGGGACTGTATAGCTTCTTCCACGGGCTAAGCAGACGCTACAGCACAGATCAGTAAGACACAGGCGAACGGTTAAAAAGGAAGGACGATGTCTCACCCTCGTTCGACGACATATAGGGCTATCCAAGCCCGTTCTCGTCTGCGCAACAGCCTTCTCCCTAGCTCCGACGAGGGATCCACATCATCGAATCCGTCCATATGCAAAGCTCTCTTTGCTTCGATACAATCGGCCCGAGCAAGGCGTTTTAGAGCTCCGTCCTCAAAGCTCGGCGAGGGCATCACGATCTTGTTCAAAGACAGATCAAGCGCAACAGCCAATGCCATTGCAATGTACGAGCACGTATCGTCGTCCCCAAGGCATTCTCCTGGAGCCATCCACGGCACATTGACCATGAAGGCCAACACGATCTCGACCGACCGCAGGCGGTGCGAGATCACCCGTTGGGCGAGGAGCTTACAGTGTCTAGCTAATCTTTTCGACAGGGCTGCCGCAGAGGGAATAAAGAGCGCAGCGCTTGCGAGGATCGAAGTGAAGAGAAAAGCTGACTGACACCGCACAAAGGTGGCGTTGTGTATGAAAGGGTCCAGGCCCCATCTAGTATGTGCCAGGTTCTGGTAGAAACTTTCTCAGGTTATTACACGACGAGATGGAAACAATACCTCTAGAGTTGGTATAAAAAAAACATACTATGAAAACAGCGTCTCTGCTTCGTCGCCGGTCACGAGTCCCAGCTCGATCGGATCGATATCTGTTCCAGTATCCAGACTAGCTTTGACTGGAACAAAGAACGAGTTCGCCCCGGCCTCATCGGACAGACGGTTCCCGCGCGTCACCGTGGAAGACGCCGACAGCGGCGCAGGCGACACCTGCGCGTTCTGCACCCCAGGCGGCGGTAGCTGAAGATCTGACGCCCGCGCCAGCAGTTGCAGCGGGTTTTCCGCATCGTCCAGGGCTAGATTGTCGTCCGCACTGGGAGCTTGCGACGACGGCAGGCTGTGCGGTTGCTCCGCATCCTCGGATAGATTGTCTACATCGTCGTTCAATAACTGGGTCTGAGCTTTATCCAGCAGGGCCTGCAAGTTGGCCACCACGTTCTTGGCCGCATCGGGCCCTGCAGCATCGCTCTTTGGCCTCTTGATAGCCTGCTCAATCTGATGGAGCGCCTTCTCGAGCCCTCTCCGTTTGCTGTTCCCAGAAGATTAGTCATATTAACATGGGGGACCTAGGAGACAGCTTAGTGAGGGGGTGGGCAGAACACACTTCTTGACCCCCTTCTGCCTCCCCACATGATGGCTGGGGATGATGCATTCAAGATTAGCCTGTTTGCATTTCTCGCAGACGGCCTCGTTCCCACTCCTCTTGCATCGGATCTTGCTGCGTCTGCAATTTAGGCACGCGGCTTGCTTCGCGTGCGCTGCTCTGGTCGAATGAGGGGTAGCATCGTCGTCCATCACCATTCCACAACGAGATCACACACGGTTCGGGGCTATTAGGAACGTGTTCTCTGTCATTGAAACGCCATATGATCGGCCTGCTCTCCCCAAATCGCTCTGAGGGCGCCGTGAAAGCTGCTGGTAGCTTGGGAGCCTGGGTGTCCGGAGGATCGCGATGGTCGGGAGGACACCGGCAGTTCGGCAGTCACGTCGTTACTTATAAGGCACCTTAGGACTACCGCCTACTAACTAACTAGTTAACTAACAGGTACTTGTTTACTATGTAGCTATGTAGCTAGGAAAATAAGCAGTCTGTCTTGGTCTTTAATTGTTCTAAGACCATAAAGCCAGAGAAATTCCAATCATTGCGGTTCCCTCGGTTTCTTTGGTGGTTCGCAACACTGGGAACTAAGATCTGTGTTTATATCACGTGACCAGGCCTGTGGACTTGGACGCCAAACGCCTTCGTCGACCGTCTCTTCCTGCTCCTTTTCTCCCTGTCTTTCTTTCCATCCTTTCTTTCCAGTCTCCGACGATGCTCCACGTACATTAGGATTCCGTCAGAGCTGGTCTCCCGTTATCAGTTTCAGTGCCTATTATACCGATAGCCATCGCCTCCAGGATGATGGACAATCCATGTCAACGGGGCTGCAGCCTGCAGGTACCGCCCTGATACCTCTGTGGTAACGACTACAGAGAACAACCCCCCGAGTCCATACTACATACGGGGCGGCTTCCTTGGGGTTCCTACCCCTGCTCGATCGCCGGCCCCACGCTGTTGCATCCAAGTTGGAATGGAAACCTCCTTCAGGGCGCATCCTGGGAATGAGTGGGGGGAGGGAAAGGGACCTCTTGAGTCTTCAGACTTGATGTTCCATCGTCCCACAGTGGGGCGTTATTAGACACGGAAATCAGCCTGTTTAAGAGTCACTCCGTACGGAGTACTCCGTACAGGTCTCGGTGTTCAAGTGGCTAGTATATGCCATAGTGGTCTCTGTTCTTGGGCAGACCAGGGATGTCATGCTCGTTTTCAAACCACTACACTAAGAACGGTTATGTAAGAGGAATATAAAGTAAGTTGTGCGGTTGGTGTTCATACAGAGTATATACTAATAAAATAGTGGGGTGGAGGGTCTATTCAGCCCAGTACATGTCAATCGTTATAATGAAAGGGCTGGCGAGTATGTATTCTTTATTTTGCCCTATGGCAAGCCTACCAACAACCCGAGGTCTTCTTCATTTCTCGGCCAGAAGTCCTATCCACTGTTTTTTTTTCTCTGTGGGGGGGTACTAGGTTAATGATAGCCCACCACATCTTCTTTTTCCTTCATGCCCATATCAGATTGTGGGGGTCATGAGGGTAAAAATGGCCGAGGTTAACCCATACGGATTACGGGCACCACCATCGATCACAATTCACACACCCACACTGCACTGCACTGAAACACTGGAAGCTCATGTACTATGTACAGAGGCATTTGTCTAGACCCCATTCTCCGAGCTACCAGAAGCTCTACTCAGCGGAGACTAAGCCTCTTCTAGCAGATCATCGACACACTCGACTTGGTCGGCCATGGCGAGCAGACGCGTTCTCATCAATTCACTCTCCAAAGGCTTAAGACCGGCGCACCATGTCGAACACAGGTATCAGTTTGAGTGAATAGTTATCGGGAAATGCGGCAGCTAGTGAGGCGCTACGTGTAGTGCGATTCTTCGACCCTGGATGAAGTATAAAATGGCAAGGCTTTTCGAGCGAAGAAGGGGGAACAGTACATTCGTTTATGCATTGGATTCCTTGTTCAACAATGTCCAAATCCACTGTTGCGCTCAGTGCAGTGGTCACCCTGGCGGCGGCGACGGCTCCAGCGCTCAATTGTAGCGTGGCAAGCATCGCAGCCTTCCTGCCTACGAATGCCACCGTCTTCTACGCGGAGCACTACGACAAGGGCGCCAACTTTACGCCTCCCATCTCGCTGAACTATGGCTTAACGTCCATCCCCACTGGTGTCAGCGCGTATGAGGTGCCCGTGGCTGGCTGCGTGGCGCAGGCCAACATCACCCTGCCGAACAACACCCAACACAGCGTGGGCATGGTTCTCCCCGACGACTGGAACGGACGCTTTATGGCGGTAGGCAACGGCGAGTTCTCTGGGTCGATCGGCTGGTCGTCTATTCTGAACACCATGTGGTACGGGTTTGCCAGCTTCTCCACGGACACGGGCCATGAAGGGAACAACGGCAGCTTCGGCTACCACAACGAGGCGGCCCTTACCAATTGGGGCTGGCGCGCGATGCATAACGCTGTGGTCAACGGCAAGGCGGTCACAGAGGGGTACTACAATCAGGAGATCTCCTACAGCTACTACCGGGGCTGCTCGGCCGGTGGCAAGCAGGGCTTCAAGGAGGTGCAAATGTTCCCCGATGACTTTGACGGCGTCATCGCCGGCGCCCCCGCCTGGTGGATGACCCATCAGCAGCTGTGGAACGTGCTCACGGCGATCTGGAACCTGCCCGAGACGGCCGACTACCACGTCACCGACGACCAGATGTCAGCCGTAGCTGCTGAAGTGCTGCGCCAATGCGACCCCCAGGACGGCGTGGAGGACAACATCTTGCAGAACCCGCTCGGGTGTGTGCTGAACCTGCAAACCCTCAGCTGCAGCAACACGACCAACGCGACCACCTGCCTGACGCCACCCCAGATCCGGACCGTCGAGAAGCTGTTCTCGCCCTGGATCGAGGCCAACGACACCTTCGTCTTCCCCGGATACACGCTCGGCACCGAGATGGGCGCACCCACCATCGACGCCGACTTCGTCACCTACATCCAGTACATGCTTCAGATCGGCGGCGACTGGACCTGGGAAGACTGGAACGCGGACCTGGTCCAACTCTCGGACCGACTGAACCCAGGCAACGCCACCGCGGACGACTTCGACATCTCCCCTTACTACAAAAAGGGCGGCAAGCTGCTCCAATACCACGGCTACTCTGACCCGTCCATCGCGACCGCCTCGTCGATCTACCTGCGCAACCGGATCGAGGAAACGCTGGCCCCGCAGGGCATCCCTCTCGACGACTTCTACCGCTTCTTCCTGATTCCAGGCATGGAGCACTGCACCAGTACGCCCTCCGACCAGGGCGCCCCATGGTACATGAACGGCGACAGCCAGGCGGGCTCGCTCGAGGGCACCGTCTTCGGCGTGCCGGGCTACAACGACTCGACGCACGATCTTATCCTCGCCATGGTCGACTGGGTCGAGAACGACAAGGCGCCTGATTTTCTGATCCCGACTCGCTATAACAACGATACTCCCGCCGACGGCGTGGCCATCCAGCGGCCCATCTGCCCGTACCCGAGTCTCGCCAAGTATAACGGCTCCGGTGACGTGACTCTCCCCGAGAACTGGTACTGCGGGACTTTGTACTAGCCATTTATTGCAATACGTTCGTATTATCCTAGTTTCAATATGTTGATGGTAGGTATACTGTATACAACAATACAACAATCAATAATGCTAGTCATGCCATATATTATCATTATGATGCTATTTTGTAAGGCTTGAAAGACGTGCTAGGCTAAACGGAGTTGTGTCTCGCAGGGGGCTCATCCGTAGTAGTAGTAGTAGTAGGCTGGGTTTGTTGTATTGGCGGTAGAGAAGGTGTCTCTGTGATCACAGCTTCAGCAGTGGCAGCAGGAGTCTCAGGCTGAGGCTGAGGCTGGCTCCGTGAAGACAAAGGGGGCTGGAGAGTGTCGGCGTGGACGGGCAAGACACCCGACATTTCTGGAATGGGCGGCTCGACACTCGGCCGCGCAGAAGACACCCCCGAATGAGGCGGGGAGGAGACGTGTAGGAGCGGAGTGGTTGGCAAGGGGATGGGGCGCTTGTTGGGCTGGCCGACGCGCGGGGGTGCCGGGCCGAGGAAAGCAGGGTACTTGACGATGAAGCCCCAACGGAGCCAGCGGCCGATCTTGCGCCAGAAGCCCATCTCGTTCCACTGCTTCTTGAGCTCGTCGGCGTCGTCGATGGTGCGGGCGCAGAAGCCACGGCGGCTGAAGAAGAGAAAGAGACAGGAGAGGATGGGGAAGAGCATGCACCAGGAGAGAGGGAAGCCGCGGCGGGCCTGCCAGCCTTTGCACAGGCGGCGGAAGTGGAAGAAACTCTCGGCCATGCCGACGAAGAGCCAGAAGCCGAACCAGCTCAGGACGGTGACCACGATGATGCCGACCGGCGAGACACCCCAGCAGTCGGAGAACCAGTTGCCGGTGCACTCGTAGTAGGAGTCACCGTACCCGTAGTCAGACCCGTCGTCGTAGTAGCTGGAGCAGCCGTAATCCTGGTAGACAGAGTAGGCGTATTGCTCGCTGACCGCGGCCAGACTCGACACAGGCACCTGGGTCGGGTTGATAAAGGCCATGATCTCGGTGTAGGTGGTTGGGGAGAACGGCGTCGAGTCGTCGACCGAGTACGTCGTCATGGCCGTGGTCACGGGCACCATGCCTTCGATCATATAGGGCACATCGATCGGGACGGCCGTGGTTGCCGTGAAGTGCGACGAGCACCCGGTTGGGGCCGTGTAGACCATATTGACGTAGTAATTGTAAATGGCGTCGCCGTCGTCGCCATACCCGTCTTCATAGTCGGACGGAGACCCGGCACCTGTAGGATACAAGACCTCGACGATGGTGACTGACTCTCCGTAATATGACTCTGTCGTTGTCGTCGTCGATAGGGCCAGGGGCATCGACGTCGCCGTGGGCGTGATCATCTCGATCAAGTTTTCGGTATACGTCGTATAGGCAGAGCTTCCATACCTCTCCGTATATGTCCAGCTATCATCCTCATAATCGGCGGTGACGATCCAGGGGGCAGCGAAAACGAGAGACAGTTGGAGGAGAAAAACGAATGGCAGTGAAGAGATCATAAACGAATGGAACGGCGCCATGATGATGGCCCTAGAGTAAAAAGAAGTCTTCGACAGTAAGAAAAGGACGTGGAAATCCGATTGAGCCTCCCTTAACCTCTTCCCAGATGCCCGCTGTGGTTTTTAAGAGAAGCCATTCGGCCCCCAACCTCAAAGTGTTGCCTATGCCTCTCTGGTCACCGTTTTGACAGGATTTTGACGCCGAGAAATTAAGTCTGGACTGTGTGGAGGTTTCCCGATCGAGCTATTGGATAGGATAGGAGGTGTGGCGGTTCCAGGGTCCTGCGAGGTTGATGCTAGAGCCTAGAATGGTCATCTATCCAGGGTCTTGGGCTCTTGGCTCCATCTAGTGAGGCCAAACCTGAAGATGAGTCTGGTTAGCGTGTGGTTAGACCCTGAAGGCTCGTATTGACCTTATTTAATATAACTACGGAGTACGGAGTACGGAGTAGTATGGAGTATATTTTATTGTAAACGTCGAATATTCCGCTAATATTCCTCTAAATGATATAATCATCTAGGTATACTGTACATAGAAGTATAGAGGATCTACCAGATAGACCCCTACAAAAACAAAGCAGATTAAGTTGAGTTGGTCAAAGTCGCTAGTTTAGGTCCTTCCCCTTTTGGAATTGGACCCGTGACAAGAAGACTAACCAGTTTAAGAAAGTGTCACCTTCAGCCTTGGACTCTTCTCAGTTCTAATTATAGTCACGGTCTTTGTAGAATAGAATAATTATTATGTCTGTTGAATGAGAACAATAACTATCAAATCCATCATACAATATAGGTATATTAGGTTAACATGGGTATTTGGATGTCTTACTCTTATAGACAGTAAGAAGATACTCTATCAGAAAATCCAGATCTTATTGTAAACCAGAGATAAAGAACTGTCAATAAGAGTAATAATAACTGACAGTGTTCTAGCTATAGTACATAGTCAGGTCACTATTGTACTCATAAGCACTATAATTAAGTTGACTTGTCTAACACTTGGAGCTATAGTACTTTGATATTATATCCTCAGAGGTAGTTGAACTAATCTATCCTAGTAGCTTGGTGATAATAACAATCTTGGCTATAACCAGCTACTATCAAGTAGTCCTCTATTAAGATTTAGGAAACTGATTTCCTTAACGCAAAAGGAAACTTCACCTAGTTCTTGATATTCAAGAAGAAAAAGAATAGATGCACATCCCGTATAGTGTATTGCTGGCATTGAATCGAAGATTGAATCTATTGCGCCCACGCCCACGCAGCCCAAATGAGATAGACATAAATATAGGTCCAGTCGATGACATGGTATGCTGAAAAACCCCCTTGTGAGATGGGAAAACAAAAGAGAGAGAGAGAGAGAGAGAGAGAGAGAGATAAAGGTATGTTTAAGTAGCAGCCCGCAAGGCCCGGAGCCTGGCACCAAGACCATCCTCCAGCTCGGCATCGGTATGCCTGGCTTCTGTTTCCTTGACGTCTTCCTTGGGAGCCTTATCGGCCTCAAGCTGCAGCCGCCACTCGACGCCCGCGTCGTCGGCGAGCTGCTCCATCATCCGGTCGACCTCCGCCTCCCCCTCGGCGCCGTACTCCTGCAGCGAGACCCCCTGGGCGACGTCCTCGATTGCCGAGCTCGCGATCTTGAAATCCTCCGACCGCGCAAGGAAGTTGTTCGCATGCGCCACCAGCGACTCCAGGTTGACGCTCCGCGAGGCGGCGTCCAGCCCGCGCGACGCCATCGCCAGCGTCCGTGATGTGTCTCGCGTGCTCTGCGCCGCCTTCAGCTCGTTGATAATCACGTCTGCCCGCGCTGCCTCGGCCCGCAGCGTCACTTGTCGTCGTTTCTCGCGCACCGCTGACGCTGCGTGGATCCGCGCAATCTGGAACTCCCGGTTCTTCATCGCCTTGTCGGCTTTCGCCTTTTCGGACTTGAACGTCGTCTCCGCCCGCGCGGCTTCTTTCTTCAACCGGTTCGAGTGAAGCTATCATTCATTCATTGTTAGTTACGTCGAGCTCTAATTCATAGATAATAGATTATCTATTCCATCGTCGCCTTGGCCGGGTGGGATGGTTGCTCCCTGCGGGGTAAAAGGTCTGTCTACCTTGACATTTGTACGAGCCTCGAAGATCGGGTCTTTGCGCACCATCTTGTGATAAAAAAAATTATAGTTAATTGCAAGGGTATATCGTAGAAACTGCCACAGAGGAAACAGAAGACTTGTGCTGCGAAGTGCTGGTTGTGAGGTCAAGTGGGAAAGAGAGAAGCCTTCCTTGACTCCGATGGACGCCTAGACGTCTCTTAGTGATCTTGGACTCTAGTGTGGCAAACGTCATTCGCCTGGGTTTGTACACACTACATACTACATAGACTTCAGACTACAATGGCCAAATTTGTCTTTCAAGAAAGAAAAAGGTAGAATCTAATTTATTTCATAATACAGATATAGCAACTCAGAATTGCTTGCCCAGGAAAGACGTCATGTCACCGCCGTTGTTTGTTGTTGAACTCCATAAACTCCGTGTCCGCGGCCGAGGCCGTGCCTGCTGGCGGATCGTACGCCGCCCCACCCGCGCTGATTTGAATAATAAAGAGGAAGAATTAGTAGTCGAAGAGGCTGCCCGTCTCCGGGATCTCGAGCGTTCAAGGCAATCTATCGCCCAGGCCAAGGTCGCAAGTGACTCCCAATTCTGCCGGTCCTCGGAACATGCATCGACGGCCGGCCGGGAATCCCGGGAGAACCGCTGACTAACCGCTAGCTGCAATGCTCCGCCCGTCGCATCGCGAAGTGGACGCGCCAAGGCTGGGCTGCACGCTAGGAGTCTGGAAAGCAGGCTCATCCGGAAGACCGTGGGCCGAGTCGATGCCGTCGAGGAGGACAGACTCGGAGTCAAAATTAACCATTGAATCAAAGGGAAATGAAGATAGATCTCCTCCGTCGAGAACGTCAAAGGCGAGCCCGTCTTCAAGGACTGAAGGATTTGGCTCAGCGGATGAATCACTGTCGAATAGGCGGCGGAAGTCATCGTCAGAAAGAGGAGCTGCAACATCATTTGCAGCGTGACACTCGTCATCTGCTCCGAGCTCAAAGAGCGCGAAGCCACGTCCGCCTCCTTCGAGTCGACCGACTGACACTGCAGGTCACACAACACCGCGGCAGGATGTTGTGTCAAGTCGGACGCCTCAGCCAGAGTGGACGGCTTCAGGGTTGGCGAGTAATCAGAGATAGATGGTGTGCGGAAAGGGATGCGCTCGAGAGGGAGCTCGTCGCCTTCCTGCTTGAACAGGGTCGGGGTCAGGGTCGGAGACATCACCGTCGTGGTGACGGGTGAGCTGGCCCGCGGCGTCACGCTGCGAGACCCGCGGATCTCCGCCGACAGTTGTGCCACCTGACGGTTGAGGCGACTGTTTTCGGCTTCCATCTGCGACAGACGCTGGAGCAAGAACTGGTTCTGTTGTTCCATGCGGATCTTCTCGTTCTCCAGCTTCTCCATCTCGAGCCTCTTGCGTTCACGAGAGGTCTGAGCAGCGGCACGGTTGCGCAGAACACGTTCAATCCGGCGCTGCTCCTTTTCATCTTCTGTCTTGGCCCGTTTTCTACAACCAAATTAGAAACCGTTTATTTCTCTCTAAGAACTTCTCAAGTCAGATGACCAGACATACCTGGGTGGCAGATTGGTCTTGGGAACGGGAAGTTCTTGTCCCCATGACTTCCTCTTCTTCACCGGCCTTTTCTCATCCGTCTTGGCCTCCTCCATCTTCTCTTCATCCTCCTTCAACGAGGTATCGGCCGGGGAGACGGTTAAGGGTAGACAGTCCGACTCGGGCGTGGCGGGCAGAGAGTCAATTTCGAATGTGTCTTCCATCTTGTCGTACGTAACTGACTTGTGATCTCTCGATAAAAAGAAAAAAAAAAAGAGAAAAACTGATCGTAGCAAACTACTGGACACTGCGTGGATGTCTCCGAGATCGTGGGAGAGAAACGATTATCCACGGGCCGATCGTAGTCAGTACTGAGGCCACGCTGTCATCCCGGATTGAGGTCCCGGAGATCAACTCCAGGCAGACGGATTCAGATTGAAAAGTGGATGTGGGAAGGAGTCACGAGCACACTGGAAAGGACAACTGTTCTCAACGATGGTGAACCGGGGCGGCAGATGGATGGGGGAGTGGCGGGCTTCTTAAGAGGCCAACGTGGTCAGTTCGCAGTGCCTCCCCTGGAAGCCAGGAGCAAGGGGGCGGAGTCGCCGTCGTCAGCGTCGTCAGTCCGTAACGCCCACCCAAACCGTGGCTCAGCCGCTAAACCAACCCGGGCGGTGGCTCCCAACGGCCACTGGACGACCCGGTCAAAAGGTTCAAAAGGTTACAGCGGAACCCCCCCCCCCCTCCTTAGCGAAGTTACTGTACGCAGTGACGAACCAGCAGCGCTCGACTGCTGCCTCCCGACTGTCTCACAAAGGGAGGGGACGAGGGTCCCGACTTCCCCCCCCTGAAACACTTTAGCCACTGGCCACTCATAGATGGAGGACTCTGCATGCCTGCATGAGGAGGAATGTCGGGCCCACTGTTCCAGGCTCTCTCTCCGTCGGGGCTTTGACGGAGAAGAGCAAAGAAGGGGCAACAATAAGAATGGCCCTTGTTATTCGGAATATTAACGGTAATATCTATTCTGGAATAAAAAAGACGCCTTATATTGCAACTGCTATCTAGTCATGGATGTTGTTTCACTATACTGACTCCTTTTTTCAAGCAATAGGACTCGTACCCCATAATAAAGTGCTCCTACGGATTACGGTTGAGACAGTCTGACGTGGATTGGGTCTGGGCTTCGCCGTTGAGCATCCACTTCTCAGGCAGAGACAATAATAGCTGCCGAGTTATTATTATCAGATGTGTCGGAGAATTATGTGTTGATCCGAGGCGATCTGCTGCCATGAGCTGATAGGCCTACTACGGAGTGTAGTATAGTATGTAACTACGTACTACGAACTACCTATGTGGACTCGAGTAACTAGTTATGGGCTCATGGCACTACATGTACTCCGTACGGAGTAGTTACTACATAAAGGAAGAATCTGCCGAGGCACTGCTTGAGGTGATTGGCTATGCGATGCTGGAATTCTTTGAACCAATGGCACATGTGTATCATTATTCCTCAATAATAGGCTGCCTAGTTATATGGAGTATGACTGAATCCTTGACTGAATCCTGTCGTGAGAAAGCCATCATAGAATTAACCATCCAATTGGAAACGCCATGGGAATATATGCAAAACGAAAGCAAAATCATAAGATATAGACGCCTGGAACCACTTTTTTTTTCTCTCGTCAATAGACATATATGCAAGTCCCTCCCCCCCCCCCCCTTTTTTTTTTTTGTCATTATCGTCTACATGGTGACGTCCATCGTGTCGTCTCCTGCGTCCAGGGCAGTCTGGTTCTCCGGGTCGGGCACGACCACGCCCCGTCCTCGACCAGCCAGCAATTCTCGACGGACCTCGGGTCCAATGTCTTTGTGGCCACGAACAAGGAGCAGGTCTAGTAAGGCTTCACGCTGGTCTTCGGTGATATCGTTGCGGTAGCGCTGGGCAAAGACCAGAAGTGACTGATGCCAGAGAACTGGCAGCTTGTAAGCCTTGGCAGCCGAGGGCCCGTCGGTCATGGCGTCCTCGGCATCGGTAGCACGGAATCGTAAAAAGTGGAAAACAAGGGCATCGATGACCTTGTATGGAAGGGCGTATTTTTTCTCTAGGAAAACACGGATAAACATGTTCACAGCACCGGTGCTTTCAAGCGACCTCATTGATTGCTCGGCTGCAATGTCACACATGCGCAGCAGGGCGGCCGCGGAATGCAGCACGGGGATGGAGACGCGTGCAATTACCGAAGACACAATATGGGCTTCCCGCAGTGTGCAGGTCCCACCGGACACCAGGGGAAACAGGAAGCCCTTGAAGAAGCAGGCTGGCTTGTATAACGCCTTCTTCAATGAGTTATAGGTGTGGACGTTGAGCTTCTTGGTCTCGTGGATCTCTTCACGAACACGATCCAGGAGAACAGTATTGATGAATTCTTGGGCAACGATGGGCTTGGAGGAGATAAACAATCTGGTTCCGGCATAGACAGCGTTGGGGGTCCATGATTCGGGACGAGTGATGGACATGAGAGTCGGCCATTGAGGAAGTGTCGGCAGAATCTTGAACGGCTTGGGGAGCGGACCAGACTTGTAGCGGGATAGGATCATTCCAACTCTGCTTTGGGTATTAGGAGACTGTTTCTCTTGAATAAATCGTCACAGAGAATACTGCATGGCACTCACTTCTCATATACTTCAATTGCTTTTGCGGGGATTTGAACCGCATCCTCCGGTAAGCCACCACCCTGGATGAACGGCTCGGAATTTCCAGCCTGCTTAGCCTCATACTCTGCAATCTTCTCAAGAATCAAATCGGCCAGATTGGTGCTCTGGCCACCGGCATCTGGGTCGCTGGGGTGAAAGATCGGATCTTCATCGCCTGCCGGAAGGAACTTGTTGAACATATCCAAGTCATTGGGATCGACTTCCTGCTCCAGATTAGCATCGGCCGATCATTATATAGAGTAGTAACCCGCAGTCCATGTCTCTACGCACGATTTCTTCGATTTCCTCATCTTCATCGGCCCATTGGTCATCCTCAAAGTTTCCCTCGTCATCTGATCCCGGGCCCTCATCCTCAAATCGCGTGTCGAAGTCAAAGGCAGTATTTGTTGATTCCTTGTTGGATTGCCGTGCAGCCGTGGTTTCTGCGGCGTCTTCATCGGCCAGTTCTTGTCCAATCTGCAAGATTTTTCGCGACAGCTTTGCATCGACAAAACGCTCACTGTTTTCTTCCTCGTTATCGCCATGGCGGGACTTGTGCTTGGTGGCTTTTCCAGCTTTCGCTCGTACCTGCCCCGCAGACAAAATATCCTCCGCCAAAGGGTTATGTCTGTGGGCTGCGGCCGCAGCGCGAGAGGACGTTGCCTTGGGCATGACGATCAAGGAATCTTCTGGAATGCGGTATCACAGTAGTATTTGCAGCGTTAACCAAAATATCGAGAGGGCGAGCTCTGTCCAGCGCGCGATCAGAGGACTATGTACTCAAATCTCTTATCGACTGCCTTCTCTTGTCTCACTGGAGAAATTGTGTGCAAATTTATTATCACGTGACCAATACTTTTTTCTGCCATCTTATATGATCAACCAATGATAGATGACGTCCCTCACCGAAGGCATACCCACCGCCTTCTGATTGAGGAGCAATCGGCTATCATGTGATACACCGCCTGTCTCGATCTGCCGTCGCTTCGTTCCATCCGCTCCCTGACCGCCTTTGACGCGACTTCGCACTCTCTTCCTTCCTCAACGAAGCATCCTGACGGCATGCGATTGTGACTACCTTACTTGCTTCTAGTGATCTGTCGTTACTGATACTATACTCCAGTCTGGGTTATAGGCTGTTTCATTGCTCTGTGGCGATACCTTGAGCTGCGTACAGGGAGTCGAATAGCAGATTCTGCGGGCTGTTGCTATAGCTTTATCAATCAGCTACTGTTGATCCTCGATGGCATGTGTCTGTATTTCTTGATGATTCTGGTAGGATAATTCCAGCAGACCATGTGAGTATAGATCCAATTTTTATATCCAGAGAATGTCGAGAATACTGACCTAGGCTGTTATAAATCAAGCAGTTGACGTGCTTGGGCTTCCAGTTATATTCTTATCGGTCACCCCAGTCCGGCCTTGCTTTTGAAGATACCATCATCTCATAACCAACAATATCTCTCATATAACCATATATTCTGTTTCAATTAATTTGAATCCCGCTTGTTGGTCATGGCGTCCACGCAGAACCTGGAATCCTCTGCGCCTTCTTCGAATATCAATTCTCCCATCCTACCTCCCGGAAGTGCTCCCTTCTTCAACAGTACAGCTCTGGATTCCAATGCAAGGCTGTCTCCAGCACCTCCAAGCAATGCATCTGTTCAGGGCGAAGGAACGAGGTCTAAGCGGAACAAACGCGACAGTCGCAAAAAGCGGGAAGCCAAAGGCCTCGATCCGGATGGTCCGCCAACGAAGAAAAGATCTGTGCCTGCGCCTAGCTCTGCCATCCCAAGCTCGGAACTGTCTATACTCAGACCCCTGCTACTTGCCGAACCGAGAGCATCCGACTTTTTGCCCCCTCAGCCTCGCCAGATGAACATTGCCACGCAGAAACACTCGGAGGTCCTAAACCAGACCTGGGATTTCCAAGAAGTTGCAGACAAACTCACGAATAAGAATGGGTTTCGTTATAGCTATGCAATAGCCGACCAGGCGTTCCCTCATATCAAATATCGACAGACCGATGTGCCGCCTTACTGCGCCCGCTTTAGCTTTGAAGACTCTCCAGCCGCTATAACCTTCGCCAACAACGCTTTAGCTGTCAGTACCCCCGGTCCCTGGCACACTGCACGAGCAAACGTCTGTGCTCGGGAAGGCTCCTTCTACTATGAAGCACGAGTCATAAGTGGCATTGTGAATGATCCTCGGGCACCCTCCTCCAACCGTGGAACAGGCGCCTCGCCACGCGGCCATGTCCGCATAGGGTTTGCTCGGCGTGAGGCCGACCTTGATGTGAATGTCGGGGTTGATTGTTATGGATATGGTATTCGCGATGTCAATGGAGAAGTGGTTAACCGGATGCGTTGCGAATACTTTTTCCCAAAAGGCGAATCGGTTTTTGAAGGCGATGTAATCGGGATGCTTATCACCCTTCCGCCTCTTTCCCTTCATAAAAAGATTGTTGAGGGGACATACGATCCAACAGCGGAAGGAGATGCCTCGAATTCCCGCTCAGAGCCACCATCTTGTGCAAATATCATCCGGGATCGTATCCCCTTCCACTACAAATCGGACTTTTGCTGGCAGCAGTCCAATGTGTATTCGGCCAAACACCTCCGCGACTATGCTTTTAACCTCAAAGAGACTCCTACCTTTGGACCCCCGTCGCCGCTAAATAGCGAGGATGCGTCCCTACGCACATTACCTGGCTCAAGTATCACGATCTTCAAGAATGGCGTCAAGATGGGTACCCCGTTCAAGGAGTTGTATGCATTCCTGCCACCAGCTAGCCGGCTGGCCAACGGCACTAATAACATGGGAATCGGCGAGCGCGAAAATGCCGATGATGGGATGATTGGTTACTACCCAGCTGTTAGTTGCTATGGTGGCGGCGCTGTGGAGTGTCGATTCGAAAGCCCCTGGTGGTTCGGGCCCCCCGTTACGGATGATGACGAGACAATCCGGCCAATGGGGGACAGATTCAACGACCAGATCGTCGAAGATGTCGTCGCAGACATTGTGGATGAAGTTGAAGCAATGTTTATATGGAGTGGTGTTGACGGCGATGTCGTCGGCGGTGGCGTCAATGCTGGCGGCGCAGTGATGGACGGCTCCGGCTCCGGAGCTGTTGGAGGCTCGGAAGGTTTGAAAGGCGCTGTTGGCGCAGCTTACGACACGGCCATAACTGCTGCAGCTTCGGGGGCTGGGTTTGAATCTGGGCCCCCGAGTGGTGTCGACGAGACGATGAATGGATCTATCCCAGTGCGACCGGGACATGTCACTTTTGAGGACGCAGTGAGCGTTGCAGCGACGAACTCACCGAATCACGAGGCCCCATCTGTGACTGGACCTGATGAGTCGCCAAAAGATGAAGATGTTGAAATGACCTAGGTGGGACATCCAATACAGCTATCCTGGACTATTTAATCGATGGAAAAGAGGTCGATAAAGATCGGAATGATCTAAGAAGAACTTGGAGCTGGTTCAGGGCGTGGATCATGGGGTTCAAGACCTTCTTTATTGTCTTAGCACCCCCGATATTGTACTGTTTGTTGTACAGAAAAGCTTTAATGAATAATATATACACTGAAAAGAAGGTTTTCAAGCCCATGTCGGAGGCTAGAGCGGGTCATGATAGTTTCTGACCCTCCAGAAGCCCCCCGACCTTCAAAACAAGTTCATCATCACCATACTGTCCAATGACCTGGATACCAATCATTTCTGGGTCCTGACTCTGGGGATCAGGCAGTGATATGGGAACAGAGATCGCCGGGAGTCCCGCCAGACTGGCAGGGACGGTGAAGATATCGTTGACATATGCATCGAGAGGAGAGGACGCAGAGCCACCCAGTAGACTGTCCAGGAATGGCGGAGCGGACGGCGCAGTGGGACAAACCAGAACGTCAACATCGGCTCTCTGGACCTCTCGCTGAGCATTCTCTGATTCTGGACCGTTTTGTATGCTCGTATCAGCCAACGGATGGCTTAAATTAAAAACCGCATTGAAGTCGTGGACAACAAGACGACGAATGCGCTGCGCCTGTAGGAAGTAGTTGTCAATCGCGTCGGCGCTCAAGCTAAACGTGCCGAGGAGGACTCGGCGCTTCACCTCATCGCCGAAGCCTTGCCCTCTAGTCTTGCCATAAAGGTATCCGTCTGTACGGCCCTCACCGTCTGGTCCTTCGGCCCGCGTGCCGTATCGAACGCCATCGTATTTTGCCAGGTTGGACGATGCCTCGGCTGGCGCGATGACATAGTACGCTGAGAGAGCTGATTTCGTGGCTGGTACTGATACAGGGTGGATGGTGTGCCCCTGCTTCCGAAGGTGGGAAAGAGCCAGCATCCATGCACGGCGCACAGCAGGAGTCAGCTCCGAGACGTTGTACTCTTTGGGGAAACCGATTTTGAGAGGCCGGGAGGCGAGACGAGACGCAAATTGCGGGGAGTCAAGAGAGGAAAGTATACGTGAACGTGAAGAAGGTGAGAGATTCGTGGGATCTCGCGGATCATGTCGGTTCACGACATCTGCGATTTTCTTCATTAATCGCTTGCTTGGCTTGTTGTCTTGTGGATGGAATAATAGACATACCGAAAACAGCACGCACGCTTGAAGTGTCTTTGCCCAGAATTCCAACAGTATCTAGCGAGTTGGCATACGCAACAACTCCCCATCGTGAAATGAGTCCGTAAGACGGTTTGAAACCGACGGTGCCGGTATACGCAGCCGGTAGACGAACCGATCCGCCCGTATCTGTACCTAAGGCTCTATACAGCAATTAGTCGTGGTCCCCAAGATAAAAGGTACCTCATCATGGAGAAAATCGGTGATCTCACGCATAGCATTGGTCTGTCGCAACCGCGACTGCACTCCCACCAGAGCTGCCACCGGCAGAAACGTCCCGGCCGTGCCTTGGGTGTTGATTCTTGACAGGACCAAATCGTGAATGGACCGAGTGAGATCCCATGCCGAACTCATCGAGGTTGGTCTTTCCAGCAATGATGGCCCCGCCTTTCTCCAACTGTTCTACCACTGTCGCGTTAAACGGACTCGAGTATTTATCCAAGATCCCAGAGCCGCATGTCGTCGGGAAATCACGCGTACAGATGTTGTCTTTGATCGTTACTAACCGCCCATCTAATCTCGACTTGGGGCTTTCTATTCATAGAAGGAGCGTCGGTTAGCTGGTTTCTCATGCTCTTCGCTTGATATAAGCTATCATTACATACTGTTTTCGCGACGAATATCCGCCTGGCGCACTCGGGAAAGCCATTCTTCAGAGCGTTGCAAGGGCGCAATCAGGGCATTGAGACCGGCATGGGCCCTTTGATTGGCAACACATCTCTCTGCCTCCCGGAGAAGAGACATTGAGGTCTCTTGCAGTATTCACAGGCGAATAGAAAGTGAGCTACAACAAGACGGGGGGGGGGGTCTTCAGAACAACGTAAATTTACCAGATAGCTATGGTCTGTGCGCCGGACCATTTTACTGCAGAGCATACCTCACTTCTATGAAGATATACAGTATATTTCAAGAGGATATAATTTTGAGAATAAGCTGTGTAGACATCCAGAAAAATATATATTCAGAACAAGCTTGAGCCGGATAAAAGAGGTGCATTTGTTCAATAATCGCATGTCTTGCATTTCTCCGCCGGCCCGGAGCCGGAGGGTAATAATTCACCACGACGTCATCCCGATAGGCTTTTACACTTCCAATTAATACCAACTGTCTGCATCTTCAGGGGAAAAACCCAAACCTTTGGCTCATTTTAGGTATTAAGATATTCTCCGTGTGGGCCATTGATCATGTTCTCTCGTTGCGTTCTGAGGGCCGCGGTTGAGACGCCGTATCGCCAGGGGACGTTCTCAATTCAAGCCTCGGCTTCGAAGCTACGTGCAGCATCTTTGAGGCCTACCGCGGCCGTTAGCGAGGGCAGACGGTTTATATCTGTCTACGGGTATACTCAAGCAAAGGCGCTGGTTTATTCGAACTATGGAGAACCAAAGGACGTGCTGAGGTAGGTGAATCATAGACGATTGCTGCTGGTGTTGAAACCTGACCTGTTTAGCCTTCATAAACACTCCATATCGCCTCCCCATGGCACGCAAGTGACGCTTCGTCTCCTCGCTGCGCCTTTAAACCCCGCAGACATCAACCAGATCCAGGGCGTGTACCCGAGCAAACCTCCGTTTACATCAACCCTCGGAACGGCCGAACCGTCCGCCGTAGGTGGCAATGAGGGCGCGTTTGAAGTGGTTTCGACCGGGTCTGGCGTCAAGAATCTCACCAAAGGCGATTGGGTAATCATGAAGCATACGGGTCAGGGAACCTGGCGCACACATGCGCAGCTGGACGAGTCGCAGCTGATCAAGATCGAGGACAAGGAGGGCTTGACTCCGCTGCAGGTGGGCACCGTCAGCGTGAACCCCGTCACGGCGTACCGAATGATGAAGGATTTCTGCGACTGGGACTGGATGCGTACAGGGGAGGAATGGATGATTCAGAATGGGGCGAACAGCGGCGTCGGGCGCGCGGCCATCCAGCTCGGCAAGGAATGGGGCATTAAAACGCTGAACGTGGTTCGGGAGCGCAAGACGCCTGAGGAGACAGAGGCTCTCAAGAAGGACTTGTATGAGCTGGGTGCCACCGCGGTGGTGACAGAGGCGGATCTCCTCTCGGGCTCCTTCCGTGACATCGTCAAGGAACACACCCGCAACGGCAAGGAGCCGATCCGCCTGGCCCTTAACTGCGTGGGCGGCAAGAGTGCTACCGCCCTAGCCAAGGCCCTCGCCCCAGGTTCGCACATGGTTACCTATGGTGCTATGTCTAAGCAGCCCGTCGCGTTGCCGTCTGGTCTGTTAATCTTCAAGAATCTCGTCTTCGACGGTTTCTGGGTCAGCAAGTGGGGGGACAAGAACCCGGGCCAGAAGGAAGAGACCATAAAGGATGTTCTGCGCATGACTCGCGCAGGCCGGTTCAAGGACATCCCAGTCGACGAGTTCAAGTGGAAGTGGGATACAGAAGAGTCCCAGATCAGAGAGGCCGTACAAGGCACCCTCGGTGGTTTCCGCAGCGGAAAGGGTGTTTTGGTCTTTGAAGGAGACGAGTAATCTATAAGATATGGCCATGTAATTTATTGTGGGTATGCTTGTATTTATAAGTGCAATTGAATTGCACGATAGCGGGAGTTTTAAGTCCCTGCAAATATACATCAACATTTCCAGTTCTTCTTGATCCATCCCAAAATCACGTCCGTGAACGACTTTGACGGCATGAAGACTTCACTGTCTTGGAAGAAGTCGATGTCCAAATCCACAAATTTCGCCGCGAGGGCCATATACCGCTCGATGAAATCAATGTACACTAGATCAACGGTTTCGGGCACAGTAGAACCATTGACAGAGATCAGCGAATGAATGCAGTTCGGAACACGGTAAAAAGATATCGATGAATGGATAGTGTCATCGCCATCTGTGCCTTCATCATCACTGGTTATGTAACCAGGGATGAGTTTCGTCCGTGATTCCTCCGGGGTAGAGAGCAAGATTTGACCAGGCACGACTCGACTATTCAATGCCGAATCAGCAACGACGTCTTCGGAGTAAGCTAGTTGCTCCAGTGGCCCCAGCGTGAAAGTCAATGCGTTCTGTTCAGATTGTGTGAGAATCTGCGGTTGTTTATTCAAAACTTGAATGATCAGTTGCGCTTTTTCATATGGGACATCCTTCACATATCGAAACCCGCTGGTGAACGGGGACACAATGAAGGTGGAATCTTGGGTAAAAGGTCCCTTGAAAATGTCGAACCGAATGGCCCCGGTATTAACAATAGCAAGAGCAGGCTGTGCACCGCGAATGCCATCTTTCAACAAATCTGGAAGCACCTGTGTCTCGAGCCATGTATAGATGCTGTCTTCATCTGGATACCTGGCACGGTTCACCCAAAGATCCCTGGGAGCACAGCCATGCACCTCATCAAGCTGCAGAGCAACTCGAGACTCATGAATGAGTTGAGAGACATTGCGTCCATGTTCTGTTGGGAAGCTCTCTTCATCAAGGCCGGTATGGTGAAGAAATGAATAGAGGTTGTTGTCAATATATCTTCTATTGAAGCGGAGAGGGGTTGCCGGTGTCGTGCTGATAGATTTTCCTGTAGAAAGTCCATCAATGGACATAAAACCAATGGTTTCCATGAAGCGGCCGCTGGCTAAGCCGTAGGCTCTAGAGTCATATCGAGCGTAATCACGGATATGGAGATGGCCACCAAAGAACTGTATGGGGATTTCTTGATGAACCGCTCGAATTTCATGGAAAATCGAACGATACTCGGCAGTCCGCAGAGGAGTGTGCCCGATCACGACGAAGAGGTCAACATCTGTATCACGAATGGCCTCCTGAAACCAATCTTCCTTTACGGTTTCCTCCACAGGTTGCACGATTGTGTTATTGTAATTGCCTGTGAAGTCGAAAAGGAAGCCAAACGCTACAATCCGAATCCCCTGGTTTTTAGTGGTGAACTTCGTAAATCGCGGAGCCAATGGAACCACCTCATTGGTCTTTGGATTGACAATGTCGATATTGGATGCCAAGTAGTTGCTCCGGAAGTTTGGAACTGTGTTCAAAAATTCTGCCTCAGACGTATTCTTTTTATAGAGTTCGTGGTTACCCGAGGAAAGTAAGTCGATATGTTGCTGACGGAGGATCTCCGAAATATATATCCCCTTGGGCTCCGACGAGTCATAGAGGCCATTCCCCTCGACCCGGTCGCCAGTGTCAATGACCAACAGGTCCCTGCCTTGTGCCTCTGCTTTCTCTCTCATCCGCGTTGCGAACGAGACATAGTCGCCCCAGTCTGCAGAGTACGAGGGCCTAGAAGCAACCAACGCATCAGTACACTTCCAAATCATGCTTCACATACATCACCATACTCCTGCAGATGACCGGCCAGCCAGCCATGAGTATCAGTCGTATGAAGGAAGTTCAGTTGGCCCCATGTAAGATCCCGTAATGGCACCGAGATGGGATCCGGAGCAGACGGCTGGGCGGCCTGGGCGACTCGCGACAGAAACGAGAGCAAAAGAATACAAAACGAATCAATCATCGTGCCAACATACACACATACACACAATCGTAACGAGCAACGCCTCAATCACTGCTCAGAATCGGACCCGGTCTGACAGTAAACACAGCTCCGGTTGTTATCGGTATAGATAAAAACAACGATAAGGTCGGGCCTGTTCAGTTTACGGAAGGAAGTTGCCGGTGAGCGATTCCAGGCGCTGAGTCAGCCTCGCCCAACAGTTGCGGAAGCTCTTCACAACGCAGCCAAGGCCAGAAAGCACTGGTCAACTCCAAGTTTTGGGTGGCCGCCGCTTTATCTCGAAATCTTTCTTTCTCCCAACACCTTTCTCCTCTCTGAGAGCCGTGCCAGCCGCGAACCCAATCCGGGTCAATTGTCTTTGTCTTCTGCCGTGTTATTTCCTCTCCTTTCCTCTTTTTCCGGTGGTTCCTTGAATCCTCGGCCCCGTCATGGTTGCTCCTCAGCTTTTCCGCTCAGCACGTCTGCTGTCGTCGCGTCTGTCGACCCCCATCCGCCCTTCGTTCCAGCAGTCTGCGTGTGTTCCTTCGGTCCTGAGCTCCCGGAAATATGCCACGGAGAGCGGTGTGAAGGAGGTCACCGTCCGTGATGCGCTGAACCAGGCTCTGGCTGAGGAGCTGGAGGCCAACCAGAAGACTTTCATTCTCGGAGAGGAGGTTGCGCAATACAATGGAGCGTATGTTTGCGGGATGCTTCCTGTTGGAGAGATACTCTTGAATCATGTCTTCTGATCGGGATCTTCTTGCAGTTACAAGGTCACAAAGGGTCTTCTGGACCGCTTCGGACCCAAGCGGGTTATCGACACTCCCATCACCGAGGCCGGCTTTTGCGGTATCGCGGTCGGAGCCGCTCTGGCCGGCCTGCACCCCATTGTATGTTGCTTCCAAGTTGACGAAGTGTTCCTATGACATTGGTGCTAATTGGGATTTTTTCTTGCGCAGTGCGAGTTCATGACCTTCAACTTTGCCATGCAGGCCATTGATCATATTATCAACTCGGCGGCCAAGACCCACTACATGTCCGGCGGCATCCAGCCCTGTAACATCACCTTCCGTGGACCCAACGGTTTTGCTGCCGGTGTGGCCGCTCAGCACTCTCAAGACTACTCCGCCTGGTACGGAAGCATTCCTGGCTTGAAGGTCGTCGCTCCCTGGAGCGCCGAGGATGCCAAGGGTCTGTTGAAGGCCGCTATCCGGGACCCTAACCCTGTTGTTGTCCTGGAGAACGAGTATGTATCACCGATTCTCCCTTTCTCTCTATTCCGTGTTGACCAGTCACCCCATTTAGGCTTCTCTACGGCCAGGCCTTCCCCATGAGCGAGGCTGCTCAGAAGGATGACTTCGTCCTGCCCATCGGAAAGGCCAAGATCGAGCGTGCCGGAAAGGATCTCACTATCGTTACCCTGTCTCGTTGTGTTGGCCAGTCTCTTAACGCCGCTGCTGAGCTGAAGCAGAAGTACGGCGTGGATGCTGAGGTTATTAACCTCCGCTCCGTCAAGCCTCTTGATGTCGAGACCATCATCAAGTCTCTCAAGAAGACCGGCCGCATCATGTGCGTCGAGTCCGGTTTCCCTATGTTCGGTGTCTCCTCCGAGATCCTTGCTCTCTCCATGGAATACGGTTTCGACTACCTGACCGCCCCCGCCGTCCGTGTCACCGGTGCCGAGGTGCCTACCCCTTATGCCCTTGGTCTGGAGCAGATGAGCTTCCCCCAGGAGGACACCATTGTCAAGCAGGCCGCTAAGCTGCTGCGCCTGTAAATTATGCCTTTTGGCGTATTGAAGGGGGATAGCAAGCCCTGAAAAGAAACCCTCGCAGTAATTCCATGTGTCTAGTACCCTTTTTTTTGTTATCCCTCACCCGACATTTTGGATCGTTGTACGACTACATTGAAAGATTTAACATTTACCCATTCTTCCCTGCTTTCACTTGGCCACAGTAAATTCTCCACGTTATTTGAAGCACCCAAGTTATGCCATCTATAGACAAATTGCTATGCAGGGTTCATGTTATATCTAGATCAACTCGTTTTATCAATTATTAAGCCACATTTTACTACTCTAGTCAGCCTGCTCTATTTGACTTGACTCAATCGCGGGGCGATAGACTCTAAAGAGGCATTTAGCTTCATAAATGGGCATATCAATCATCCATTACCACGTCTTTGACGCACCCATCTGCTCTTGCTTCTATTTGAAAAGAATCTTTTAATGTCATAAATAATCTAGTGATTAATTGATTGACCTTATTAAGAGTGTATTCCTTCTTTCTGCTAAGCGTTCACTGCACCTGGACAGCCTGTAAAGCAACCCGTCGGCTTCCTTGGATCATAATAACCCCCTTCGCCTGCATCTATCGTATAGTCTTCATCTGTGTCACTTTCTGCGTCATGGTGAGTAGCAGTAGGTTTCCCTGAAGAGGGTCTATCCTTTGGTAAGACATCTTTCGGCTCCCCGGTATCTTCCACATCGTCGTCGCCTAATACATTTCTTTTTGTTAAAGATGTTGACGCAACCGGGCCCTTGACCGAAGTGAATGAACTCTTGAATCCGCCTTTTTTGAACCCTCCGCCGCTTGTTGACGTTATTGTTGTTGTTGACGAGCCGGCTATCGTCGGGCCACCACTCGGATTCGAGTCGATTACTCGGAGGCCTGCCTCTGCGTCTGCCTTTCTCTCTGATCGACGAGCCTTTTCCGCTGCATTCGGGTCGCGAGACAACTGTTTCAGGTCTTGGAGCCGCTTGCGATGCTGGTGATCGTAGGACCCGATATGGGCCTCGTATTCCGGGTGACGCGAGTAAGATTTGTTACATAGCGTACAGGTAAAAGAATTCAACGCGGAACGGGCAGATTCGGTCTGTCGATCACAAGAGGTAAGTAACAAGCAGAGTTACAAGGAAAGAGGAGTTGGACCTTTGGGGCTGGGTTTGCAAAGCCGCGCTATACTCGGTAAGCAAAGTCAAGACGTTTCACATTAGCGCCATCTGAATAAATAGCAAGCACTCCCTCCAGTAAAGGGAAAGATGATAGATAAATTGCTCTTCCCCAATACCGCGCAAAAGACATACAGGTGGCATTGTAGGATGGAAAGCGCACAGCGCCGCTTCAAGTCCGAAGGCGGGTATTTTTCTTGGAGCTATGAGTTAAGCGGACGCACTTCAAGTCATCATGCAGATGAAAATCAGCTATCTGACAGTGCTCCCGAGCGTTCAAAGTGCTTGCTGCACCGGACCTTGATATTGAAGTTGAAAGAGCTCCCTCCCCATTCGGCGAGAGAAACGACCTGTTGGTTGAGTGTCTCAGACCAATCACCGGCCGCAGAGCTTTGATGAGCAACCAAGTAATCTTCTCCAGCTCATCCTGATTTCACCTTGTCTGATTGCGGAGTTTTTAGAGACGACGAGATGACAGTAACGACTCTATGATTGCGCCTGTTTTCTAAATATAATTATCTCTCTTGCTATCTTTGCGCCATGCATGATCCAGGGGAATTGCGTGCCTCCAAGCCGGAGGACATCGACACGCGATCTCTGATTTCCATGCAGGAATTGGACCCCTCCCCTGTTGACGACCTCTCTCCTGATCCAGAGTCTGGCGAGTATCTTCCCAAACCCCTGGATGACGAGCTTTTGGGGCGAGAGGTCCCTGAAAGCAAGTTCTCCGGATTCAATCTTGGACTGCGCGGTTATCGTTGGGACTCGTGGTGTAAGAGCAGATGCTTTTATCCTCGTGATTACACTCTTGGACCATGGCTAATGAGGCTTGTTGATAGTATCTACGATTCAGAAATACTCGACTTATCCGCCGACTCTGTTCTTCACATTACATATCGCCAACACATCGCTAATTCCTCTCGTGACATCTTCCGTGTCGTCAAGCGAGTCATTTCTGCTCCTCACGCGACCTATATATCAGTCCCCCTCTTTAGAGCACATTGTTCTCACGGTCCCTGTCCTTGCACACATCGTATCCGGAATTGTGCTGCGGAACATTCGCGCATCCCGTCGCGCACGACTTTACGGAGCAGAGACCAGGGCACAGCGGCATCTTCTCACATTTTGGCCCAAGGTAAACCTGCAGGCCCGGCTCGGCTATGTCCTTGTTCCGCTACTGGGTATCCACGTGCTTGTCAACCGTGTCGTTCCGCTTGTGGTCGAAGGTGGAAGCTCCGGGGTCGGTCTGGGCTACGTAGCGCATGGATTCGCGCGGAGCCCTTTGCTCTGGAACATCTACTACCTCTTGTTCGTTGCAGCGGGTGTCTGGCATTTTGTCGGTGGGTGGGCGGCATGGATGGGATGGAGGGTCACTACTGCCCGCCAGGAACGAGGTCGCAACAAGGGCTCTCTTGGGGGATACCTGGGGTTTGTGGAGAGCCAAGAGCGCGTCAAGCGACGCAAGCGCATGTGGTGGATGGTCAACGGCATTGCAGCCCTAGGCACGTCGATCTGGCTTGCTGGTGCATTGGGCGTTATTGGACGCGGGGGCGAGGGTTTTGGATGGGAAGCAGAGAATTGGAATGTTCTCTATAAAAGTGTTCCTGTTATTGGCGACTGGCTGTGAAGGCGGCTCCAGTGTATATATGATCATATGCCTCTTGTAGGCTGAAAATTGTGCCATATTAATAATAATAAATGTTAATACTTTATTCTCATACGAGATAGTTACACAGCAGGGATCTTGTTTAAACTCGGTGGTTCAGTTGTTAGTCGTTATGCTTTACTGAAGGCACGCGTGGTCTGTGCGGGACTTTTTTTTTATCTGGGACGCTCGAACAACTCTTAATTGTACCATTGAGAGGCTATGCAGGCTTTGCTGCATTTGAATCAATGAGCTTGGCTCTACGGATTCCGGTATTTCACCTCACAGTTCGTCGGACAGTTCGTCCTATTTCGCGATCCTCGAGATCCGACGTCCCGTGGTTCGCACATCGTCAGCGCTGCCGCACGCCTTCGCTCTTTACAAGGCCATATACACCAACTCCATTAGTTATGGCACAATCGAAGGAAGCGAAGACGATCGGACAGCTTGTCCAACACAACGGCAAAGAGTACAGGGCCATCCAGGAAGGGCTGGCGTGCATTCTCAACCCGCCATCTCAAGAGGCTGCATCACAAGCCCCGCCGCGAAAGAATGGTGCAGGCGAAGAGGAATTGCAGTCTGTCTTCTACAATCCGATCCAGCAGTTTAATCGCGATCTGAGTGTTCTTGCCATCCGTGCATTCGGAGAACATGTGTTGGTGGTGAAGAAACAGAAGGCGTCGAAGCAAAAAGCGAGGCATGAAGGATGGAGCAAAGGGAAGAAGCGCAAGAGGACGGATGGAGAGGAGCCACAAGAATCAAATTCTCAGGTCCCCCAAAAGGGAGAAGAGACCGACCAACCTCACTCTGAACAAACTCCAGCTCCCCAGTCTTTTACCATCCTGGACGCGCTATCGGCGACAGGCTTACGAGCGCTACGTTATGCTTCCGAAATCCCCTTTACCAGCTGCGTTGTGGCGAACGACTGGTCTCCTACAGCCATCCAATCCATGAAGATGAATATCGAGTACAATGGACTAGAGACGCGCATTTCGCCAAATGTGGGTGACGCCCGGGTGTACATGCACAGCAGTTCGAACAATCCACCGAATTCGAATAGCAGTGGACCGGCACACACGGGCAAGTTCGACGTCATCGACCTCGACCCCTATGGAACAGCCGCGCCCTTTCTGGATGCAGCCGTCCAGGGCGTCAAGGATGGGGGTCTTTTGTGCGTGACGTGCACTGACGCTGGTGTCTGGGCCTCGGCCGGATATCCGGAGAAGGCGTTCGCTTTGTACGGCGGTGTACCACTCAAGGGATCCCATTGCCACGAAGGAGGACTGCGCCTTATCCTCCATAGCATTGCAACCGCGGCGGCAAAGTATGGAGTCGCTATCGAGCCGCTGCTCTCGCTGTCCATCGACTTTTACGCCCGGGTGTTTGTCCGCGTACACAAGTCCCCGGCCGCAGTGAAGTTTATTTCTGGAAACACCATGCTCGTCTACAACTGCGATTCGGGCTGCGGAGCCTGGACAACACAGCCGCTCACTCAGACGAGGCAAAAAGCAGATAAGCAGGGGAAGCCATTCTACCATTACGGTCTTGCCCAGGCACCAGTCTCAGGGCCATATTGTGAACACTGCGGCTTCAAGACACATCTCGGCGGTCCGATGTGGGCTGGACCCATGCACAACCCCCATTTCATCCAAAAGATCCTGGACATGCTACCCAACACGGATCGAACCGTCTACCAAACCGTTGATCGCATCGAGGGCATGCTGACAACTGCTCTCGAGGAAGACCTGAACCTAGCATCACTTCCCGAAGCTACCGGCGGTGATGAACAGGCTCCTGATACCATTGAGGCCACAACTGCCACCGTCCCAACCGCTGCTGACCCTACAGATCTAGCCATTATCCCTCGCATGGACCCAGCTGCGAAGGAGCCGTACCCGTTCTACTTCAACCTCAGCTACATATCCAAGGTCATCCATTGCTCGACCATCTCCGTGGACGCTTTCCGCGGGGCCCTAGGCCATCTTGGCTACCGCTGCTCCCGCAGCCACGCAAGGCCGAACACCATCCGCACCGACGCACCGTGGGAGGTAGTCTGGGAGGTCATGAGGGAATGGGTTCGCCAAAAATCGCCGATCCGAGAAAATGCTCTCAAACCAGGCACACCCGGGGCGGCGATCATGGCGAAGCGCCGAGAGAATCTCCGCAAGGCCGACGCCGCCGCCGCCGCCGCCGCCGACGACACGACGACCAGCGGAGAGGATCCGTGCCTCTCCCTTCTCAAAACCGAGGTTCTTTCCGCTCTCGAGGCCGGCAAAGATGTCACCGACCTGATCACAAAGATTGAAGCCGCGCTGTACCGATCTGGCGCTAGAAAGACGGCACCTGCAAGCAACCCCCGTGGTTCCGGTGAGAGTGAGAAGACACAACAGAGCACCGAGCCCCAGTCCCAGCTACCCGCCTCTACTCCCCAACCCACCCTCAAACCCCATCCTAGTACATTGGATGTCGTCTTCGACGAAGCGCTGGGCAAGCAGACGGCCGTGAAAAGACTGGTGCGGTACCAGATAAACCCGAGGGCGAACTGGGGGCCGTTGAGTCGTGCGACGGGGAGCAACCAGTCGTAGCCGTAAGCGATTCTTGCTATCTCCTTGAATATAGGTTCTCTAAAGATGTATTATTCATGTATGTATGATGTTTGAATGCATTTCTGGCGTCTCTACTATGAAAAGTATATTTAGTCTATAGTTATATTCTTCCATATTGATCATAATAAGACTAAGTACCAAATTAAATCTAAAACAATTCATTAAGATATCCCTATGATAAATTGACAAGACAAGAATAGATCATCAGGAAAAGAAAAGAGAAAAAGAGAAAAGAAAAGAAAAGGCTCAGAACAAACGTATCAGTCATCTCTCACAGTCACATTTAACCGACCCTTCTAGATTGATCTGACTAATCGACTTTAAAAATGAGAAACCGCTACAGCCACTGCCTGGGTATCGCTGTGGCTGATGCTGACGCTGACGGTCTTGACACCGGCCTTCTTGGCAGCTTCAGCAGCCGCACCGTGAAGCTGAAACATCCCAAGTCAGTATAAAGTGTGTCTAGAATAGAGAAAAAAAAAAGGTTAGGGGGGGAAAAACTTACGTTGACGACCGGGGCACCATTGGCGTCCCTTCCAATTTCAATCTCCTTCAACGCGGCACCAGCGCCTTTGCTGTTCACGCCCAGAGACTTGAAGACGGCTTCCTTGGCACTCCAACGACCGGCAAAAGACGCCTGGGGAGAGGCGGCCTTGCGGCAGTACTGCTGCTCCTGCTCAGTGAAGTTCCGCTCGATGAATGTCTCGTTGTCGATGTTGACGGCATCCAGGTTCTCGACGTCCACGCCGATCTTGGTGTTCTCGGCGGCGGTGGCGCTGGCCAGAGACTCGATCATCTTCTTGGTGCTCTCTGTGTTCTTGTCCTTGTCCTCAGCCTTGGGACCGACAGCAGGGTACTTGAGCTCCGAAGTCTTCTTGTCGACAACCACGCGGTAGTCGGGGTTGAGGAAGACCTTGCTCTGGATATCGTCCTCATAAGGCGCCTTGTTCTTCGCAACGAAAATGCTGTTGTTGATCAGACCGTTGTGGAAGTAGCGGTACGCCTTCTTCTGTCTGGCCTCCACCTTGTTCTTGTAGGACTGGAACTGGGCACGGTCCAGAGCGGCATACAGGTACTTGGGATGGATACCGATCACCTGGGCACCCTTCTGACCGAAACCGAACGAGGTTACCGAGAAGGCCTTGATTCCATCCGTCTGGATGCTGCGGCTGGGGTAGACGATGTAGTCGAACTTCTCCATCACCTTGTCAACGTTATCGGCATTGCGGTTACCGGGCACTAACCCGCTCTCCAGAACCTGCAGACAGCCGTTGAACATCCAGGCACCGGCGGCACCCTTGGGGTGACCGGTGAGGTACTTCTGGAAGATACCCATGACGGCATTGCCCTTCTTGCGGCCAAGGTGCTTCAGCTGCTGGCAAATGACATCGGACTCGTTCTTATCATTGGCAACGGTAGATGTACCGTGGAACGAAGCAACGCCGATATCGTCGATGGTAAGGCCCCAGGTCGCCAGGGCACCACGGAGAGGCGCGATGCGCGAGTCCTGCTTCCAGAAGTTGTTTCCGAGAGTGAACTGGGCATCCTTCTCCTGGCGGGTAGCTTCGCGCTCAATGTGACGGGCGCGTTCCTGCATGTATTCCGTGGCGTTGAACTCGCTGCCATCGGAGGACTGAGCCTGCATAGCATCGACCTCCTCCTGCAGGAACAACAGCTCCGACTCTTGCCATTCCTTGATCTGCTTCCTGCGGAGATCCAGCTGGCGGCGACGGTACTTGATGTCCAGGAGAGGAGACGGGAACTTGCCAGGGTTCTCGCGAGCGGTGGTGAGGACACCCTGTCCAGGAGCCGGGACGGAACGGCCGATCTTGTCGGTGGCGGTGGTGGTCAGAGCGATGATACCGTGGATGGGAACACCCATATCGAGTGCGAGCTGGGCGCTCATGATGAGCTGCATACCGCATCCCTGGGATTCCATGAAACCGGCACGGGTAGTGGTGGTCGGACGGGACATCTCCTTAGGGGTACGACCGTGAGCAAATTCATCCTCGGCGTTGCTGGTAGCTTTCATGTTGGCAAACTCGTACGAGCCTTCCTCCTGGAAGTCATCGAAACCACCAACAAAGCAGACGCGAGCCTTGCCCTCGACGATGGTCTCGTAACCAATGTCAACCGACTCCACAGCGGTAGCGCAAGCACCCACAGGGGTCTTGATAGGTCCAGTAGAAGACAAGAGTAACATGTTCACCCAGGCGCTCATGGTGTTGATGAAGGACTCCTGCAGAATATCCTTCTGCAGGGGCTTGTCGAGATAACGATCCTTGTACATGCCACGCAAAGCATGGGTGCCACCAATACCGGAACCGATGCAGTTACCGACCTCGGACAGATGGACGTACTTGTAGAACTCATAAGGATCGGTGATACCGGCCGAAAGCAGGGACTCTGCGGTACAGACCAGAACGAACAGGGTCACGGGGTCAACCTGCTCGATGATATCTTCCGGAACACCGTATCTGCGGGCATCCCAACCGGTGGGGATCTGGCCAGCAACCAGGCGGTCAAACTGCAGAGCCTTGGGGATGAGGAGGTTGGCGCCCTTCTTCAGACGGACAATGTACTCTCCGGATTCGGGGATCTCGAAGATTTCGACCTTCTCGCCATGCTCGCGCTTGAACTCTTCGGCGGTCTCCTTGGAAGCTTCGAAAGGCTCGAGATCCTCCTGGATGACAACTTCCTGGAGAAGCTGCTTCTTCTTGGGATCGTAACCCTTGAACAGCTCGGGCTCAATGAGACGGATACCGGAGTGTTCGAGGATATGCTTCTCATACTTCGACTTGACGTCCTTGTCATCGACAGGCTCGCCGGTCTTGGCATCAACCCATCCAGAATAAGCCTTACCCTTCAAGGGGCCGTTGTGGTGCTTGATGAGACCCATGATCCATGCCATTTCGACACAACCCTCAAGGGAGAATTTGCCGTACGCCTCCATCTCCCAGCGGGTACGAGAGTTACCCCAGGGGCCGACTTCGGCAAAACCGGTAACGACGACAACCTTGTCCAAGTTGACCATACCCTTGAGATTAGCGTTGAGAGGCTGGACCTCCTTCTCCCAGTCAGGCAGCCGAGGGAACTCGAATTTGATGTTAGCGCGAGGCTCGGCGATGACCTTCTTGTAGAGCACCTCGCTGTCCTCTCCGTTGACAATCTTGTTCTCGATGGCGGTTTCCTTGATGACAGCTTGGCGCACATCACTGGTCTCCATGATCTCCTTACGCAGTCTGGTCATGAGGTTCTTGAGGTCGGGGATGAACTGGAGTCCACCGTTCAGATCGGCCCAGACGGGGTCAAGCTGGCAGAGGTTGACGACGGCAGGGGCCATGAGGCCCAGTAGATTGAATGCCATCTCCTGCTGAGAGAATGTGCGAACGCCCAGCTTTTCAACGCCCTCGGCCACCATGTTGTTACCGCTCATGAGACCGGTACCACGGGTCCAACCAATGACAGCACCGCAGATGGTCAGGTAGTTGGCCCAGCTCTCCGAGTACCAGCGGTTGAAGAGGGTCTCCAGGGCAAGCTTGGACTCCGAATACAGACCATCGTTTCCGAAGGTGCCGTGGTTAGGTGACAGAGGCAGGATAACCTGGGCAGGACGGGTCTCGAAACCGTGCGTCTGCTTCTGAGTCTTGATGCAACCCAGGAGTCGGAGCAGGTTGGTCAACATGATCCTGTGGGCAAGCTCGGATTTCGAATCGATCGAGTCGATCTCGCGGCCGTTCTCTGGGATCGCGGCAAAGGGGACGACGAAGTCCAAGTCCCAGCCGAGACCCTTCTTGGTGTCGTAGATGTAGTCCACGAGGGCCTCAACATCCTGCTTGCTGCCTTGGTTGAAGGGGACCACAACCAGCTGGGAGCCACGGGCACCGTAGCGGGCATACATGGCCTGGTAGTATTCGGTGACCTCACGGGAGAATCTGCTGGTCGTGACGACGACCTTGGCACCACCGCTGATCAAGCCCTGCAGGACCTCGGCGCCAATGGAGCCAGCACCGGCGCCCGTCATCAGGGCATGCTTGCCCTGGAAGCTAACACCAGAGCGAGCAGCCGATTCGAGCACATCCAAGTAGACGCCGGTGAGCTTCTTGTTGTACTCCCAGCCGTGTTCCTCCTTGTTCTTGAGGTGCAAGAAGGGAATGGTTTCGACCTTGCCGGTGCGTGGGCTGCCATTGCGACGGAGTCCATTGCGGCCACCCTTCTTTCCCTGAGCGGCTTCCTGGGGCATGATCTGGTTCTCGTTCATGCCAAGGGCCCGAACAACATCCTTATACAGGGTGTTGAACTGTAGTTGCGAAGACTTGGAGAGGCGGTGTTCCTTGCGGATCAGCTTATAGACGCTCTTGAGATCGTTCTGTACCTTGGTCCGGTTGCTGTACTCGGAGATGGGGCCGCCCTCGGCCATCTGCTTGACGTAGTGCTCCAGCTTGCGAGCGCTGGCACGAGGCACCTCCTTGAAGTCGACATTACCGCGAGCATCAATGGTGGTTTGAGGTGCCGTAGGAACGCCGACATCCTTGTAGACTGGAGCAGCCCCGAGAACCTCCTTGCAGTTCTCGATCAGTTGCTCACCGAGCTCCTTGGCAAGCTGGTAGGTCTCGCCACGCTCGGTGGGGCAGTTATCGATGTGATACTGCATGAAGTCCAGCAGCAGAGGGTTGGAGCGGTTCATGATACGGATACATTGGCTGACAATCTCCCGGTCCACGACCTTGAGGCGGCCGAAGATGACATCGTAGTACATGCTCAGCGCATCCTGACGAGCCCAGTTCCAAGAGGAGTCGTACACACGAGCCTTGAGCGGGTCAAAGGACGGCTCGATGCCTGCGGCATAGACGTCGCCATGCTCGGCTTGCCAGAGGTCCAGCTGCGCCTGAAGGGCCTTTTGGGTCTCCTGGGAGGTGACGAACGCCTTGTCGCCGGAGCGGAGGTCCACCTTGAGGTACCGGGCGATGATCTCCAGCTGCTGCTTGAACAAGGCCCGTTGATCCTTGGTCAGCGCGTCGATGGCGGCGGGGTCCATGAGCATGCCGCCGGCACCACCGCCAGCATCACCGCCAGCGGTCGGCGCGGACAGGTTGACGCCTGCAAGGGCTGCGTACTTGTTGGTCACGTCGTCGAGATATGCCTTGGCATCGGCCTCGGAACCTAAACGGGTAGCAGGCTCCATAGTGAGGGCGAGGAGAAGAACACCGTCCTGTCTGCCGGAACCCAGGCCCCATCTCGTCTCGAGGTATTTTCTGACAGAGGTGATGTTGAATCCACCGGGCATCTTGGACGACACCAGGCGGGCAATGAGCGAAGACGACTGCTTGCCGAGCTGTCCATTGAAAGTGGCCTGCATCGAAGCACCAAGCTCATCGAGAGGGGTGTCTTCCGGTTTCTCCGGGGTTGAGCCGAATTCCTTGCCCAAGTCTCCGAGAATCTCGTTCTGCAGAGTCGATTTTCCTATGAAAATGGTCAGCGGGGATTGCACAATCAATCATCTGGAAACGAGCTCCCACAACCTACCTCCAACCAGGTCTTTAATCGCCTTGTTCAATGGGATATCTGTGAGGCTCTTCTTCAACTTCTGGGCCACTAATGTTCTCAGGATGTCAACCGCGGTGACTGGAACATCGTCGACGGCGGCGGCGGGTCCGGCGCCCGGGGCAGGGGCGGCGACAGGTGCAGCGACGGGAGTGGACGCGGGGGCAGCGGACGACGAGGAGCTGGGGGCCTGCTCTGCCGGCGTCTCAGGCTCCTCCTCCACGGGGTCGACATCGTAGTAGATCTCCTTGGCGTCTTTGTTGTAGCAAAGAATCTGACGCTGGACGGATGTGGCGGCATCGTAGGCTTCGTATTTGGATGCAAGTGTGCGTCTGGCCATTCCACCCAGAGTATCCGCGGGACCAATTTCGACAATCCGCTCTGTCCGTTTCTCAGCGAGAATGACATCCTGGGTCTCAATCCACCTGACTGGCATGGCGAACTGGTACGCCAGCAGCTCCACCAGCAAGGTGTGGGCGAGCTCTTGCTCGATTTCGGGCCGCATCTTGAAAGCGAACGAAGGGGTATCAATGATTTTTTAGAGAGAAGAGACGATGGGAAGCGTCGGTCGTAGCTCCGAATCGGGGGTAATTGAGCCAAGTGTGAGGAAAGAAGAAGTGAAGAGTCGAACGCAAACGAAGAGAGAAATAAAAAAAAATTACAAGAAAAATCCGAATCCTAAGGAACGAACCGGTCAGCTTTGGAGATTCCAATCGTATCCTTTTCCCTTTCCCCAGTCGAGGAGTATGGAGGGAGTAGAGGTGGTGGTGTGAAGAAAGAAGAGGGACACCGATAGTGACCTAGCTACCTAGGTGTTGAACGGGAGGAGGGCAGAGGAAGACTCACCCCAATTGGTTCCAGGACCGGGGGCAATCGCGACAGCGACAGTATTAATTAGGAGTAAGATGGGGGGGGGGGAGAAGAATAAACAGGACAGTGGTAGAAGGAGAGGCGGCAATGCCCATGTAGCGCCCGTGGGAGAGAGAGGATTTGCAACAACTGGTGGGCAGGATCCAGAAACTTTTTTTTCCATTACCACACGTTTTCTGTTTTCCCGGGCCGTATTTTTACAGGGCTGTCCGGGTGAGCTGTTGGGGTGGCCCAGGAGCTGGTTGACAGGGTGGATCGCCGCTAGATGGGGGAAACCAGCAGTTGAGCTCACTGAGTGAGGTACACTGTATAGTGTACGGAGTACTAGGTACCTACTAGGTACCTAAGTGTACGGAGTACACTGCGATGGATAGTATGTAGTATTCTGGTAATAGTCAAGCACTTATTATTCCCTCCCAATTGACTTGCTATTACATAGATATTATAGACAGATACCTAGGTAGTTTAACCATGGTACTGATCAAGCAATTCACTGACCTATATAGTTAGGTAGGTACTAAGGTAGTACCTGACTGAAAAATACGAAATGATGACTTGGTTGAATATGTCGGTACCCGGTACCTAACTACCTACCTAGTACTAGGTACCTAGTACCTAGTACCTAACCTAAGGTACCTCGTAGGTAGGCGGAGTACATAGTACAGAGTACTCCGTAGTTAGTTAACTACCTACCTAACCTAGTACCTAGGTAAGTACCAGGTACAAAGCAAGGTAAGCTTACTAGTTACCATCTGATTACAGGTACTTCTTGAATACTAACAACTTTACTGGCTTTTGGTTAGGTAATAGCAAACTTATTCATTCACTATGGAGAGCTATTAATATTGATAATAACTACAATAATACCCATACTCCATGTCAATCACCGTTGAAAGTACCTCCAGGTAATGTCTATCAACGTGCCTCAAATACGGCTTTGATCTCCACTGGGTCCAGCCCAACCGTTTGGACCTTTGGGGAGTTTTTCCTGTGCGGCTAAACCCAATCGGGCCGGTCCTCATTCAACCAGCTCTCAAGGATTTCCATTCGGCCCCGAAGTGTGGAAAAAAAAAAACGGGAGAGAGGACAGAGGTAGAGGCAGAGAAGAGGGTGAATTATCGGCCCACCAGTGCGGTTTTCCCTGTTGAATTGTTGCTTAGAAGCTGAGTGCCCGCCTGCAATCCTCTGTCTTCTCGGTCCAACGGCCATTTGCTCAAGATTGCTGCGGGTGTCAAGCTTTATGTGGCCAGCGACTCTCGAGGCCTTTCTTCCATCCAAACTTTTTTTCTAGTGTACAGTTAACCGCCTTCCTTCCCCACCCCTCTCACTCTCTCTTCTTCTTCCCTCCAACACACCACACTCTCCTCCCTGTTAACCTCCTCCCCTTTTCTCTTTTTCACACTTCTGTTTCTTCTTCCGGAAGGGAGTTTTATTTCCATTTAATAGTTTGTCGTTTGAAGAATTGCTGTGTCCATAATCATTGGGTGTGTGTAAACTCCCTGCTCGGCCGCTTCCTCCGATCAACCCCAACACGATATTTATTGCTTTCCACAAGAGTCTTCTTCTGGCAATTGACTTGAGAGATTAGCTTGCCTCTGTATATGTACCTATCTAACAGCTTGGTCATTGATTCTAGGGCACCGTTGAGAGCGCCAGTTCCGTTCCTCTTTTCCATTCTTTACTCGCTGGGGTTAGAAACGATATCACGATAAAAAAAAAAAGAAGATGTACGGGACATCAACCGGCCCTCAGACGGGCATTAATACCCCCCGCTCTTCGCAGTCGCTGCGGCCTTTGATCCTCAATCACGGGTCGCTTGAGTTCTCTTTCCTCGTGCCTACTTCCATTCACTTCCATGCCTCCCAGTTGAAGGACACATTCACAGCCTCTTTACCGGAACCGACCGATGAGCTTGCCCAGGACGACGAGCCCTCTTCGGTAGCGGAGCTGGTGGCCCGCTACATTGGGCATGTGGCTCACGAGGTGGAGGAAGGCGAGGATGATGCACAGGGGACTTACCTCGAGGTTCTGAAGCTCGTACTCAACGAGTTTGAGAGGGCTTTCATGCGCGGCAACGATGTCCATGCCGTCGCGGCCGGCCTCCCCGGCATCTCCGCCAAGAAGATCATGGTCGTCAAGGCCTACTACGCCGGACGGGCCGCCGCAGGACGTCCCACCAAGCCCTACGACTCGGCCCTCTTCCGCGATGCCGCGGACGGCAAGGCCGGCATCTACACGGTCTTCGGAGGCCAGGGCAACATCGAAGAGTACTTTGACGAGCTGAGAGAGGTCTACACAACATATCCTTCATTCGTCGAAGAGCTCATCACTTCCGCTGCCGAGCTGCTGCTCTCGCTCTCCAGAGAGCCCGAGGCAAGCAAGCTCTATCCCAAGGGTTTAGATATCCTCAAGTGGCTCCAAAACCCTGACTCGCAACCGGACACCGACTACCTGGTCTCTGCGCCGGTGAGTCTGCCGTTGATTGGTTTGGTGCAGCTGGCCCACTATGTGGTGACCTGCAAGTCCCTGGGCAAGCAGCCCGGTGATGTTCTCGAAAGATTCAGCGGCACCACCGGCCATTCCCAGGGCGTCGTCACCGCCGCCGCAATCGCCTCGGCCACCACCTGGGAGTCCTTTGCCAAGGCCGCCACGGATGCCCTGACCATGCTCTTCTGGATTGGCCTACGCAGCCAGCAGGCTTATCCTCGCACGTCGATCGCCCCCTCCGTCCTGCAGGACTCGATCGAGAACGGAGAGGGCACCCCGACCCCCATGCTCTCCATCCGTGACCTGCCCAGAGCGGCTGTCCAGGACCATATCGATGCCACCAACCAGCATCTCCCCGAAGACCGCCACATCTCCATCTCCCTTGTCAACAGCGCCCGGAATTTCGTCGTCACCGGTCCCCCCCTGTCTCTCTATGGTCTCAACCTGCGCCTCCGCAAAGTCAAGGCCCCCACAGGGCTCGACCAGAACCGCGTCCCTTACACCCAACGTAAGGTGCGTTTTGTGAATCGGTTCCTGCCGATCACCGCGCCGTTCCACAGCCAGTACCTGACTTCCTCCTACGACCGCATCCTGGAGGATCTGGAGGATGTGCTGATCCCCGGCAAGGCGCTTGGGATCGCCGTCTACGACACCAAGACCGGCGATGACCTTCGCACTCTCGGCGACAAGAACGTCGTCCCTGCCTTGGTCCGTATGATCACCCACGATCCGGTCAACTGGGAGAAGGCCACCATCTTCCCGGGCGCCACGCACATCGTCGACTTTGGCCCTGGTGGCATCTCCGGCCTGGGCGTCTTGACCAACCGCAACAAGGATGGCACCGGTGTTCGTGTCATCCTCGCAGGTGCCATGGACGGGACCAATGCCGAGGTCGGTTACAAGCCCGAGCTCTTCGACCGTGATGAGGCGTCTGTGGAGTACGCTGTCGACTGGGTGAAGGAGCATGGCCCTCGCTTGGTCAAGACCTCCGCTGGTCAGACTTTCGTCGACACTAAGATGAGTCGACTCTTGGGTGTGCCTCCCTTCATGGTTGCCGGTATGACCCCCACCACTGTTCCCTGGGATTTTGTGGCAGCGACCATGAATGCCGGGTACCACATCGAACTTGCTGGTGGCGGTTACTACAATGGCAAGACAATGACCGAGGCCGTCGATAAGATCGAGAAGGCCATCCCCCCCGGCCGGGGAATCACCATCAACCTGATCTACGTGAACCCGCGCGCCATGGCGTGGCAGATTCCTCTGATTGGCAAGTTGAGGGCCGATGGCGTGCCCGTTGAAGGTCTCACCATCGGTGCCGGTGTGCCATCCATTGAGGTTGCCAATGAATACATTGAGACCCTGGGCATCAAGCACATCGCATTCAAGCCCGGCTCGGTTGACGCCATTCAGCAAGTCATCAATATTGCCAAGGCCAACCCCAAGTTCCCCATCATCTGCCAGTGGACCGGTGGCCGTGGTGGTGGCCATCACTCCTTTGAGGATTTCCACCAGCCCATTCTGCAGATGTACAGCCGTATCCGAAAGTGTGACAATATCGTCCTCGTCGCTGGCAGTGGCTTCGGTGGTTCCGAGGATACCTACCCGTATCTCACCGGTGCTTGGTCCTCTCATTTCGGCTACCCGCCGATGCCCTTCGACGGCTGTTTGTTCGGAAGTCGCATGATGATCGCCAAGGAGGCCCACACCTCCAAGAACGCCAAGAAGGCCATTGCCGACGCTCCTGGTCTCGAGGATGGTCAGTGGGAAAATACGTACAAGGGCGCCGCCGGTGGTGTTGTGACGGTCCTCTCGGAGATGGGCGAGCCTATTCACAAGCTTGCCACCCGAGGTGTCCTGTTCTGGCATGAAATGGACCAGAAGATCTTCAAGCTGGATAAGGCCAAGCGCGTCCCAGAGCTGAAGAAGCAACGCAACTACATCATCAAGAAGCTGAACGACGACTTCCACAAGGTTTGGTTCGGCCGCAATGCTGCCGGTGAAACCGTCGATCTCGAGGATATGACCTATGCCGAGGTTGTCCACCGCATGGCGGAGCTCATGTACGTCAAGCACGAGTCCCGATGGATCGATGATTCCCTCAAGCGCCTGACGGGCGACTTCATCCGCCGCGTTGAAGAGCGTTTCACCACTGCGCAGGGTCAGCCCTCCCTCCTCCAGAACTATTCCGAACTGGACACCCCTTACCCTGCCATCGACAACATCCTCGCCGCCTACCCCGAGGCTGCCACCCAACTCATCAATGCTCAGGATGTGCACCACTTCCTCATCCTGTGCCAGCGCCGTGGTCAGAAGCCCGTTCCTTTCGTTCCTTCTTTGGATGAGAACTTTGAATTCTGGTTCAAGAAGGATTCTCTCTGGCAGAGCGAGGACCTGGAGGCCGTTGTTGGCCAAGATGTTGGCAGAACTTGTATCCTGCAGGGCCCCATGGCCGCCAAGTTCTCCACCATCATTGATGAGCCTGTGAAGAGCATCCTGGATGGCATCCATGAGGGCCACATCCAGGGCCTGGTCCAGGATGTTTATGGCGGCGATGAATCCAGGATCCCTGTCATCGAATACTTTGGAGGAAAGCTGGGTGAGTCGGATGACATTGCCGAGATTGATGGCCTGACTATCTCCGAGGATGCAAGCAAGATCACTTACAGATTGTCCTCCTCTCCGACGGCCAACCTCCCTGATCTCGACAGCTGGCTGAGCATCCTCGCCGGGGAATCGTACTCTTGGAGGCATGCTTTCTTCCTCGCCGATGGTTTCGTCCAGGGTCACCGCTTCCAAAAGAACCCCATGAAACGGATTGTCGCCCCGACCGCCGGCATGTACGTGGAGATTGCCAACCCCAACGAACCCTCCAAGACCGTCATCACTGTCCGAGAGCCCTACCAGTCCGGGAAGCTCGTCAAGACAGTGGAGGCCAAGATGAACGAGAAGCTCGAAATCAGCTTGACCCTGTACGAAGGAAGGACCGCCGAAGGCGGTGTTGTGCCCCTGAGCTTCCTCTTCACCTATCACCCTGAAGCAGGTTACGCGCCGATCAGAGAGATCATGAGCAGCCGTAATGACCGGATCAAGGAGTTCTACTACCGTATCTGGTTCGGTGATAAGAACGTTCCCTTTGATACCCCTACCACTGCTACCTTCAATGGTGGACGCGAGACCATCACCTCTCAGGCCGTGGCCGACTTTGTCCACGCAGTTGGCAACACGGGCGAGGCCTTTGTGGAACGCCCTGGAAAGGAGGTCTTTGCTCCTATGGACTTTGCCATCGTCGTTGGCTGGAAGGCCATCACCAAGCCGATCTTCCCTCGTACCATCGACGGTGATCTCCTCAAGCTGGTCCACCTCTCGAACGGCTTCAAGATGGTTCCCGGCGCTCAACCTCTGAAGGTTGGTGATGTCCTTGATACCACCGCCCAGATCAATGCCGTCATCAACCAGGATTCCGGAAAGATGGTTGAGGTCTGTGGTACTATCAAGAGAGACGGCCAGGCCATCATGCATGTCACCAGTCAGTTCCTGTACCGGGGTGCCTACACCGATTTCGAAAACACCTTCCAGCGCAAGGACGAGGTGCCCATGCAGGTCCACCTGGGCTCCAGCAGAGACGTTGCCGTCCTTCGCTCCAAGGAGTGGTTCCGCATGGATGACTCCGATGCCGAGCTTCTGGGACAGACCCTGATTTTCCGTCTGCAGAGTTTGATTCGTTTCAAGAACAAGTCGGTCTTCAGCAGCGTCCAAACCATCGGACAGGTCCTTCTGGAGCTACCTACCAAGGAGATCATTCAGGTTGCCTCTGTTGACTACGAGGCCGGCACTTCTCATGGCAACCCGGTCATTGACTATCTCCAGCGTAACGGCACTTCGATTGAGCAGCCTGTGTATTTCGAGAACCCCATCCCCTTGAGCGGCAAGACTCCTCTTGTCCTGCGTGCCCCGGCCTCCAACGAGACCTATGCGCGTGTCTCTGGAGATTACAACCCTATCCACGTCTCTCGTGTGTTCTCCAGCTACGCCAACCTCCCCGGTACCATCACTCACGGCATGTACACCAGTGCTGCGGTGCGAAGCTTTGTTGAGACATGGGCCGCCGAGAACAACATTGGTCGGGTTCGTGGATTCCACGTCTCGCTTGTCGGCATGGTTCTGCCCAACGATGTGATCACCGTCAAGCTGCAGCATGTCGGTATGATTGCGGGTCGCAAGATCATCAAGGTCGAAGCCATCAACAAGGAGACCGAGGACAAGGTTCTCCTGGGTGAGGCTGAGGTTGAACAGCCGGTCACTTCGTACGTCTTCACTGGCCAAGGCTCCCAGGAGCAAGGTATGGGTATGGAGCTGTACGGAAGCAGCCCGGTCGCGAAGGAGGTCTGGGATCGCGCCGACAGGCACTTCATCGAGAACTATGGTTTCTCCATCGTTGAGATTGTCAAGAATAACCCCAAGGAGCTTACCGTCTACTTCGGTGGTCCTCGGGGCAAGGCCATCCGTCAAAACTACATGTCCATGACTTTCGAAACCGTCAATGCAGACGGTAGCATCAAGTCCGAGAAGATCTTCAAGGAGATCGATGAGACGACCACAAGCTACACCTACCGTTCTCCTACCGGACTGTTGTCTGCCACCCAGTTCACCCAGCCGGCCCTGACCCTGATGGAGAAGGCAAGCTTCGAGGACATGCGCTCCAGGGGTCTCGTCCAGAGAGACAGCAGCTTTGCCGGTCACTCTCTGGGTGAGTACTCTGCGCTTGCTGCTCTGGCTGATGTCATGCCCATTGAGAGCTTGGTCTCCGTGGTGTTTTACCGTGGTTTAACCATGCAGGTGGCTGTCGAGCGTGACGAACAAGGTCGCTCTAACTACTCCATGTGCGCCGTCAACCCGAGCCGCATCTCCAAGACCTTCAATGAGCAGGCTCTGCAGTACGTGGTGGAGGTTATTGCTGAGATGACAGGATGGCTCTTGGAGATTGTCAACTACAACGTTGCTAACATGCAATATGTGGCTGCTGGTGATGTAAGTTTTTTGTTTTTTTTTTTTTTTTTCCCCTCGATTTCTTTTTATCAAATCTTTCTCGCTGACATATTATTTTCCAGCTTCGTGCCCTTGACTGCCTGACAAACCTCCTCAACTACTTGAAGGCCCAGAACATCGATGTGCCTGCTCTCATGCAGAGCATGTCCCTAGAGGATGTCAAGGCGCACCTTGTCAAGATCATCCAAGAATGCGCCAAGCAGACCGAGGCCAAGCCCAAGCCGATCGCCCTGGAACGTGGCTTTGCTACCATCCCGCTGAAGGGTATTGATGTGCCGTTCCACAGCACCTTCCTCCGCTCCGGCGTCAAGCCCTTCCGGTCCTTCTTGCTCAAGAAAATCAACAAGACCACAATCGACCCCAGCAAGCTGGTTGGGAAGTACATCCCCAACGTCACGGCCCGCCCCTTCGAGCTCACCAAGGAGTATTTCGAAGACGTCTACCGGCTCACTAATTCCCCGCGCATCGCCAGCATTCTGGCCAACTGGGAGAAATACGAGGAATGATTCACACCAAAACCATTTGCGTTTGCTTGACTTTTGACCTTATATTCCCTGACAGAGAACTTTGATTTGGGTTCTTCTGCCTTTTAACTTCGCTTTTGGATGATCATGTTGGGTCAGCCTTTTTTTTATTTTCTTTTCTTCTCTCTTTGCTAATCATGTTGCCAAATGTCTGTGCTCTTCATGCTAGACCTTATAGATGTAAATGTTTTCAAATGCTATTTATTCTAATAATACAAGTTTCAAATAAAAAGAATCAAAACAATATTCTAGCTCTATATATAACCTTACACCAGCATTGAGCAATCTTACTTGATCTTAGATGTCTTATTTTAGTCTTTCCATTCACGTAGCTGAATAAGATAGTATCTTGATCTATGTTAGAGCACAGAAAGCAGTGTTTCCAAGGGGAACAAACCCACATCCATCTCATTCTCAATGACCTTCCAATTATCAATTACAAATGAAGTTTAAACTACTATTTATCCTTCAGCACTCCTGGGCGTAAGAGCCTATCTTCCTTGCCGTAAACACCAACGTCCTTGACAATGGTGATAAATCTCCGGTGGTTCTCCTTGGATTCTCCGATGCGAAGACGGAACTTCTTCAGTAGGTCGCTGCTCAGGATTCCAGACGGGGGAATTGCGGCGTGAATCTCGGCAGGAGTAGGGAAGCTCTGTGGGCCAGAAGGAATAGGGGTAGAAACACGGCCTGGAACTGCAGTTTTTATCAAAAGTCAGCAGGGCATCCTTTGAAGATTCTATCGTGTCATCTGCACGATCCGACTTTGACAGTAATTAAAAGCTGGACTTGCCTCTCATACCACCCTCCGGGCTACTAGCACGGCTTCCCGTGTTTCCTCTAACACCAGGGGGTGCCGGGCTATTGGCTCGAGACCCTTGCGGTGTGCCAACCTGAGATGGAAGTGTCGATGTGAGTTTCAACTTCTTCGACTTTCCAGTCTCACTCATCTCGCCTGCCGAGCCAGCGCCTCCGTCGAGATCGCTGGTAGAACCGGCTCCACCACCGGGGCCATTCCGCATCCGCTTCTTGCCGATCTATTAAACAAGTTAGAAAGAAGTCCAATCAACTCACGGCATCCATGCATGGGTTTACATACAGTCGCTTGGTTTGCCGCAGATGGCGACATTGGGCGTGAAGCCACTTGGGGTGCCAGATGCCTGTTCTTAGTCTGTTTCCGTGAAGTGTCTGTGCCGCTTGCGTCGGAAAGACTGGGGGAGCCAACTCGCTTTTTGGCTTTCTTCAAAGGATCCGTGGTTTTCAGCCGACCAGAAGGGGTGGTGCTGCCCTTGGATGCAGTAGCAGCATCCTTTCGGTTCTTCTCCTCTTCAGCTTTCCGTTCCTCTTCCTTGGCTCGCTCCTCTTCGCTGTCTTCGGAGCTCTAAAGATCCAAAATCAGTATATCGGCTATGGAATTTATCGGGACAGGGACTTCTTACCTCTTCATCTGAGTAAGGGTTGAAATCAGAACCACTGCTATAGTCGAAGTTCTTTTCTCTCTTCTGAAGCGCCTTTCTGACTTTCTTTCCCAAGACCCTGCGTGCTTCTTTCTCCCGCTTCTCTCTCAACTCTTCTTCCTCGTATTCCTTTTCTTGCTTCAAGTCAAACACATTCGCCTTCAGTTGGTCTTCTTTGATTCTCTTTTCAGCCGCCTTTGCGTCCTCGTCTTCATGGAACAAGTCGTCGTGTTCTTCGTCATCGGCGAATCGGTCTTCTTCGAAATCCATATCATCTGCCTCCAAACCTTCCCCGCCGCCGGGAGCGCCCTGCTTGCCAGCATAAACCTTACGCTGCCGGGCATATTGTTCCAGCTCCTTCTGTTCGGCCATCTCTTGCTGCTTCTCCATGAACCATCTTGGATCCTTGATCTTCTTAGACATGAACTTCTCCGCCTCTTCAATCGTAAGTGCCTTAAACTGGCTTTTGGCATTAAACTTGTACCATTTCTCGACTGGTATCATCCTCATTTTCCCCGAGCCATCTAGAACAAAGACAGCATGGGTCTCTGACAGCGCAGCTTCGTAGTTTCCGACCCAGATATTCTTGTTATCAAAGTCTTCCAAATGCCAGGGCAGAGCTTCTTCATATTTGATCCGTGCTTTGGCGATTTCTTCTGGTGTCAGGTCTATCTTCGAGACTTGTTGTGTTTTCTGCTTAGCAACGTTTGTCCGCTTTTGCGACGTTCCGACGGAGGGTGCGATCTGGGCAAGATTCTCGGCGCGCTCTTTCTCACGCGCAGCCTTCCTAGCTTCGAGCTCATCGATTTCTGCATCGTCTGTGATCGGATTTCCATCCGAGTTGAACTCCCGATTAGCAGCTTTCCCCGCTTCGTTTTCGCCGTATTTCGTTCTGGGATCGCGACGTTGAAGCCTGACAGGCCTAGTAAACTGGGATTCTTCGCGGGGATCCACGGGCTTTTTCGAAGAAAACCTTGCGATATGAAACTTTAGCCCTTCGCGTAATGCTCGCTTCGTAGTAACCAAAGGGTAGTCCACATAGGTCTCGGAGAGCAAGGGCCCGCTGAATCCATTAAATGCCATGCCATCTTTCGCCGAAGAAATTGGCTTGGCTTTCTCAAGGCGAGATATCGGCAGCGGAGTCGGTGTAAATGGCCGTGTTGGCAGCGGTCTTGCCAGGGATCCATTTCCTGCCGGCGCAGCACCTGGTGGCCTTGTTGCGGGCTTCCGTTTCGGCCGAACAAGCGGATCTGCAGCTCGAGGACGACGGATCTTTGGCGGAGGTGCGCCTGGCTGCGAGCCTGGCGGTCGATTTGTCGTATTACTAGAGAACGGATTCATGCTAGAATAAATGTTCTTGGATGGTGGGAGTCGAAGACGATGAAGGTCGCAGCTAACTAACAAACTGGATGTCATGTCATAACTTAGTCTAGTAAGCGCTGACAAAGTGATGACTAAGCTGGAATGGTTAACTCAACGACCTGCCTAGGTACTGAAGGTAAATTGGTTGTGTACTTGATTAACCATCTGCTTGTTGATCTGTACTATTCTTTAATGATATTATTATATGCTCATACTCTCCTTGTCAGTTGTTGGCTTCTCTATAGCGCCAACCCTCGGCTGCAGATACTGCTTTAATATATATTGGCTTACACAGCTACGATACTGAAGCAATTGTATTACTATTATTCGGAGCTATGACCATGGTTTCTCTTAATTCAAGGAAGATAAGATTGCTTGTGACCATCCTGCATGTAGATATTAAGCATATTTCAATAATAGTATTATTATTACTACCAGGGATTATCAGGTGAATATACAATAAGCCCAGAGAATATCAAACTAAAGGACTATATACTCAAAATACTATTTAGATTTCATCTGGACTTGATGGGCTGATATATAAATAATAGTTTAGTATATAAAGGCTTTATTTAGGTGATCTATTAAATAGTTATAAGTCATAATCTAGTCCTGACTGACATGGCTGTGACGTCCCATATAAATAAATGGCCCCAAGTCACCTATCCTCCCTCTCTTCTTCCCCCCTCCATATGATACACTCTTTATATCTAAAGTAGCATAAACGGCGATCACAGGTGGGCTGTGGCTGACCTGTTATGATAGGGTTAAATAAGACCAAGTAGATTCAAGATCCACTGTTAACCCATTGGATAAGATAAACTATAGTTTAATAGTAATAACCCTATATAATTATAGGGTAGGTATTTAAACATCAGACAATTCTCCAGTCTCTATTATATTATTATCATCACTATATAGACTATATAAAGATAAATATCAAAAGAATCAATGTTTCTCTTTCTATCAGGGCGCAATTTCTTTTCAGGCAGTGAATATATCAAGCTAGTCTCAACATTTCCACCAACCACCTAGGTATTCATAATACTCTCACTTTGGCCCCAAGGTATGATTGGGACATATCCTGCCACCTACCTGATCTAATGAAGAGTGTAGATGCCCTTGGACTCCTATTTGACTGCTGCTAGGGTCTGGTCTAAGAAGTGACTTCTAGGTTTGTTTCACTGTTGTGTGATCGTTTAATCTTTCTCTAATTATTTCTAACCCCCTCACCTTTCCTCTCTTATTATCATTCTTTTACTATTACTTAGTTATAACAACCCCCCTCTTCTGTTTATGTTTGCAGCTTGTCTCTGGCAATTCACATCCCCTCTCTCTTCATGATTCTAGCCATAGAACAAACCAATACTTTCTGAAACATCAGGCATTCTTCTCCAGGTTCCTACGCCTTTACCCTCTATCATGGTCATTCTCTCGGCTGAGCAACATGCAATCTTGGCGAAGGCAACCGAGCAGCTGATGGCTCGGCACCACATGACCATTGAAGATCATGGCCCTCCTGAAGATTATGACCCAAACGACGCTGTTGATCCAAGGGTTTCCTCCGCTAGAACCAAAAGAAATCGCCAGAAGCATACTTCTCAAGGCATCAATTCCGCTCAACCTGAACAGGAAGCCCATGGTATTGCTCGGGGATATCATCGAAGAGGTTCCAAGTATCAAAACTCCCGAGATTATAACGATGAAAAGTGGTACTATGAGCCACATGCACCAGCTGGACCTGGATATTCATATACAAATGCACCAAGGACACGCAATGGGGACCAGCAATCAGATCCACTTCGAAGCAGGCAAATTCAGATCAACTATCTGGATACATTGGCACTTCGAATTCCTGATTGCAAATCAATCAGAGAAGATGGTGAATCTAAAGAAACCCTCCGTCTTGCGCTTCTGAAAATTGCTCTCAAAGCCCTTCAGTCCTATGGCGAGTCTCACGGTTTCGACATGGATTCCACCACCATTGACTTTAAATGCATTGGAGGATCGAGAAATGGACTCGCTTTGCCTGGTGGAGATCTCGACTTGACTTTGACCATTCATGGCTCTGACTGCCCATCTGTATTGGGACCGTTGTGTCCTCTCATATTGGAGAGTGCCTTCCTCGAGGCTGGATTTGGAGCTCGCTTGCTATCACACACTAAAGCCCCCATTCTAAAAGTGTGTCAGAAGCCATCGCCACAGTTATTGAACGAGCTTAAGAAGGAACGGGAAAATCGGGATAGACCACTCCAACAAGCTAGTTCAATGCCAGAGTCAGCGGCGCTGGGTAGGAAACCAGCAACCCAGTCATTTGGCCCTCATCGCCCAGCAAAACCCATTACCCAAATTGAATTTCCCGAGGCGGGAGCCGGTATCATATGTAACATCAGTTTCACGGGGCACCTCGCTATTTGCAACACGGAGCTTCTACGTTGTTATGCGCTTTATGATGGTAGAGTACGAGAGCTAGGTATGTTTGTGAAGATGTGGGCCAAGGCACGAAACATCAACAGCCCGTATCATGGAACTCTCTCTTCTTACGGATACATTCTCATGATGATCCACTATCTTTCAAATGTTGCTCGCCCACCCGTTGTGCCGAATCTTCAAGCACCTGATCCGCCTTTTCAACTCCCTCGCCCGAGGGATGTTGATGGATACAATGTCCAGTTTATCAGTACTGAGAAGGCGATTGCCAATTATGCGAGACATAGCACCCGAAAGGTTAATCACCAGTCTGTCGGTGAGCTTCTCCGTGGGTTTTTTGCCTACTATGCCGGCCAGGGTCGAGGTGGACCATTAGGAGGGTTCAATTGGATACATCAGACCATCTCTATCCGGACTCGTGGTGGAATATTGGAAAAATCTGCGAAAGGATGGACAACAGTGAAGTCTGATGCGGACGGCAATCGTCACCATCATCTGCTGGCCATTGAAGACCCATTCGAGCTCGAGCACAATGTTGCCCGAACCGTTACGCTCGCCGGTGTGAATGCCATCAAAGCTGAATTTCGAAGGACCCAGACTATCATCGAACGGGTTCAGGAGATTCCTGGAATTGGTTGGGAATGGCGAAAGAACGACGGTGAGGTAGGCGAGGATTTCCTCGCTGCCGTTAGGAACCAGCGCCCTCGATGCAATCCGGGCCAGTATTCGGCAAATCAAGCTGATATCAATACCTCTAACCCCCAGAATGATGACAAACCCCCAAGAACAGAAATTATCCCTACAGAGCTGATCAACCACGAGGAGATTGGTGCCAATAAAGCACGTGAAAGTCCCACAACTCTCTCAGCGAACACAATCTCCTGGAACCCGTTGATCAAATCATTGCCCTCTGCAAAGACCGAAAGGGACGAAAGGACACAAGTAAACCGGGAGGTTTTCAAGAAGCAGGTCGAAATAGCGGCAGAAAAGATGCGACGTTTACTCCAAGTCCCGAAACCTGAAGCTACAGCAACTGAGGACACTGTCTCCCTACCAAAGCCTCTGAACCATGATTCAAGACAATTCCATGGCCCAGATTCTATTAGCGATCGAGAAGCTGCATGTTTGGATCGAGAGAGTCTTAGAGATCACGATTCTGACCTGGACAATATCAGCGATGTTGTCTGCTGCGGAGACCTTCCAAAGTGCAGCGACTTGGATTGAGCTATTTTGACTCGGTACTCGCTGATTACTTGAAGATTTTCCGCCTTTTGGCGTAGAGCCGTGAAGGTTGAAATGGATATCGGAAGCCAAATAGAGAGTAGAAAGATGAATACAGGGTGGAGGTTACTTCGAAATTCCAGGCTATTTATGGGGAACACGGTTCACTTGATGTTTTGCTCAATTTATTCAGTTAGCCAATTAAGAAAAAGGAATTTTAAATATTTTCCCTGCCAGTGATTATCAGAGTGTTTTTTTTCGGCATATCAAATAGGTCTAATGATTGAGAAAGGAATCTGACAATTAGATCTATGTGTCTACCCATGATTATGCTGCCATGTAACTATTCGACAATATGAGAGATCAGTAATCGAGCCGACCTTGTATACAGCTCCAAAACTCTTCAACAATCTCCTTCTGGCCAACGCCACCTGGGGAAGCTCTAACAGCAAGGTATTTCCGACCATCTATACTCGGCTCCCAGTTTCCAGGGTTTCCATCAGCGATAATGCCACCCGCTTCTTTCAAGATCACCCAGCCAGCACAAACATCCCACTCCCAGCAACCCCCCTCCCAGTAGAGATCTAGAGTTCCGGCCGCAACAGCACACAGGTTGAGTGCAGCTGATCCCATGCTTCGCATAGAATGAACCATCGCTCCGCCTTCCTCCTTTGCTCGGCCAAGTTTCTCAAATGTGCGGACTTTGGTCTCAAAGTTTGGACCACTGCGGTCCGAACCCCATTCAACGCCTATCAGAGCGTTGTCAAGGCCGTGCAGTGGCTCCAGGTTTTCGGCCTTGAGGGGGAGCTTGGTCTCCTGGTTCAGATATGCACCCTGGCCAAGAATTCCGGAGTATAGTGTTTTGGTGAATGGATTGAACACTACTCCGACAACAGGCTTGCGATCAATAGCAAAACCAAGAGATATGCAGGCACAGGGAAAACCATGTACAAAATTTGTGGTTCCGTCAATTGGATCGACGATGAAGGTTGGCTCATCTGTCAATGGCTGTGCTGGATCATAGGTCTCCTCTCCATGGAATCTATATTACAATCAACTGTCAGTCAAGGAGTAGGTATGGATAAGAACCATGGCGGGCCGTACTTGTATTGCGGATATTTGGTCTTGAGTGTAGTTGAGATCATGTTTTCCACGGCACGGTCATATTCTGTGACAAGGTCCGCACCTAAAGCCACAGTGAATAAACATATCATCTAGTCTATTTTGAAAGACCTCCACTAACTGTTCTTTTTCGACCCGGTACTGCTTACTGCTGGAAGAGCAGTCGTGATAATTTCGCCCGCCTTGTGGGCTATCTCAATCAAGGAATCATGGATTTCTCGCAGATTAAGTAGGGTTTTGGCCTCCATGATTTTGTGATAATACTAGTAATTGAAGTTAAGTCTCTCTCTGGGCAGTGCTGTATCGAGCACTAAATATGGCTAAAACTCCAGGGAAAAACAAGCCAAAGGTTCAATAATCACCTTGAAGATTGGATGGTCTTTGTAGGAGAGCAAAACTTGGAGTCAATCCCCCTAAACGTACCTGGCATCTTCAAGTGGGGTGAGGAAGGCATCCAGATGTGTTTCCTCGGACCAACCCCGCTTACGCAATGATGCTTGGCTCTCGGTTTAGAATGCATTTGAGAACAGGGTTACTCATTGATTGAATCTGTCTGGTTTGGATAAGAGATTGAAGTATCTAAATCACCTGTTAAATAAGAATTACAATGCATATAATAGCATTGCCTTGTTTTGGACTATTCTATGACTGTCAAGGGCCTGTCCCACCAAGAATGAGGGGAAATAATCTAATCGATAAGAATTTTCATATCTGCAGGACAAAAAGTTCGCCGCGCGCTCTTGTACCTGATCTTAACGTTGACAACGTTGAATGATTCGGATTACTTGTTCACTCGCCGTACCAAGATGCCTACAGAATTAGAGGAGGTAAGTTCTATTTCTGCAAACATCCCCCCACCTACATCAGTGATGATATAGTTTGAAGCTAAGTGCAGGATAGCTTGTAGAATTCCTCCATCATGGGAACACACAGATCAGGCAAATAGGTATTATTTGCGCCTGGTTTGGTATGTGTCTTTTGAACTATATCACTGACATCTCTCATAGCCTGCGAGAATTTGGTGGGCTACTCGGCTGCTCAGCCCAAGCTTTTCAAGAGCAACCAACTCTTGCCTGTGAAGGACCTGAAGCTGTTAATCTGGGATTATACGGTTCGTCCGATGCCTCAATATGAGCCCCCATGACAGCATTCTATAGCTGACCATTTCCCTTGCTTCTGAATCAGCCTATCGCTAAAAATGCATTAACAATGCTCATCAACTTAACATCAGATGAAGAAGTTTTGACCAATCTTGTTGAAGATGATAAATTCATTGAATGTCTACTCATAAAGTTGACAGTATGTATATTGACCACTCTTTCTTCCCTTGTCTCCTGTGATCAGTTTCCGTATCTGACGTTCAATTCGACTATAGAACCCCAAAGAACCGAACGCGGATGATATGGCGATGCTGATGGCCAACCTCGCTAAACATGACAAGTTTCAAAAAATCCTCACGCTCAAGCGCAAAGTCCCAGACCCCGTATCTAAGTCCCCCAACGCCCTGGACCAGTTGATGGATTGCTTCGTTAAGGGCGCCGACGGAACACTCAACAAGAATGCCAATTTCGATTACCTGTCTTATGTCTTTGCGGACCTTTCGAGATCCGAAGAAGGACGCCGCTACTTCCTCTCGAAGCAGGAATATGATTCGGTCATCCCAATCACAAAACTGATTGTCTTCACGGAGCATCAGAGCGATATTCGGAGGAAGGGCGTTGCTTCGACAATCAAAAACGTGACTTTTGATGTTCCTTCTCACCCCATGCTTATCTCGGAGGACGAAACAAACCTGCTCCCGTACATATTACTGCCAGTCACTGGACCGGAAGAATTTTCTATAGAAGATTCAGCAGACATGCTAGCAGATCTTCAATTCCTTGGACCGGACAAGAAGAGAGACAGCGACAACACGATCATAGTCACTCATCTGGAAACACTGTTACTGCTCACAAGTACTCGAGAAGGCCGAGATAAGATGAGGGAGATCAGCGTGTACCCAATCATCCGAGAATGCCATCTCAATGTAGACGATGAAGAGGTGAAGGAGGCCTGTGACAGACTGGTCCAGGTCATCATGCGTGACGAAGAAGGCGAGGAGTCGGAGGCGGCCAAGGAGCTAGACACCCAGGCCAACTTGATGCAGAACCAGGACGATGATCATAAAGTGGAAGAGCTCTTTTAAACCATCTTGATGGCATAAAAAATATAGAATTATTTTGCATACTATTAGGTCTAACGAGAATTGGCCCTACTATCAGTCCTTATGTTTGCATAACAACCAACCTATTACGTATTTGATAATCTGAATCACCGGGAAAATGAGACATCTGGCGCCCATACTACATAAATCACAGACTGGGGAAAAGACTAAAAAAGCAGCGTGTTACAGTAAGTAGAGAGATAATATCAATGAACTTGATTCTATTATCTAAAAATGTCGTTATCTTAGAATACAACTATCCACATCATCAATTAAAAATATTTCGATACAGCGTGACACTGAAATAAAACCAATCAGGTCGCTGATGGTATGACTTGTATATCGTTTTGGGGAAGCCAAGTAAACCATGGGCTGGATATAAGAATACCTTCTTGGCCATGCAAGAAGACAAAAGAAAGAAACCCCAAATGGCCGAGTTACTGGGCCTTGGCGGACTTGGCCGCCTTGTTCTCCCGCCTGCGCTTGAGAGCCTCCGGGGTGTACTCAGTATCAAGCAAGTAGTCCCACCATCTGAAGCTGCTCGAGTAGTTGCCGACAAATTTCTCGTGGTGAAGGTCGTGGTGATCAGCTCCAGCCCAGAAAGGCAAGAAATGGTGCAGACTCCAAGGAAATTCATAGCCGCTATGGGCATCGATGGCCTGGAACAAACGCAACACGATCCAGATGTACATTGTCAGGATATGCAGATCTCCGGTCATAGCACACCAAAGGATAGGGCAGCCGACAGTTCCAAAGCCCAGAATCATAACCTCAATCGGAGATGCGTACTCCGCGGCCAGTCCGAAAGGAGCAGAATATTGATGGTGAATCTTGTGGATACCCTTATAGAGTGGACCCCAATGAAGGGCGCGATGAGAAAAATAGTGCCAGGTATCTTCCAAAACGAAGAAGATGGCAATCTGATATGCCATAGTCCAGATTGTAGGGAAAGGCACCGTGGTTGAGAGACCGCAGTACTGTGCCATAGGGTGGAATAGCCTACCAGAGAAAAGTGATGAGTAACGATGGACTAATAGCATAGCCACAGGAATGCTTACCAGATCTGAGGGAGCTCAACAGTAAAGTGACTTAATAACACGAACTTCGCACAGTCCCACTGTTCCTTCAAAGAGGGAATCTTGTTCTTCTTGATGTCAAAAACTTGATGTTACTGGGTAATAAGTAGCCATTTGCTTACCCCTTGGATTTTGTAGTTTTTGAACAGCCCTAGGGTGTCAATGAAAATCCATGGCAATGCCCGGCCGAAGTAAACAAGCTCATGCATCATGAAAGACATGATTCCGGTCGCCAGAACATCGTTCTGCATCCAGGCGTACCATGCCACCCATAAGCGTTCTACCACATTCAGATGTACATTGTATTTGGAGATTTCTTGAAATTGACCCCAATATGTCTCTGCAACAGTCGGCAGAAGTGTCGTTGAATTCCTTGTGATTCGTTAATCGCATTGCTTTGTTTAAAAACCAGTGAATAGAAGAAAACATACATGGCTTTAATTTGCCAAGCGTCTGCTTGGGGATTAAGAAAGGTACTAGACCAGTCCTGCAAATAGGATACCCAAAGTAAGGATACCTGAGGATAACACTGAGTTCTAGGTAGAAACCGACACAAATTGAGGTGGTGTGGTGCGAAGTGGTGTGGTGTGGTGTAGGAGACGTAAAAGAGAGGGTGAAGTATTTCAGGGACATGCTCCTGGATTGTCTTCCCGAAGTGGCGAGACTTTTTCCTGGAGCCAGGGGTACGCCTCGTACCACCGACTAGCCGATTGCTACCGACGATAAGAGCTAGTACTGAATTGGCTGGCTACCAGGCACGTGCTCCACATTCATATTATTAATATTATAATCTACAGAATAGTTGGCTAAATAACACTACCTAGGTACCTAAGTTAACTAATTAATCTGTAGTTAGTTGATCAGGCGGTAGTTACCTAGGTAATTACTCTGTAGTTAGTTAGTTACCAACTAACTAGTTATAGTACCTAGTAAATACAATATAACTAACTATGTAACTAGTAGTTAACTATTTGTATATAACTACTAGTTATGTAGTACATAAGTACCTTACTATAGTACTGTAGGTAATCCAGTAATCCAGTATCTACTATAAGTGCAGCTGGCTAATCAGTTTCTATAACTACCTAAGTCTATACTTATAACTAGTTGGTTACAGAGAAGGTGATGAATATGAAGAAATAATTTGCTCATGATTTAATGCGGAAATCATGCTCGTTAGTCAGCAATGATAGATTAGTTATCACTATTAACTACAGAGTATATATGGTTAATTTTGACAACCACACGCAAACCTGATAAAGGTGAAAGTTGCCCTCATAGGGCAAAATTCTCCCTAATAACGCCTGAATAATGGGCATACCGCACCTGACACGTCACCTCCTTCCATTCTCCGAGACCGTCACTTTAGGGCAGAATGAGAATGGACCACAAGCAGGTGAAGGCAAAAATGTCGGTTCTGTGGTGATTGACGGCCCAGGACTGGTGTACCATGTATATTATCGTTTATTGTCATGGAAGAAGAATACTTGGCGTTCGTTAGATATTCAGCCGACATGCGACGAGGTGAGCGTTGGTGTTATGCTGTATCTGCTCCAACTTACAAACCTGGGTGTAAAAATGTAAGTTGAGATTATATACTTACTCGGGCAAATATAGTATTGATCGGTGGAAGAAATAAGATATATTTTGACGGGGCTTTGCCTATTCAGAAACACGAGACGCGTCTTAGCCGGATGGAAAAGTCGAGGTATAAGCTCGAGATTTACTATGCTGGAACTAAAGACAGCCTAGAAAAGATAGACGACTCGAACAATGTCCTGATGAACGATCCTCTACGGGTGTTAAAGATTCGAAATTTACCCACTCCTTTCAAAGCCTTACCCGAGAATTCGTTTATGGTAGCATCGGTTTTTGAAGATCTGAAAGGTCGATGGAACAAAGAAGCTATCGCACAGCTAGTCCATCATGAACTTGGTCCTTTGTGTGATGGAATTGAGGGACCCATATGGTCCGATATCACGGTTATGGTTGCTGGAGAGGCGGACGGTGGTTGTGCTGCTGCTTCCCATCTTTTGGATTGTGCAGTGCTAACAAATGATTCGGATCTTTTGCTGTACGATCTTGGAAGACACGGCTCCGTGATATTTTTGGATTCTGTAGAGATGAAGAAGCAGAATACCCAGGTTCCAACAGCGGCAGAAATTAGGGCCATGAGTCTATGTCCTAGTCTTCTGTCAAGTCGACTAGGAATCTCGGACATCAAGCGGTTTGCTTACGAATTGAAAAAGAACCCCCGAGAAAGCCTAGCAGTTTTGCTGCAGAGGTCAAAACACCCAGCTTCTATAGTCAATGCGAACCCCGCCTACCGCCATTTTCTAAAGGAGTATCAACTTGACGCAGAGAAGCAGGACATAATGCTTCTAGAGCAAGAGCAGCCGCAGACGCTTGACAACAGAGTATCCGAGATTTTCTGGCAATTCAAAGCCTTTGATGGATCATCCGAGCATATGCCACGCATGTATCTTCCAATCATCAATGAAGACCCTTCTCGAAAATGTGCATGGGAAGATGGTCGATCATATAGGACCATCGGATATTCTCTGCTGAATGCATCTCGCCAAGCCAATGCAAGGTTCAGCTCAGTCGACGAATACACACGAAAAGGCGCGAGAATTGTGCCAAGCAGGATCGCCTTGCTTGACGAGCATCAAGTTGAACTTGAGCTGATAGCTTTCTCAATGCGCGTGGACACGATCAAAAGGGTACACCTTGGTAATACAACCTCTGTACAGTTCTGGAGAAGTTTTGCGCTTGCGGAAATATACGGGCAGGCAATTAACAAAGCCAAAAACCCTCGCCCTGCACAGCTGAAGCAATTTATCCGTGAAGGCTACCTGGAAGAAGAGTTGGACTGGCCAAGCGTTCATTTATCAGCACGCGTACAGGCCATTTTTTATTCTCTAAGAATTCTCAAGCAGCTCCTCGGTGTCATAAAGATAGACCAAACGGTTATGAATGTGGCAGCGTCCACACTTGCAGGCCTTCCGCCACTACATCTCTTGATGATGTCGAGGCGCGAGATGGCCCAAAGATATACAAGCTGCTCAACGGATTACGAAGATTTCTTCCATCAAATTCTCGATTCGAGCTCAGAATCCGAAGACCCGCAGCAAACCCAAATATTCAATCAGCTTCAAGGGAATGCTGAGAAGGCTATTGAGCATCGTCTCGGGGACGGTACTGGTTCGAGATCCAGTAACATATATGACATCCTGATGGAGTATTGAGATATCATTCGAGAGCAGTCAAAGCAATGAATAAGACCTAATAAAATAAATGGCGAAGACATGATTTCATAATTTCAATGACTATGATTAAATAAACTAGGGGCAGATTCAACTTCTTGTATTCTATATCTTAGATGGTGATGGTACGTATTCAGAAAGATATGAACGAAAAAATAATGATATATACATTCAAATCATTCATCTATACATTGGTGAGAGACCTCGTTTGCGTTAACGCGCAGACCGCAGAAATCCAACAACACCACGGCAGTATCCCATCAGCTGCGCTAAGCGTTTGGCTTCCTGTTGTTGCTCATTACTCCAATCAGCAAGGGCATCAGCGATGGCCCTGGAGTGCAATCCTTTCTCTATAGAACACTTCCTGATAATGTCCGCATGCACTCTGAGAAAAACCGACATCCAGGCATTGACAAGCTCGAAATCTTTCCTCAGCTTGAGATGCCCTGTCAGGGCGACAACAAAATCCAACAGTTCATTGGATTCCGCCCCTATTTGTGGATCGAGTGACCGTATTTCCACATCAGCTTTAGCCGGAGGCAAGGATTTCAAGTGCTCAACAAATGGTTCATAATTCCCAGATGAATGGCCAGCATGAAGAAGAATAGTGAAACGCGATGTGTGCGCGTTTTGACCTTTGCCATTCTGCAATCGTTGCACTTGCGAGCGTTCGGCTCCGGTAGTCTGGACCGAATGTGCAGGATCAGCATCTAATTTCAGGGCCTGGTTGTCCGATCCTGAAACAGGAGTATTCGAGGTAATGAGCGACGGGAGAAAGAAAGGCGCCTTTTCCGGTGCCTTCGGGGCCTCTTTGGGCTTATTACGTTCCTGATAGACCGTCAATAATGGTAGAGACAGGGAAGACATGCCTAGGAGAAACACACCTTGATAACGTCCAAATTTAGAAGAGTCTGCCACCTGCTTCTAGGAACAACACTCAATGTAACGAGGTCGCGAGCCAGCTGTTCCGGAGAGAGCACTGGTCCATCTTTGTCATCCTCATTTTGTTCCTCCCCGAATGCAGCTTCTATTATCCCCGTGCCGATCTCGCCAGAAACTGTAGGGGCCTCAATCTCCGATAAATCTTCATTCTCCACACTCCTGGTTGAAACAGGCATAAACAAGCTCCTGTTGTTCCAAATATTGACACCAATACTATCTGCGTGAGCGGTTGCTAGGAACTCCCCTGTTGCCGACATTGCGAGTGCGGTGCAGGTGCTGGATACTCGGAAAGCATCAACAAGATGCCCGGTCGGTAAATCCCATACTCGGATTATGGAGTCCATTGACGCAGCAATGATCCATCGCCCGTCGTTGGAAAAGGTAAAGTCGTTAACTTGACCGACACAGCCCCAAAGCTCGCGTACAAGTTTTCTTGTCTCAATGTCGACCACACGGATAGATAGATCATCACAGCTGAAAGCTACCAGTTCACTTGTAGAACTGAACCGAAGCCCAGTGATTGCAGTTGTTGAACTCCAGTCTAATTCATCCAGAAGGTTTCCAGACAAAAAGTCCCAGAACTAGATCGAGAGAAAATCAGATTCAAACGTAGAGCTTATAGAGTTGAAACCCTTACCTTGACTTTCCCATCAAGTCCACAACTAATAACAGTACGATTCAGTCCATCAATCATGAGGCCAGTCACCGCTTTAGTATGTCTTGCTTTACCCAATTTGAGTGAGTCTGCACGGAGTTTATCAGTAGTTGGGATCCTGCTTCCTGACGGCGAACGAGGTGGAAATTGCCGTCGGTGCGCGCCTGATTGTAGATTGAACATATCAACATAACCCCCAGCAGATCCGATAACCGCAAATGTTCCACAAGGAGAAATTGCCACACTCTATAAAGCTGATAAGTAGATGCCATAGCTGTACTCAAAATGTTTACTTACTTTGACCTCTGTACTATCGCCTGTTTCAAATACCCAGCGACCTGCTTTCTTTTTGCCCCAAAACCAAGTCCGAGCGTACTTGTCTCCCCGATGGCTGGTGATGACACTTTCCCAGCCAGTCGTTGTGGATGCATCTGTGTTGGTCAATTTTGAATTCGACCAGATCGGGCCTGTCGTTGTCACAGCCATTCCACCATCACGATTAAGAGAACAAGCAATGCACGTGACTTCCGATACATTCTTGCTTTCCAATCGAGTGGTTGCTGAAGGATCTGACTTCTTGGCTTTATGTTCAATTTGACCTTGGGATAATTCGGCATTTTGGCTATCCTTTCGGAGACTGAATCCCCAAAGACTGCAGTCTTTACTTGCACTCAAGAGCCATTTTCCTCCAAATTCAGAACCTTCTGAAGGGGCAGAGGGGAAAGTGATGGCCGTGACCAAAGCGGAATGGCCCCTCCTAGCGTGAAGGGGTTTGGGAATCGGCGAGAATAAAGTCTCATCAAAGATCCAAGTTCGAAGTGAATTATCGATTCCCGACGATACGAGAATAGGTTGCCCATCGAGAAATTCAATATTGTTGATAATAGAACCAGACTGACCACCAGAAACTAAATGAGCGCCACGGAGGACACCAGTGACCCGGCCGCCACGATTAAGGTCCCACAATGTAATGTCACCACTGTCGAGAGAAGTTGTAGCCATAACACCAGCTTCTTTTCCATCATGGCCAGCTCCTCGATCATCGCCTCGGAAAGCGATTGAAGTAATGGGTGAGTTGCCAGAGGGTGCCCCACGCAAGGAGAGTATGGGTTGATCGACCTCGACATTGTAGATCGATAGTGCACCACTTTTATGGGCGATGGCAAGAAACGATAGGACAGGAGCAGGCTCGAGGGCAGTAACAGCACCAGCATCGGGCGGTGGGAGGATAGAGTGCAGTAACTTGCCAGTTCTGACATTCCAAATGTCGACGCCTCCATCAGATCTCCCAATAAAAATTTTGTTTAGATAGGTTGGCATATTGCACATTTTGCCAGTGTAGTGGTAATCATCGGCGAACTCTCCAGCTTGTACAGGTCTAAGTGTAGTGTAATGTTCGTAGGAGTCAGACTTCCAGACTTCAATCCGACTCTTAGTACATCCAACCACCCATGAACCGAAAACAAGCAACTGGTCAATCGGCTCGTTCAGCTCCAGGGAAGCAGCAAGAGCTGCTACTTTCTTCCCTCTTTTGAATACCCATACTCCACCTGGAGCATCTCCTCGTTGAGATCCCCAAGCCGCGAAAACTTTGTCTTGCCAGGCGAAAGTGGCAGTTATAACATCAGGAGTCTGAGGGCGACTCAGAAACACCAAATGAAGGCCACGACGAACGTCATATGTCTGCAAAACTCGCCCTACCGACGTCGTGAGTTGAAAGGTGGACTTTCCCAGACGAGTTGAAGTAAATGGAACAGCTGTGGAAGACACTAGGCCCAATGTCTAGAGGGGCATATCAGCCTGAAGTGCTTGAGTAATATAATTAATTGTTCGGACAAAGGCTGACCCTGAAAGGAGAGAATATTTTTGAGCCAGGAAGACGGGAACTCTGTGAAGCTTCATCCTCTGTTCTTTTCTGCCGTTTCGCAAGAGGTTGACCTAGATCCTCACTAGTAAGAGCAGGCATCTTGTCAAGTTTGCTGCACAATAGAGGTGATGATGTTCAGATCCTAGTAGTGTGATGGTGAGTGATCTATTCAAGAAAAATAGATAGAAGATGGGGGCTACTAACTTAGAAATATAACAATACCCTATTAATAGTATTTAGATACCTTTAATAGCAGAGTTATTAGAATAAAACAAATGACATATCTGATTGGTATGCTCTTGATCTTCAACACCCTAGGCAAATTTTTGAAGCTGTAATAAAAAAAAAAGTCCAAAATTATTGTCGGCAGAAAACGCGGGTTACTGTTTATTACACTACCGCCTGAAGAAAGAGTACCAAAATCAAAGTGCGATCTTTACACCCCTAGCTTCATCTAGAAGGCGGTATAGAATAGCTAGTACCTCTCCATTATTCTTATAAACCAGTTGTCTGGAGGGAAAGTACCGAAGCCGACACTGTCTGTAGTTGGTTTCAAAGTATGCCCGATGTGATTCTTTAGTAGATATCTTAAGAGCTGAAAGAAAAGTGCCAATGCCCATCAACGACCCTTTTATTGAAATTATCTAGCAATAAATGCATTTCCTCGTACTTCCTTCTTTTATGTCCAGGTAAATAACTAGTTAATTAGCTCCCAGGTACCTTATAAGTAAAAATGGAAATCTGGTGGGAAATATCAAGATTAAGTTCCCATTATTGAACTGTCTAGTAACTAATCCATAGTAGTAAGTTAACTAGGTAAGTAGTACCTAGGTATCAGGGCTGACTACCTACTAGGTACTACCTACTACCTAGGTAGATAGTTAACTACCACCTAGTTAACTACTAAGTTAACTACCTAGTTAGTACCTAGGTAGTTGATTGGTTAGTCAGTCAGTTACTACCTAGGTACCTTAGGTAGGTAGGTGTAGGTACCTAAGACTACTCTTCCTACTTAACTGACTCATAGTATCAATTATCTGTCTATCTTTATAAATTGAATCTTTTATTGAAAATAAGATATAATGTACTGAGCTAGTTTGTTTTCCCTTATTAAATTCCAGTATTATTGAAGGCCCCGTTTTACCTGGGTGTGAGTAATTGACAGCTTTCGTTGTGGCTTCTCAAGATAACGGATTGAGGTGGCAATGACAAAATGTGGATCAAACCTTCCTGCACAGTCGGTTCTTTTTAAGTATTTCTTGCAGGAAGCAAATGATGATATACCCAGATCATAATTAAATACCACCCGCTTAGCCTCAAGTATTGCATTGATAATAGATCAACGAGATTCTTACACAGCAAGCCTACAATACTACTATGATCATTGAACTATGTGAGTTATCCTCTGAAAACTAGAACACTAGTTCTAAGCTCATAATCTAGTTTTTGCCAGACTCTGCCTGTTCCCCTAAAGATTAAACAAGCAACTTGGTTAAAGACCCAAAATGAATAGAGACCGGATTGCTCCCAATGACCTGGGGCAGACGGCTGCAATGTTAGATCATAATGGTCAAGCTGCTCCAAAACCGAGAACCGAATCTTCAACTCAGCCAGATGAATCTGGAGATAGCCCTTCGCCGAGCGTTTCCACGACATCAGTGGGCAATTCATATCAACCATCTCCCAGTTCTATTGCTAGGGTGAATACTACTCTTAGTCCTGATAGGGATCTGAATCGCCTCTCTTTCTCATCTATCTATTCCCTTGGACCTCCTATTGCAACGCATCATGGCAACAACGGCGGCGGCTCGCCTGGCGATGTCAGCTCTCAAAAAGGCCTTTCAGAATACAATACAAAAAATTCTACTTCGGCTTATAGCCTCATTGATAGCGAAGCGAATGCCTCTCCTAATTCTGTCTCGGAGTCTACTAGCGGCGCTCCGCCGGGAAATGGACTACTCGCGAATTTGAGCCAGAATCATCCTGTTCGGTATGAGCCAATACTAGACACCCGTAGCACAGGACGTGCTTCTCAGTCCGTGCATTCTTCTGGAAGGATTACAAGGAGACTAAGCGGAAGCACAGCTGCTAGCTCAATTAGCGAATTGGAGCCTTCGGCATCAATATCAGGAAAGATTGGTGTATGTGCTTTGGATGTGAAAGCTCGCAGCAAACCAAGCCAAAACATTCTGACCCGCCTTCAATCAAAAGGCGATTTCGAAGTAATCGTATTTGGTGACAAGGTCATTCTTGATGAGGCTGTTGAAAATTGGCCTGTCTGTGACTTTCTTATCGCCTTCTTCTCTGATGGGTTTCCCTTGGACAAAGCGATTGCATACATGAAATTAAGAAAGCCCTTTTGCGTCAATGACTTGCCAATGCAGAAGGTCTTATGGGATCGACGGCTTTGTCTAAAAATCCTTGACCATATGGGCGTTCCAACACCAAAAAGACTTGAAGTCAATCGTGACGGCGGGCCGACATTGGAATCCCCTGAGCTTGCTCAACATGTATATCGTCTGACTGGGGTCAAACTCGACGGTCCTGATGATGGAACAGGAGGCGGTGCACCAAAATCTGGAACTGTCACCTTGTCAGAGGATGGAGAGGCTCTGCTCGTCGATGGAAAGGTCTTCAAAAAGCCGTTTGTTGAGAAACCTGTGAACGGCGAGGACCACAATATCCATATTTATTTCCCGAACGACAATCAGTATGGGGGTGGCGGCAGAAGGCTCTTTCGGAAAGTTGGCAATAAAAGCTCTGAATATGATCCTGAGCTTGTGGTTCCTCGTTCTGTGACAGAACCGGGCACCAGCTATCTCTATGAGCAATTCCTGAGGGTTGACAATGCTGAAGATGTGAAAGCTTACACAGTTGGCCCGGACTTCTGCCATGCAGAAACCCGCAAGTCCCCCGTTGTCGACGGGCTAGTCCGGCGGAACACCCATGGCAAAGAGCTAAGATACATAACCCAGCTTAGCAAAGAAGAAGCAGCAATGGCTACGAAGATTTCTAACGGCTTTGGCCAACGAATCTGTGGCTTTGATATGCTTCGAGTTGGGGATAGAAGCTACGTCATTGACGTGAATGGTTGGAGTTTTGTCAAAGACAACAACGATTATTATGACAAGTGTGCCAACATTCTACGGGATATGTTCTTGAATGAGAAACGTAGGCGAGATGGCTCCGAGCCCTCCGAGCCCCCATCTCCAGATCCCGGGCACTCGAGAAAGAGTACTGCTGGATCTCATAGACATGCCCTGAAAACCTTACTCAAATCACCAAGCACCTCAAGGCTACACAACAGTCAGAACATCCACAAAACTTATGATATGGGAAGTCTCGATGCTGGGAATGCTACCGAATCCTCGCCTGCTTCGTCGGGCTTTGAAAACGCGGAGCATCTCAGTAGTGCCGGAAGTTTGCACTCTGCAGAAAGCGGCCGAACCTCCCGTGCCTATAGCCTGGCAAATACAAAGCCTCCAGCCGTGCTAGCAGAAGTCCCTATCGAAGGTCCCCCACCGGCAATACCACCGCCTGCTTCCAAGCATTCATGGAAGCTTAAAGGTATGGTTGCAGTGATTCGCCATGCAGATCGCACACCAAAGCAAAAGTTCAAGTTTACGTTCCACAGCCAACCGTTCGTGGATCTGCTCAAGGGACACCAAGAAGAGGTTGTAATTAAAGGAGAGGCCGCTCTAACCAGTGTTTCTGAGGCAGTTCAGGTGGCAATGGACCAGGGGCTCGAGGATTTGGATAAGCTAAAATTGCTTCGCACATCGTTGGAGAAAAAAGGAAGCTGGCCAGGTACCAAAGTTCAAATCAAGCCCATGTTTCGCAAACGAAAGCCACAGGAAATGGAGGGGCGTGCACCCCTGCCTCCTAACACACCTCCTACTGAACCACATCTCGAAGAACCTGTCTCACCAATTGCTGGGGAAACAATGTCAGATGGTGAGCGTCTGAGCAGATCACAAACACGAAGTGACTCGGTATCGGGCGCTACTTTCTCCAGGTTTTCAGCTGTTGAGAATGATCTTGTATTGGATAAACTGCAGCTTGTGATTAAATGGGGCGGAGAACCTACTCATGCTGCACGCTATCAATCTCAGGATCTTGGCTTGAACATGCGAGATGACTTAAAACTTATGAATAGAGAAGCACTGAACAACGTACGAATTTTTACGAGCTCGGAAAGAAGGGTGAGCACTAGCGGTAAGTGCTGTTCTGGGACCTTGGTAATCCAATACTAACTGACATAAAGCACAAATATGGGCTTGTTCGTTTCTCGACCAAAAGGATATGCCAGAAGATTTTATCCAAGTGCGCAAAGATCTTCTCGACGACTCAAATGCAGCTAAGGATGTGATGGACAAGGTGAAGAAGAAGCTGAAATTGCTCTTACGAGAAGGTTCCGCACCTTCCCAGTTCGCATGGCCAAAGGATAATGTTCCTGAGCCTTCAGTTGTGCTTGCGACCGTCGTGGAGCTGATGAAATTTCACCGACGTGTAATGAGGTTTAATTTCCAAAAACTTGACTGCCCTACTGGTAGTCTTAACTCACCAGATCGGATGTCAGATCAGCCCAGCTCTCAAAGTCACTCGGCGTCTTCAAACCAAAAACCTCCCACGGCTCCTATCCAAGGTCGATGGTGTGCTGGTGAGGATCCAAGCCTATTCAAAGAACGCTGGGAGAAGCTCTTTGCCGAGTTCTGTGATACAGAAAAGGTCGATCCTAGTAAGCTGTCTGAGCTTTACGACAGTATGAAATTCGATGCCCTACATAATCGTCAGTTTTTGGAATGGGTTTTTCTTCCTCCAGATGACTTTGACATGTCCAACTCAAAAGATCAAGTTGCGAATGACACTATTGGAGATAGCAAGAGCACTGAAACTAGCAGCCATGAGAGAACAGACGACAGAACAGATAATAATCAAACTTTTGCTCATCGACTTGGACTGAAAAAACGCATCTATGCGCTTCAGTCAATACCTCACCTTAGAGCCTTTGACGAGTCCTACGACCATTATTTCAAACTCTATCCTGGCTCTACCCCAACGAAGCCCAAGTTGGATGAACGGCTCTCCAAGCTGAGAGAGTTATACAAGTTAGCAAAGGTCCTCTTTGACTACGTGACACCTCAAGAATACGGTATCACAGACAGTGAAAAACTTGAGATCGGACTCTTGACATCTCTTCCGCTCCTCCGAGAAATTGTGATGGACCTTGAAGAGGTTCAGGCCTCTTCGGATGCAAAGTCTTTTTTTTACTTTACAAAAGAGTCTCATATTTACACGCTTCTCAACTGCATTCTCGAGGGCGGTATACAAACCAAGATTGCAAGAAGCGCCATTCCAGAGCTGGACTACTTGTCACAGATTTGTTTTGAGCTTTATGAAGCAAAGGACAGCGAATCTTCAACAAACTCCTATTCGATCCGCATATCCATCAGTCCTGGCTGCCATGCTTTTGATCCACTCGATGTGCAGTTAGACTCCAGGCATGCGATCGGCTGTGCTCCTAGAAGGAGTCTCACGGCTCACCATGATTGGAAGGAAGTTCTTGAAACTCTCAAGGCCAAATTTGATACGTATGTTAGATACTTTCTTTTTGCCCTTGGCACCGCATTTTTCACCATGCCATATACTAATAACTTTTCTTCATAGTGTAAAACTTCCAAAATCCTTCATTGCAGTGAACTTGAGTGACAAACATATCCCAAAACATTGAGCAACCTACGCTATTACCTCTCCAGTGGATGTCAAATCAGTATGCAATAGGTTCAATAGAAGAAGGCAGACGGCATCACAACCTTTCAAAATATGCACTTTTATGTATTCCCTAGTTCTAATTGGGGTCTATGGTATTGAAAGATCACTACATCCTGCTAGTTTCTGGGACTGAGTGGTGTCTGCTAGAATACCTTTCCTTTATCATTGTGTTTCTAGTATTTTATTGTAGAGGATTCTGCTGGAGGTATCATACAACCACCTAGGATCTAGCTCATTAGAACTACCTGTGCCTTTTCAGGTTACATTTAATACATTGTAGTCTAACACGTTGTAGACTGAGAATAGATCAATGTAGCTCGAGGCAGTGTCTTGAAAATGGAGAAATATAGCAGAACGTAAGGTCTGGCGTGCAAAGCATAATCAAGGACAAGACAATAAGAGGCTCTCTGAAGCATACCTATGTTCTATATATCTACGGCTAAAGGGTACCTTGAAGAGTTAGAAGCTGAAGGAAACGCCGCGACTCCTTGCGCACTTCCATCCAGCCACCATTTTCAACTGCCACGATTTTCCCGTCAATACAAACCCGTCTCCATCGTTCATCTTCCTCCAAGAAATCCACTCTAAAACCTTCAATCACCTTATAAGTCACGGCCTTCTCATATACATGTTTACCGCCCTGGTAGGCTAGTCCCATCAGCTGCATTGCTGCATCAGACGCCATTGGACTAAAATGTACCAGGCGCAAAGATCCATCCAACGGTGATGAGGCTGGTGAAATCATAAAGTCTTTCTCGAGCTTTGGGACAAGCGTGGCGAGCACATACATGTGCTCATTTTGGTCCATTGACTGCGTTTTTTTGCTGCCATTTTCATCATCAATGACCGAAATCGTGATTTTACCTTGGTAGGTATGTGTTGAAGTTCCATCTGATGGGTACAGAAGCTCTTTCGCTGCCATTTTGAACCTATCTGCACCAAACCTGCGGTATTCAACTGTGTCACTGTCTGCCACCAATGCAGCATGGACACCCCAGCTCGCAACAACGGCACCGTAGACTTTAGGATTGATCTGATATTCCCCAATGTTTGAATTTTTTGAGATAGGAGCCCTGTTCTGGCCTTCTTCTATCACAAATCGTGAGCCCGGCGTGAACGACGCTTCCAAAACAGGCAGGAATCTTTTAGATCCTCGCAAAAGCGCTCTTAGAGCGGACGATGGGCTATCCAATAATCCCATAGAGCTCGCCATGGCATTTCCGGTTCCAGTTGGGATTAATGCAATTGTGGGAGGAGCCAGTAATACTTTGTCCGGAGCATGGTAGAACATGTCCACAATATCCATCAAGCCCCCGTCACCAGAGAGAAGGATGATTGTTTGAGGCACTCCAAGTCGAGCATCTTCGAGTAGTTTGGAGTGGGTTAACTCTGTGATAGTTCTGTCTGACTGGGTTTGGACCACTTCATAGTTTTCCAAGCCCAGAGCTGAAAGATAAGGCCTCAAGATCTGTTGGAAAAAGGAATTCGCAAAGCCAGTCCCGGATACAACAGATATTATGACATATATAAGTCCCTTCCGATCACCTTGGGAGATTAAGAGATGGTCAGGCAATACTTCACAGTAATGCTGAGATAGCAGAGAAGCAGGTAATGACGAGGTCCAAATGCTTCCAAAGCATGGTTCGCTAGATCGAGTCTCCGATCTCCCTTGTTTATAATTAGAACCCTTGTGGACGAAAAGTATTTTGTACATATCCTGGCCACGGGTTGAGCCAGGCAAAATACATATTATGTCATCCTGGGCAACTATATACTCCTCATGAGTATATGGGTTCCAGCATCTGAGTCCATCCCCATGTGGACTTGTGGTAAAACTATCGTAATAATCAGTATTGGGCTGGATAAGAGGGTCTGCCATTGCAAGCTTATGGTTATAGGATTCATAAGTCTAGGTAGCTCTCGGTGGTGGAATAGTGGTGGCATAAAAAGGTATGGGGAATAAATTAAGCGCACATGCAAGTAATACTAATCGCCCCTTCCTATCAAGTCATCCAAGTCCGCGCATTACGCGGCCTAACACTTGATGATTATTAGCCCTATCTCTTGAAGCGCATGTCTGAGGATATAGCCAATAATTAATCTTGAAGATTATAGACAATTTCCAAGGATTTTTGCCTTGGTGCTGGATAGTACTGGGGGTTTGGCGTCTGGGCCCTTTCGATAACTACCTTACTAACCTTTGGTTAGTTATGTAAAATTATGCCCCTCTTTCTGCTATTTTTAGTTTGTACCATCAATTTTCCATGAATTCTATCATTGGTCTCCACCTTCTTCGTTCCTCCAACCCCTTATTTCCTAATTAGTTAAATATATATTAGTTAGTTAAACCCTAGCTACCTGCTGGGAAGTAAGTAGAGAGCATTATGTCTCATGTAGCTGTCAGCAGCTTAATATAATAAATTACTTTATAGGCAGCCCTTTAAGCCCTCATCATAAAACACTATGAGTGATAAGGGTTTATAAATTAAGTATATTATTATATTAATTTATGATATAAATTTATTTAAAAAGAAATCCTTATAGAATATTATTAAAAATATATATATTAGTAGCATTCCATTAAATCATGTTGTAAAGAATGGGTTCACTGTAAGTTACCTACTACCTATTTATGAATTGACATCATATTACTTAGTAGAATCTGGAGTGGGGCCGCGGCTCAGAGAGCCTGCGCTTATGTCTATCTAAAGTACAGAGTACCGGGCTACCGGTTACATACTACCTAACCTAAGTTACCTACCTATCTATCTGCTCCGTAGGTCCCTTACCGAGCTACCGCAGGTTATAGAACGGATGTGAACAGATCTCGCCCCATTCTCTTGAAAACTTATTGAGGCCTGGGAAACCCAACTGTTTTCCCTGTCATACTGGGACTCCTTTCGATATACATCTGATAAATGGCAGCTATATGTATTATATCCGATGCTAGTACATCCACGTACGTACACCAACTCTCAAAGACCGGATAGAGGCCTACATAGCCTGGAAGGTGATAACCGCCTCCAATACCACTCATTTAGTGGTTGGCGGACGGACTTTTCGGATGAGAAACGTGCTGCCGAAATGCTACTAGTACATCAAGCCGGAAGTGTTCGTGTTGGTGAGGTCGTCAGGTTAGTTGTTTTGCTACGCTGTTTTCAACAAGCTCTTGAGAGCGTGTCCTCTTGGTTCATTAATTAAATCAAGTAACATGCTGATTTATAACAGGTACACGCTAACATATACCCCATCATTGGATCCCATTCTTCCTCCTCCAGCCAAATTATTTGTGAAGATCAAAAACACTTCTGCCAGTCCTCTGCGCGCTGCTTATCTCCATGGTCCCTACACGCTCTATGTGGCTTGCTATCCGTTGAACTTTGACCCGAATATTAAATATGATGGGCTTGAAACCGAAGGGGCCCCGCAATTTGAATCATATCTTAAAGCGGGAGGCACCTGGGATGCGAATATGCCCGTACCTGACCGTCTCCGTCAGGTGCCGCTGCAGCCTTCACCATTCAGTCCAACAAAGTGTGAGGGCCGCCAAAGCATGACATGGATAATTGAAATCGTGTCCCAGGTAGTATTCTCTGCAACAGCAGCTGTCAATTTCGAACTTCTGGTGGGACGGAATAAGAAGTCTCTGGATTGCAGTGGCATTGCAGGTTTGCCAATCAGCGGGTTGGCGCCCCCGGCCCATCTTCATGAGCACTTCTCTACCTTGAAGAAAGGAACTGGAGCTGTGGCTACTAAAGGGGTTTACTCGGCTTCCGTTCATCTGAAAGTTGATGACACCTCCAGTCTCTGGAATACGCCTCCTCTTCCAAATCACGAAGAGGATTGTTCTATGCAAGACGAATGCCCCAATCTTGAGACTTCGACAACATCACTGGCCAGGGGTCCTGAAAACAGTGAAAATCAACCAAGGAAGTCTAATAATCACAGATCTCAAGAGAGAACAAAGAAAAAGAAAATTCACCTCGTCATTCTAACACACGGGTTGCACAGTAATCTTAGCGCAGATATGCTATATTTAAAGGAAAGTATTGATAAGGCTACTCAGCAAGCTCGGTCCAAGAGTAAACATGATACGGGAAAGTCACTGCACAGTCAGTTTATAAATGAGTAAGTGATGGCTCAAAATTATCTTTCTTCTTGCTATGAATGTCCATGTCTCGCCATTAACACTAAATTACCAGAATAGGTAACCCGGATACAAATGACTTCACACAAGGATCCAATCTGAACGATGACGAGCAAGTTATTGTCAGGGGCTTCCCCGGCAATGCGGTTCGCACTGAACGAGGAATACAGTACCTTGGTAAACGCTTAGCAAAGTATATTTTGCTGATGACTTACCCGGACCAGCCATATCATCCTCTGTCAGGCTCCAAGAATGGTCCAACAGTCAGGTCTTTCAAATTTAAGGGAAAAGGATCGAAATTTTCCCATAACTCGTATCTTGAAACACAATTCCGGAACCAAAATGAACCGGACCACACAGATGCAGCTTATACGTTTACAAGTATCAGTTTCATTGGCCATTCCCTTGGAGGCCTTGTACAAACTTATGCCATTGCATACATTCAAAAATATTCCCCCGATTTCTTTGATAAAATCAAACCTATCAATTTTATTGCTTTGGCAACACCGTTTCTCGGTCTCAGCAACGAAAATCCGATGTACGTTCGATTCGCCTTGGACCTAGGCTTGGTTGGGCGTACTGGACAGGACCTCGGCCTTAGTTGGACTGCACCTAAAGTCCGCAGTGGATGGGGAGCTGTGATCGGTGGCAGGGGAGCGGAAGGTCCCCCAAAACAAGCCCAGTCAAGTGCTGAGGGGAAACCGCTGCTCAGGATTCTCCCAAGCGGCCCTGCACATGAGGCCCTTTTAAAATTTCAGTGTCGAACCGTCTACTGCAACGTTGTGAATGACGGGATTGTGCCGTTGCGAACTTCCTGTTTACTGTTCCTCGACTGGCGAGGTTTGGACAGGGTTGAAAAGGCAAGGAGAGACAATGGTCTAGTTGGTACGATGGCTGAATGGGGCTGGGCAGAGTTGACTGGAGCGAAATCAAAGTCGCCTCGATCTGCTCAATCTCCGGGTCCGCCGTTCTGTGATCTGAGTATCAATGATGAAGGTCTCAGGGAGAATGAGGTAGCCCTAGCCGATGAACCTCCCGCACCAAAGGATTTGACTGCTGGTGATCCCCTCATCGACCCCACGTTATCACCGTCCCCTACTCAATTCCTTGCATCTAGTCCGACAGAGCACCACGATTCAACGGTGACGCTCAAGCCAACGGGGTCCACATTGGAGGGCCCGAGTTTGAGGGTCCTAAGCAATGTATTTTCTATCTTTCAACTCAAAGGATTCAAGCATGCTACTAGTCACAAAAGTACCAAGATATACAAAAGAAGCCAAACACTCCCCACATCTGGCACGTCCACAGAAACAACGTTTCTCAATGATAATCAATTCCCATCGGGAGATGACATTGCCCACGCCATCGAAGATGGGCTTTATGCGCCCCCAAAGACTACCTTTTTCGAATCAGCGGGAGATCTTCTCATGCCACCCTTAGCACCTATTGGGTTCATTGTTGACCCCTCCTCGCGCCCCGTAACCATTTTTCATGATCGTGTTTATCATCCGGAGGACATACCACCCCCTCACCCAATGAAGCGACATACCCTGGGCTCTATCTTGGCACAGGATAAACGCATGAGATCGTCCTTCAGCTCTGCAGCGGACTCTACTGGAGTGTCTGAACAATATTCGAAAGGATCTGAAAGCGGTCTGAAGGTTGAAGAAAAGATAGCAAGAGCATATCATCAAGATTTATCATGGCGTAAAGTGCTAGTCCGACTTGAGCCTGATGCACACAATAATATTATTGTGCGACGGATGTTCACCAACGCTTATGGATGGCCAGTTATTAGACATCTGGTTGATATGCATTTTGCTAATAGATCAGATGACACAGAGTATTATAGACGGGGAAGGTAAATAGCATATGAGTAGTTAGAGATGTTTTAATACTTTAATGTAGTATTATATTACTGGATAGTTAATGTATAAAGATTGGTTACTACAAAACGAGATAAAAGACATCACTCATTATGGGATGATAAAGACCAGATGGAGGTCAGTGGACTAGGTTAAGTTAGTCTATAATTGGTTAGCTTAGAGATATACTTATCTGTATTATTATTAAAGGTGATATAACTTGAATTATAATTAAATTAGAGATGATCAGTGACTATTAAAATAATATGTTGGAGGTGTCTGCCTAGTTAGGCTTAGCGCCATCCTGCTTGCCTTTTCTCTCTCGCCTGCGCGCATCCTAGATACTAGATAGCTTCACCACACACCACCATCACATACACACTACACATATCTCTTCCGCTTTCCCCAGGCCATCCGTGCCTTGACATAATACTAGTTACATAATAAGACCAGGGCTATATCTTATTAATACTTACCCTAGAATCTAGATATAGTAATACTAATATTAATGAAAATAACTAAAATATAGAATACTACTTTAATTACTTATTTAAGAAGTATCATAACTTTTAAAAATATAATATATTTATAAAATTAATAAAATATTTAAAGTCTTTAATAAGGAGTAGCTTTATTAGGCTATTAATAATGTAATCTTTCATTAATATATAAAGTATTAATATATAAAGTATTAATATATATAAATATATTTTATTTAAATATAATAACTAATATTTTCAATAATATAATTACTTCTTAATTATTTATAAGAATATAAGTAGTGACCTTATACTACTTAAGGTAGCTAATAATAAGGTCTAGAGATATAAGGAGTCTATAAAAAGTTTGATAAAAGAAAAGGATAAAGCATTTAAGGTTTTATTATTTATGTAAGAAAAAGTATATATTTTAATTCTTAAATAAAGTACTTAATAAATACTTAATATATACTTAATATTTATTATTAGTTATAAAATATATTTAATTAAATTAATTATAAGGAATCAAGGATAATATTAATATTAGTCTTATAATTATTCCTCTCTTTTAAGAGGCTTAACCTTTAGCTATTTAAATTATTTTTTATATTAAAAATAATAATAAAGAAAGAATACTTATTTATATAAGATATACTTTAATTAAATATAATATAAATATAATATTAAAGATAAGAGTTTATTAATAAAGAAATAAAAAATATAATTAAGAATTTAAAATACATTAAAAGGGTTCCTAAAGAGCTAAATAAATAAGATAAAGTCTATATTTATTAAATATTAAGATATAATTATTATTATTTTAAATTTTTTTTTTACTGCCTAGCTTTTTAAGAAAGATTTTTAATATATATAACCTTTTTTTTTTTAAATAATAATAAAATACTAGAAGCTAGTTAAATAATATAAATAATTTTTCTTTTATATTTTAATAAGTTTACTAATACCTTTCTTTTTTATTTTCTTTATTTTTCTTAGTAATATATAATATTAACTTATAAAATAAATATCTACTTCTAGTTAATCAATTACTTTTTATTGGTTTAATATATTATAATTATTAATAATAAAGAGATAATATTTTATTTTATCTTTTATTTTAATTCCTTACTTTTTAATATTATATTTATTTAGTAATAATTTAAAAAAGATTAATAATATTTAAAAGACTATTTTTTTAATAATAAGATTTTTAAAAAAATATCTTTAACTTATTATTTTTAATTTTTTAATAACTTATTGAAATCTACTTAAAGTAGCTATTTTATTTTTTAGCCATAAATTAATTAAGTTTAAGATTATTAAAATTATTTAAAATATAAATATATATATAAATATTATTACTTAAGGAAATATATTTAATACTTTTTATTAACTTTAATATATATATTATATTAATATTATAAATATAAAGTATTTTATTTGATAGACTATGAAGGTAATTATTATTAAAACTACTACTAAAGCTATTATATTTATTTTAATAATAAAGGGCTAGTTTATTATTATTATTAATTAAAGTTGATATTAATATATATTTATCTTAGTCTTTTAAGTATAAATATTGAGTTAAAAGATAATAAGTATAATTATATTAAAGATATTAAATATAATTAAGACTTTATATAAATATTATATCTCTTAATTAAGAATATTACTTATAATATAATAAAGATATTAAATACTTATTAATATAAAGTAAATATATCAAATAAAATACTTTATATTTATAATATTAATATAATATATATAACTACTTTTGATGATTTTATAAAATATTATAATAATAATTGAGAAACTTAGAATAATTACAAAGAAAATAAAGAATTTATTAAATAATAAGTTATAAATAAAAAATATAGAGTTAATATTTACTTAATATAATTAAAGTATTATTTTAATAATAATAGTTTTTTTAATTATAAATAACTTTATTAAAATATTATTATAAATCTCTAAATCTATAAGAAAGTGGGGAAGATTTATATTAATAAGTTAATAATGTTTTATGAACTTAATAATTTAAGATTTAATCTCCTTTTTACTCCTCTTTATCTTATTCTTTTATTAACTATGATAGAGGGTTGTTATAATTATTATGTTAATAATATAGCTTTAGCTTAAATATATAAAAAATAAAATAAATTCTTCTATAAACCTTAAATAAATATAAATAATTTATTTATTTATTACTTTTACAATTAGAAAAGGCCCTAAATAATAATTATTAAGCTTTTAAAAAAAATATAGTAATTTAATATTAATATTAATATTAATAATAAATATCTTTTAATTTACTGTATAATATATTAATTATTATTTTTGATTATAATATTTTATTAAAGACTCTGATACTTGTTAAAGATAAATATCTAATAATTACTAAATAATAAGTCTCTAAGATAATAATATTATATCTTAAATGGCTTTAGAATAGCTAAAAGCTTTTAGTTATAGATAATATATTATTTCTTAATATTATTTACCTTTTATAAATAAAAAGCTATAAAATATTAAATATTTATTATTGGCCTAGCAGGCCTAGAAAAGGGAAGAGATGGCTGATGGTTACTATTGCTGCTATAACTTAGATATAAAGCAGGTAATTATATAGTGCAGCCATACTAAATAAGGTAATATTAAGTTTAATTAAGTATATACCTCTAATATATCCTTTATTATTAAGTATTTATCTAGACTAGCTAACCTCTTATTTAATATTAATTAAAGTATATAATAGTAGAAAAAGAGGATTATTTACTTATTAATTATTAATTATTCCTTATTTAATTTATTCTTAATATAAGTTAGTATTACTACTTTTTAAAGATTAACTAGTTCTTTAAATATAATATACTTTACTTAATCTAGAGGCTTTATTAGGCTATTAATAAGGTTTATATAATTACTTATTTATTTAACCTTAATTAGCCCCTTATTAATTATATTATAAATAAAAAAAATAATAATTATTAATCTATTTAGTTATTATATTAAAATTATTCTTCTTAAGAATATTTATAATATTAAATAAATTAATATAAATAAGAATAGGGCCTTCCTTTTTAATCTTTATAATAATAATTAATTTCTTTAGCTATATAGCCTCTTTAATTACTTATAATAAGGTATAGAATTTAATAATAGTACTTAATATAATAATAAATATTTATTTATATAAAGCCTATAAGATTAGGGCCCTTATAAATATTATAATATATACCTTTATTAACTTATTATTATTATTATCTGTTAGCCTAGCAGGCCTGGAAAAGGGAAGAGATGGCTGATGGTTGCTATTGCTGCTACGGCTCGGACGCGAAGCAGGTGGTTGTGCGGTGCGGCCGCGCCAAACGAGGCGACGCTAAGCCTAATCGGGCACGCACCTCTGACATTATCTATATAATTAGTATTAATATATATAGTTAGGCCTTTATATAGTTTATATCTTAAAGTAATACTATTATTCTTATAATACTTTAAGTATTATAAGAGGTGTTTAATAGCTATAATATTAGTTTTTATTAAGAATATAAATTAGTATTATAAATA